CTTGTGTTTGTACCCAATCGCAAGCAGACAAGATCAACAGCTATTGATCTATTGGCTGCTTGCGCTGCTGATGATAACGAAGACCGATTCCTTCATGCTGATGTGAATGAACTTGCGCCACTACTGAATCGGATTCAGGAACGGACGCTGGCAGAATCGCTCTCCCACGGCATTGGATACTATCACGAAGCTCTTAGCGCCACTGACAAGCGTATTGTCTCGCATCTCTTCACCATTGGTGCGATTCAGGTCCTGCTTGCTTCACGCGATGTCTGCTGGGACCTGAATCTCACGGCGCATCTTGTAATCGTCATGGGAACACAGTTCTTTGAAGGCCGCGAGCACCGCTACATTGATTATCCTATCAGCGAAATCCTGCAGATGTTCGGCAAAGCTACTCGCCCTAAAGAGGACAAGATTGGCCGAGGTGTTCTGATGGTACCTTCAGTCAAGCGCGAGTATTACAAGAAGTTCCTTAACGAAGCTTTGCCCGTCGAGAGTCATTTGCAATTGTACTTACATGACGCATTTGTCACTGAGATCAGCACGAGGACGATCACTTCGACACAGGACGCTGTGGATTGGATGACTTACACGTACTTTTACCGCCGTCTCCTTGCCAACCCCAGCTTCTACGGTCTGAGTGATATTAGCCACGAAGGTCTCAGCACTTTCTTGTCCGAGTTGGTGGAGAACACATTGAGGGAGCTGTCGGAGGCTAAGATCATTGACCTGGATGAGGAGGATGACAGCGTCTCGCCCCTCAATGCGGCCATGATTGGCGCTTATTACAACATTTCCTTCATCACCATGCAGACCTTCCTCCTGTCGCTCAGCGCTCGCACGAAGCTCAAGGGTATTCTGGAGATTATCACGTCAGCCACGGAGTTCGAATCGATTCAGATGCGGCGACACGAAGACCACATTCTGCGACGAGTGTACGATCGTGTGCCCGTCAAGATGTCGCAACCCGCCTACGACTCGCCTCACTTCAAGGCCTTTGTTCTCCTGCAAGCTCACTTCTCCCGCATGCAACTGCCCATTGATCTTGCCAAGGACCAGGAGGTCATTGTCAGCAAGGTTCTCAACCTTCTCAGTGCATGTGTCGATGTTCTCTCATCCGAGGGTCACTTGAACGCAATGAATGCCATGGAGATGTCACAGATGGTGGTCCAAGCCATGTGGGATCGGGACAGCCCTCTTAAGCAGATTCCTCACTTTGGCCCTGAAGCCATCAAGGTGGCCAATGAGTACAACATCAACGACATCTTCGAATTCATGGAAGCGATGGATCCATCCGAGAACAAGGACTACCCCACGTTGGTCAAGCGACTTGGTCTCGATAACTCACAGTTGGCTCAAGCTGCCGCGTTCACGAACGAGAAGTATCCCAACCTTGACCTTGACTTCCAGGTGGAGGATTCCGACAACATTACATCCGGCGAGCCGGCGTATCTCAAGATCCAGATTGAACGGGAAGTCGAAGAGGACGAGGAACCTGACACCACTGTACACGCGCCGTTCTACCCCGGCAAGAAGATGGAGAATTGGTGGTTGGTTGTGGGAGACGAGAAGACGAAGAATTTGCTTGCCATCAAGCGAGTTACCATTGGACGCAAATTGGAGTTGCGCCTGGAGTACATTGTGCCTACGCCTGGTGAGCATGAGCTGACGCTGTACCTGATGTGCGACAGCTATGTAGGCGTCGACCAAGCTCCTACGTTTACTGTAACGGCAGCTGAAGGCATGGAAGAGGATGAAAGCGAGGAGGAAGAGGAGTAAAGGGTTTATAAAATCTGTTGGCACCTAGACCCGTCTGTTAATTTTCTTTGTTGTATTTATACGGTCAATCTACGTGGAAGCAATGATAATAAGAATGTTCGATTTTCAAGCTTCAGATCATTCCGTAGAGTAGACTAGTATGTATGTAACTGATTAAAGGACGATCTTCTCCTCACGCGATAAGATAGCTCTCTCCATTTCTCCAACCTCTCCTTCTCTTCCCCCTTCATCACCCCACAACCAACCCCTCCTGAACTGATCCATCCCCATCATCCATCATTGTTTTATCTTACAGTTTGCCATATATACAGTATAATAGTAACCCATTATCTATAAGTTACACAATCTTGTCTGTTCAACCCAATCGCATTGTCTTCCCCTCAACGCTTGGCGCCGATCTTATCAAGACAGCTCTTATCGCTGCTGAACGGACATGACCATCCGATCAATGAAGTTTACTCCAGAGTAAGTAGATAAGCCTCGTCTCTTCCTAGAATCTGGGAAGACCCCTTGAGTCAGAAAAAGGTGTGTTTCACCAGAATTCTGATCGCTGACCTGGTTAGGGTCCTCCTGGGAGCTCCCCGCCGCTCTGGGCCCATCCCCAACTCTACCGGGACACTTGCCGTCTACACACAGACATCCTACTCCTTCGACTCTCATTCCAAGACCAATGAGATCCGTGTACTAGACATCGCCACCGGCCGATCGGCCCTCATCACGAACGACCCGGGCGCCAGCAGCCCACAGTGGCTGGATAACAGCGACCAGCTGGTCTGGCTGAAGACAAAGGCAAATGGCAACACCAGCTTCATTGTCGGAGATGCGCGGGAAGTCGACAAGACCTACACTGCGGGCACTGTGCCCGGTCCCGTGTCCGACCTCAAAGTGACTGTTGTCGAACCGGGCAAAATTGGGTTTGCGGTGGCCGGGAAGGCCAACCCGGATGGGTCATTGTACAACCCACACGACGCCAAAAAGCCTCTCAGTTCCGGCAGGCTGTACACGTCCCTGTTTGTCCGACACTGGGACTCGTGGATTGAGCCACAGCGCAACGCCATTTGGTATGGCTTGCTGCAGCGTGCACCCCTGTCCCCTGCTACTCGGCAGGCGGGCAGATATTCCGTCTCTGGGCTGACGAACCTGATCTCGATTTGTGGGCTGACTGGGGTTGAGTCGCCTATCCCGCCTTTTGGCGGCTCCGGTGATTTTGACATCAGCCCATCAGCAATTGTGTTTGTTGCGAAGGATCCTAATCTCAACCCCGCGACGCACACTTCCTGCTCGTGCTACTACTGTCCGATGTTCTCGTGGACTGGCGTGGGCGCTCTGGAAGCCAAGGTGTGCACGGTCAAGGGTCTCGAGGGTGCTATGTCATCCCCTGTTCTTTCGTCTGACGGCAGCTCGATTGCTCTCCTCGCGATGCGTGAGGATGGCTATGAGTCGGACAAGAACAGAATCCTATACGTTCCAAATCCTTGGAGTGGTGAGATGATTGAGATTTTTGCCTCTGCTGATGGCAAGGGACAGTGGGATCTCAGCCCGTCGGGATTGACCTTTGCTAAGGATGATCAGTCATTATTCGTTCAGGTCGAGCAGCAGGGCCGTGGCGTTTTGTATCAACTTCCGCTCGACAATGTCCGCCATAGTACACCTGATGTGTTGAAGCTGCTCACGCATTCTGGTTATGTTACGGATGTTTTTCCTTTGGGGGCGAATTCATCGAATTTGTTGATCGCCAGCAACAATCTGGTAGACAATAGCTTGTGGACCATCATTGACACCCAGGATACATCCAAGGTCAGAGTCGTCTCATCTATTGGCCGTGGAGGCGCCGCCTTTGGTCTGTCACCCACACAGGTGGATGAGATTTGGTTCAAAGGTGCGGAGGATCACCCCGTCCATGCGTGGGTGGTTAAACCGTCCAATTTCAAGCCTGGCAGCAAGTATCCGCTCGCTTATCTGATTCATGGAGGGCCCCAGGGCGCATGGAACGATCAATGGAGCACTCGGTGGAATCCTGCCGTGTTTGCTGAGCAAGGTTACGTCGTCATTACGCCCAATCCACGAGGTAGCACCGGGTACGGGCAACCATTTACAGACGCGATCCGTGGCTCTTGGGGAGGCCTACCTTACATCGATATTGAAAAAGGGTTTGACTACATCGAGGAGAATCTGGATTACGTTGACACCACGAGAGCCGTTGCACTTGGAGCGTCTTATGGTGGTTATATGATGAACTGGATCCAGGGCCACCCTCTCGGCCGTCGATTCAAGGCGCTCGTCACTCACGATGGTGTATTCAGCATGACCTCTCAGCTTGCCAGTGAGGAACAATACTTCCCGCTCCATGATCTGGGGGGCCCGATCTGGAAGGTCCCAGAAAACTGGGAGAAGTGGGATCCGTCTCGTTTTACGGAGCATTGGCAGACACCCCATCTGATCATCCACAATGAGCTCGACTACCGTTTGACGATAGCCGAGGGACTCGCAGCGTTCAACGTCCTGCAGATGAGAGGGATCGAGAGTGCCTTCCTGACCTTTCCAGACGAGAACCACTGGGTGCTCAATCCGGAGAACTCTCTCGTATGGCACCGGACGGTTTTCAACTGGATCAACAAGCATGTGGGCTTGCCTCCAGTGACTGATGAAAAAAGCAACGCCTTTAGCTCGAAGAAGACACCGTTGGAGAAGCGTGTAGCTGGTCTATCTCTTTCATAGTCTCAAGTCTCTGTAACGACTCAGTATTTCTGCTTGGATGTGCACAATGACAATGACCTTTTGATATAGCCTCGTCGGTATCATTGAATTCCAGTTTCTGTTTCATAATCTTCGTTCATTACCCTCAATGGATATTTCATTACATTGTTGAATGAACTTATTCCTTGATTTGTCGTATTCTAGATGGAACGGAAAAGCCTTCGAGACAAAGGCTGAGTACAATGTGGCCGAGTGCTGGTCTGTTGGCACCAACAAAGAGTTCCTATTCTTGTCGTGGCTTTTATTCACCGTAAGCCTTTGTCACATATCCGCTGTTTCATGGTTCATGATGAACTATATAAGCGATGACAGCCTTCTCTCGTCTCCATGATCCCTCCGCTACGATCCAAGTGCTTTGATTTGAGCAATCTACTTCCACGCAGCAACGAACAAACAATCTTATAGAGATATCCAAAAGCCCATATCTCACTTTGACCAGAACTAATACTTCCATATACAAAATGCAAGGCAGCAACAATCCCTCCCTTCCCCGTATCGTGATAGACCCCTCGTCACCTCAATCCCCCAGCATCTCCTGTGCATTCTCACCATCAACACCCACAAACCCGACCTCGAGCCGATCAACACCAAAGCCATCACAGCCACCATCCCAAGCAGAAGCAAAACGACCCAAGAGGGTCCATCCATCCTTCCAGCCCATCCTCCGCCATCTACGCACTCCGCTCTGCCCCCTCGTCTCCAGCACCACGGGGCAGCAGCATCCCGAATTCCCCAAGACCCTCCTCGCCTACAATCTACTCACCTCTCGGCAACTGGACGATCTAGCCCGTCACTTCCACCAGGTATGGCCCCCGGTGGAAGCCACGAGGGCATACCCCGTCTCGATCCCCGCGTGGATCGGCACACAGGGCGAGAAGAGCGTCGATCTACAGACCAAGCGAAGACGGTTCGGTCGCTTTATTGGGCTGAGGGGGTGTGAGTCGCCTACTATCAAGGAGCATGGAGAGGACGAAACAGAGGCGCTTTTGGAGAGGATGGAGTGGGAGTGGGAGCAGAGTCTTCTACAGGCGCAGCGGGATGATCCTGATGCTATTTTGCGGTGGAAGGCATGGGGGCGTTGATTCTTCTTTTGGGGTCTGAAAGGTGTGTCGCATGTCTTTGTTCGTCTTTGCTTTTGTCTTTTTTTGTCTTGTTGGTTTGCGGGAGTTTGTGGTGGGCAGTGATTGCATGCATATTCAGCTTTGATAGACACGGAGTACAATTCAGCTAAACGCATACTAGAATGTCATAGGACAGGGACTACATTTCAACATCGCCTCAATACCAGTCTACGGATTATTATCTGATTAAAGGTATCCGAATCTAATCCCCCGTTTAGCCTGATGGAGTGGTGGGGTAATTTCTTGGGGTCTATTGTTTAGCCTGAGTCGGATAAAAACCGAGGCTCTAAAGATGTATAAGAAGGGACGTTCAATATCAGGATGCTCAAGCAAATCACTTCACTCGCTAGACTAGACTAGACAGTTGAAAAAAGAAAATGGCCAACGAACCCCTCGTCAAACACATCTACACCGCGGACCCCTCCGCCCACGTCTTCAACAACAAACTATACATCTACCCCTCGCACGACCGCGAGACAGACATCCAATTCAACGACAATGGCGACCAATACGACATGAACGACTACCACGTCTTCTCGCTGGAGACCGTCGGCGGCCCCGTCACCGACCACGGCGTCGTCCTCAAGGACACCGACATCCCCTGGGTCTCCAAGCAGCTCTGGGCCCCGACGCCGCAACCAAGAACGGAAAGTACTACCTGTACTTCCCTGCGCGCGACCGCGAGGGCATCTTCCGCATTGGCGTCGCGGTGGGCGATAAGCCCGAGGGGCCGTTCGCGCCGCAGCCGAATCCCATCCGCGGCAGCTACAGCATTGACCCGGCGGCGTTTGTCGATGACGACGGGCAGGCGTATTTGTACTTTGGCGGGATATGGGGCGGGCAGTTGCAGTGCTGGAGCAAGTCGGAGAAGGGGGAATGGGAGTTCGATGCGTCGAAGACGGGCCCGCAGGAGCCCAGCGGGGAGGGGTGAAGGCGCTGTATCCGCGGGTGGCGCGGCTTACAGAGGATATGCTTGAGTTTGAGGGAGATATTCAGGAGCTGGAGATTGTGGATAAGGAGGGGAGGCCGCTGGCGGCGGATGACCATGAGCGGCGGTTCTTCGAGGCGGCGTGGATGCACAAGTATAACGGCAAGTATTACTTCTCGTGGTCGACGGGCGATACGCATTACCTGGTGTATGCGACGGGGGATAGTCCGCTGGGGCCGTTCACGTACCGCGGCCGGATCCTGGAGCCGGTGCTCGGCTGGACGACGCATCATTCTATTGCGGAGTTCCAGGGGAAGTGGTATCTTTTCTATCATGACTGTTCGCTGTCCGGAGGGGTGGATCATCTGCGGAGTGTGAAGATGCAGGAGATTGTTTATGATGCGGACGGGAATATCAAGCTGGCTGAATGAGCGCTTATTGCAGATGTATATATCATGAAGCATGTCATTATGTTATCTTGTCTCCTTCGTCATACTTGAGACATCAGTGTCCCATTCCCCTGGCTTGATTCTCCATGACAATTCTCCAATACTTGTCGCGACTGCGAGCTCGGAATGTCTTTCCCCATTTGATAATCACCAGGAACACGGCAGATATGGCCATGCCAATGAACGCCGCGGACACAAAGCAGTTCTGATATCCCAGGTCTTCAAGCCAGGGTGTAATACTATGCAAGTAAGTCTTCGTCAGCACTGGCAGTCAAGTCCGCTTGAGCCGTAAGTTGCAACATACCCGTAGCCCATGGCAAAGGACATTGTGTTGCGAACCAAGATCACACTAGCCATCGCATCGCCGCTCAGCTCCCTGTAGCTGTCGACGAGATAGTTGACGCTCAAGGTGATTCCACAGGTGTTGGCGAGCGCAAGAAGGCACATCGCAACTAGTAGCCCGAACCAGTGAACCTCGTGGGCTGCACCCACACCCCAGAGAAGTAACGATCCTGGGACAAGGATCAGACATGCAAGGAAGGGCCAGAGACGCTGCTCGGCTTCCATCACTCCGCCGTTTCGTCGAGCTAGTTTGATAGTAAGCCAGTCGCTGAATCTTCCGGTGAAGAGAGACCTAGGCTGTGTTAGTAGGGTCTGTACGTTGATTCATCGCTAGTCATCAACTTACCCGGCAATGACACCCAGACAGCATGCGAGATAGCTCAGACCGACCATCGACGAACTGTCATACTTAGTCGGACGCATCTAGGATATTCTCTAGGCAGTCCTACCTGAAATTATACGGTGCTGACCCCAGAATAAGAGACGAAGTGGCATTCAACACGTTGAACCATATCAGGTACGAGCCATATGAGAACCTGCCTCGTCAGTATCCAATGTTACAGATGAAGATGAGAAAGCGGTTGGCGTACCCAGCATAGAAGATAACCGGCCAGCTCAGGTAATACAACGTTTGGTAGAACCTCCTAAACATGTTGTTCCTGGGTTGTCGAGGTCTAATGATTGACAGCTTCTGAATATAGGTTTTCTTGCAGTAGATAACTCCACACTCTGTTTCATCCGGTTGTGCAGTGGCAGGTAGAGACTTTTCCTGGTCATCTTGCTCGGAGGGGGTCGTTGACGACTCTATCACGCCCTCGACCGTGGCTGTCTCGGCATGTTTCCGCGCGTAGTTTGTCTCCTCCATGAAGAAAAAGAGGAACACGATAGTCACAGCGCAGAATATGGCAGGCCAGTAGAAAACCCATTGCCATCCCTGGTATTGGGCGATGAAGCCGCATATGACCGGCGCAAAGTAGTTGCTCCCGGCCAAAAAGAAAGCGTACAGGCCCATATACGTCCCTCGTTCATGCGTAAAGTACTAGACTTTATCAATAAGCGGCATGAAAGTCTGATCCATAAATACTTACCACGTCGGTCACGGTCACTTCTGGAAGGGCTTCAATTGGAGCAACAAAGAAGCCTGACAGAATGCTGCGGCCAATCCACTCGTCGTTCGAACGGACATAAGGACTGTTGGCGGTCTCGTCATTAGCGATTGAAGTCCACGACGGAGCATCATGACAACGTACCCCCATACCAATGTAGCCTATGCAAAAAGACTCCTTGTCAGTCTCCTGATCATGGCAGCCGTACAACATCTTTGCAGACTCACCAATATACCCACTAATGAGAGAATGTACGTCAATCGTTTACCATACTGCAACGCAAATGGTTGCCAGAAGAGAAGACCCCAGCCTGCGAGCAAGAAGAGATATCCGGTTCCCTGGTTGAGAGTGTCCACTGCAACGCCTGTCTCTTCAGAGAGCTGAACAAGCACCGAATAAACAACGGAAGTTGAGATTCCTGCAAACAAGGTATATCTGAACCATAGGGGAGCAGATTAGCTGTTCGATCAGGAACTCTTGATCAAAACAACGACATCGGTTGACTCACACGCTCACACAGATCGTAGATAGTAGCTTGCGCCGTGGTGACCAATTCAAGGGATCATCCGGGTCATTGGAAGGTTCAGGCACGAGCACAATATCTCTGTCTCCTCTATCAAGGTGACGAGTGGCCAAGACACCATCCACGTCCACCAGGGTGAACGTGCCTGGGATGGCGTCGCTGTCCACACGAGGCGCCATGACGAGACAGGATTAACTGCAGAAGGTCAAAATGCTGTTTGCGGAACTGCGATGATGCTGTTTACATGTCCTTTGATGTTCTGAATGTGTATACACCGCTGCTCAGCCCGATGGGTGTGCAATTGGACTGCCGATCAGAGTCGAGCGGTGAGCTCAAGATATAAGTCACACTGCAGAATGTATCAATCACACTGCTACGAGTTTTAGGATCGAAGACAACCTGAGCGTCGAAGTTGAATGGTAAGTACGAGTACTCGTTATCTGCTCCTCTCGAGGATCCACCAAGACGCGATATGGGAGATGCACATTCCTGATAGTCATCAGGTGCAAGCGCAGCATCACATATGTACCGCATCGCACAATAGCCGATAAGCACGGGTCGGAAGCATTCCGCTATCATGAGACTGGATGATGATGCATGGATGCCTCGAGCTCAGATATCAACGAGGCCCACTTAACTGCTTATCGGGCTCTCTCCACGAGGGGACGATGATCCATAGTCAGAAGCGTGAGATGATGGAAGCAGGTTCCTCGCTCTGTGACTCCGCCGATACAAAGACGGCCAATGCTCTGGAAGCGGTCCTTTCTCCTCTCTTGATGGGACTCTGTCTGGGGAGGAGGGAACAAGGATGATGGGCTTCTGGTGAGCTTCATTGGGCAGTCTCAGTGGCCGTCGAGCTAAGCAAGGAGCTAGCCAGCGCCACTGAGTAGTTGCTTATCACCGTAGCTTGACTGGAGTCGATCTTCTCCCTTCCTTGTCTTCCGATCATTGGATGGACTCGCCGACAGATATGGGATGAGATGGAACTGTTCGGTTTGCGTGGTCGATACATTCGTGGCCAAGTTGGAGACAGCTGGGTTCCCCCGCACATGGAGATACCTCTCAGCAATTATTCTCATTGGATGTCTCCACGGAGACGATATCTACTCATTAGCAAAGATCGCAGGATTCACCTTGGTTCTATTATCTGGTCATTAGAGATGGATCTACCTACCGTGCAAAGGTATACTCATCTAGGAACAATCATATCTATCTACTTTCCTACACATAAGTAGACAGCCGGGTCAACTCTAGAGACGCTTAAACTCCTGCCCTACCATCTGCTCACTCCGTGTCCACAACGCTCGACCGTTCTCCTCACCAGCAGGGAAGTCAATTTTCGGCAGAGCAAGAATTTGGCAATTGTCTAGGTATGCGCCGGAACGTTCTATTCCCGATGTAAATCCATGAGCACGATAGTCTCCCGTCGACACATTGTATCTTACACAATCATAAGAGAGGATCCCACTCACCACTGATATCCGGATCCAGAAGAGCTCTGAGAATCGTGGCAATTCCCTGCGACGCCGACTTTGGCGCTTGTTGAAGAAGCAGCGGTAGGTCTTCCCCCACTTCAAACAGAGCTGACTGTCAGGAACTCATCAAATGCAGGGAGTCATCTGGTTCTGCACGCACACTCTTTCTTCCTTTGGAGCCATGAAGCTACCTGCTCTGGCGAAGCAACGGTCTGAAGGCTTGGCTTGGTGTCTGAAGGATGTTCAGCTCAGGCCGAAGATGGAAAATGACGAGGCCGCAAACTCACTTCCAGCATTGACAGAAAAGGTGCCCATTGACCGTCCACAGCCCGTGATAGCCAGACACTTGACCATCTGAACGTTGGCAAACATCGATAGAGCATATGCATCGAGTGGATGATATATCTTCCCGTCCTGCAGAATCGACAGATACCCGTGACATTACCTTTCGTATCCTAATCCAAACCAGAGTAAATCACTTACTGCGAAATTGGGGTCATCCCAGGCAGGCGGCGGCGCTTCAGACCGGATACTAGAGCAAACCATGACCACCCTTGAACCCGCCGGCATCAAATGCACCACCAAATTGATCAGGAGGAAATTGCCGAGATAGTTGCACTGGAAATGAGACTCGATTCCGTCCTCCGTCTTCATCCACAGTCCAGCCATTATCGTGGGAAACCCAACAAACCCATCGATAGGAACCTCAAGCTTCTTAATAGCTTCCGCCGCCTCGCGCACAGAGGCCAACCGGCCAAAATCTACCGAGATGAAGATCAGCTTGGCCTTGGGATGTCTGTGGTTGATATCGTCGATCATCGCTTGCGCTTCGGCCTGCGACTTGCCCATCAGGATAATGGCGGCTGCATCGCCGCTTGCCAGGGCCTCGGCGGTTGCTGCTGACAGTCCTGTCCCACTGACTCCGGTCAAGAGGACTTTCGATGGAAGGAGATTTAGCCTATGACTGCAGTATTTGAAAGGGCTGGATGTGTTTTGCCTACATGTTCGTTTCTTGACGCTCATGGGAAAGGCATTGACCACTTCAACACCTTTGGTCTCGGATCCCCATTCGATGGCCATGTTTGCGGCTGTTGATCAAGGGCTCACGGGGCCTGTACAGCTTGGTAGCATTGAGAAGCCTCGCTTGTCGCAGACTGTCTGATCGAATGAGGCTTTGGTTTTCGTCATCGTGAGTCGGTCCACATTACGTATAGAAGACGTCCTAAACATTGCAGATTCCCCATTACCTATTCGGTCCGGTGGATTGTTACCAAGGTCAAGTAAGTGGAACGACCAATCACCACCAGCATCGGGAAGCAAAGTAGCTATCGCGGCATAATGAAGAAGGGAAGACCAGTCGAGGGTCTGTCATCGACCGGATTCCCTTGTGGTCTCGAAGAGAGAACAGTATAATCGAGATACAAACTTGATAAGATATGGTGGACATTAAGGAGATATCCAGGGAATATGTTGAGCACTCGGCTAATACTTTGGCCCCATCAAGACAAGCCGTTGGACGCAAGGACGCGAAAAGGACGCCAGATGACGGTCACTCAATAGAGAAAAGGAAATGTCACTCCTGATAGAATACCCCCGTTTAGGCTGATCCTGAAGCGATGCCATCGTCATCCGAAAGATCCTTGATCACGTCCTTTATGGTCTGAATGAGCTCATCGATGTCAGGACGGTCAGCAGGCTCAACCTGCAAACACTTCCGGACTACCTCTTTCACTGGCTCGCTGATGGTTGCGGTGTTGTCTTTGCCCGCATCCTCAGCTCCAGCTCGGCCTTTACCCTTGGTAGCCCCGGGCTTCTCATCCGGAAATCGCCAGTCCCCGCCCAATACACACATACTGAGACTACCGCCGGTCTCCTCGCTTCGGGCCTCAAAGGGGCTTTTCCCTACAAGGCAGGCGTACAATGTGCATCCCAAGGACCAGATATCGACCTTGGTGTCAATGATTGACCCAGTCTTGACGTCGAATAGTTCAGGCGCTCGGTACGGCATGGTACTGTGCTCAGCAGCAGTATCTTGGACGGCCAGAGCTAGTGAACGGGAGGTAATAGCAATCGGGCTGGGCGCGAGGGAGCCGAGATCCATGAGGATCGGAGTCTGACCGTCATCGTCGATCATGATATTGCCTGCCACCAGTCAGTCACCCACCGCATAGAGTTGCAGACGCACCAACTCACCAGGTTTGATGTCCCTATGCGCATAAGGGCGAAGTTCCCCCTCCTGAACTCCCTCCTGGCTTATAGTAACCTCGTCATCCATCAACGGCTCGTTTTCTGAATCTTCTTCGTCTACTCGCTGGCTTGCTCGACGCTTCGGCTTGCCCATTTGCATTGATAACTGTGCGTCCGCCTCCTCGCCCTGGCGTCTGACCGCTTTGGCTCTGCGCGTAGACCCAGCGCCACTCTTTACCCGATACTGGTGCATTGCTTTAAGCGCGTTGGCGACACCAAGCATAAGCACCATTAGCCTCTTTTCGGGAAAACGAGTATGGTTCACGAGATTCGCATTGATCGCATCTTGAAGATTCCCGCGTTGGTAGTAAGGAAGCAGGATGTAGACGGTTTTCGATCCTGGTTCGCCGCCATCGGAACGAAACTTCGAGCCCGGCTCCGTAGATACGCAATGGTCTATCGAATGGATGATGTTCGGTTGTGATGTGAATAGGTTGTAGGCTTCGACCTCTTTCAAAGCCTGTGATACAGATTCTTGGCCGAATGGACACCGGATCTTCTTCAAGGCGAAGAGCTCTGATGTCGCCTTATCTTGGACGAGGTAAACGTAGGAAAATCCACCCTAGCAGATTCGGCGATGTCAGTTGAGCGAATATACAACGAAATAATGCGGTCTGGATATCTGATTGACCTACTTCACCTAGGAGCCGTAATAATTTGAAGCTGCGATTGTTGATTTTCAGCTGCGGCGTGCTCGGAAAGCAGCACATGCAATCTGTAAAGTTGTAGAGCAGATCGAAGAAATACTGAGCCATCTTGCGCGATGAATCAGGGAAGCTGATGCGACGGAATCTATATCAGAATAAAATTATGATCGATTTTGTTTTTCGTGATCTCCCCAGCTCATCAACCTGCAGTAGTCGCACAAGTGCCTCCGCGGAATCGTTGACGTGCGTGGTCCCACTGTCCCACTGTGGAGCAATCACCTACTTCGTGCGGGTGAATGGGAGTCGGGAAGCGAAATTGGATAATGTTCAGGGACGAGCGGTCTCGAGGTTGGAGCCGGAGCAAGGATAAGGAACGCGAGGAGAGAATCGTGGGAGATGAAGGTGCCAGGTGGACGAAGCGGAGAGATGTTAATCAGGAGAACTGCAAGGTAGTTAATTGTTAGCGTCAGGGAATGGTCACTGCTGTACAGAGTAGTGTCTCCTATGTCTCAGTCAAGCATGTGTCGCAGTAGGGTTGGAATGGAGAGGTGATGAATATCTCATCGATAATAGGATATCTTCAGAGATTAAAGGGAACTTCTGCCTTACAGCCGTGGAGTTCGTCGGACTGATTACGCATGGGCACTGTGGAGCAGCAGATAATAATAATACTACGAGTACGTACCGAGCAGAGAAACCCATGGCTCGTGTCTCCGTTGTTTGTTATCACTATCATGACCATCATTATGGCTATTTTAATATATTCCGTAGAGGATGTTGATATATAACAGAAGAAGCATCATGATCAGACTATCAGTGCAATTGTCGGTGATCGATGTCTCGACGTCAATCCTCTCCTAAGTACCTCTAAAACACCATTCGTCATTCCCTTTTTGCCAATTAGCCCCCGTTCTTGTCATTCTTCTTCTTCGGGCTTCTTCTCTGCCCAACTGGGAAATAAATAATAAGAAAAAGAAACGCCTCCGTCAACCCCCTTAAACCGTTAACAGTCCATTGTTGGCTGACAGGAAAGCCATGAAAACTTATCTGCTCCTATCAATAATCAATCAATGACCAGTCAATGATCTAAAGTGCAGGAGCTCCACTCGTGTCTGTTCTTCCTTATACCGCATCATCCCTTTAATGCCGCTCTTTTCCTTCCCCCCTCCTGACTTGTGTCCCTTTTGAATTTCTGGACCTTTCACCTTTCCGCTCTGGTCGCGTTCGTGAATTCGAGCACTTTGAGGACGCTCTCTCTCAAATCTCGAACTCCATCGCCATGGCGCCTCTCGACGATATCCAGGTTGGCGATGTTGTGAACGTTCCCGGGGGCATGTATGGGACGGTCCGCTACCTGGGCACCGTCGCCGGAAAACCAGGCAAGTTCGCCGGGATCGAACTGGCTCCGGAGCATGCCAAGAGAGGGAAGAACAATGGAGATGTGGAAGGGAGAAAGTATTTCAAGACCACTGTCCCTGGTTCCGGCATCTTTGTTCCCATGAACAATAATCGCTACGTCACGAAGCGATCCTCCACATCCGCCCCTACCGTGACCACCGCCCCTCCGACGCCTTCGCGACCGATCAATTTCAGCAAATCCGTCGGACCCAGTCCTGCAGTGCCTCGTCCGCGTGTAAGACGACCCTCTCTACCTCGCCCTGAGTCGCCTCGTGGTCTGCCCCCCTCCAAGCTTAGCCTTGCCGGGCTTCGTACTCCGTCCACCGCTTCTCGAACAGGGCCGAGTCCCAATGGCTATCCTCGAAGTCCGGTTAAGGCTCCGTCTCGCGCATCCGATAGGGCTCCCTCCCGCATGAGCGTGGACGATGACTTGTCCTCGGTTAGGACTTCCGACTTCCATCGTAGCTCAATGGCGTCGGAGGTGCAGGAATTGAAAGATCAGATCAAGAGCCTGGAAAAGCAGCTACTAGACCGCGATAAGCAGCTGGAGGAACAGGAAAATACACTGGCGGAATTCCATAGGACAATTGAGGACCTGGAAGGTTCGGATGCCCTGTCCATCAGGGCCCAGCTGCGGGAGAAGAACGAGCGGATTGCTCAGTTGACAGCGGAATTCGATCTCCATCGAGCCGACTTCAGGAGCACTCTCGATACGCTGGAAATAGCCGCGTCGGAGACCGAGCGGGTCTACGAGCAGCGCCTGGACGAACTCATACAACAGAATAAAGAGCTACAAGACCGGGGTGAGGATGTCGAGGCCGTTGCCAGGCAGCTGAAGCAGCTGGAAGAGCTAGTTTCGGAGCTAGAGGAGGGCCTGGAAGACGCAAGACGTGGCGAGGCGGAAGCGCGGGCTGAGGTTGAGTTTCTACGAGGAGAGGTTGAAAGGACAAAGCTTGAGCTGAAAAAAGAGCGCGAACATTCCAGTGCCATGTTGAGGGATGCCCATTCAGGCGGAGACGGAGGCCGGCAGTATTCGAAAGAACTAGATCAGAAAGACGACGAGATTCGCGGCCTCAAAGCCATCATCCATTCATTGAGCAGGGGCGATCCGAACTTCCCTGGTCTGCAGAATGGGCTTGCAAGTTCTCGACAGGACCATGATTCCGAACAAATCGCTCATCTGGAACAGCGTATTCAGGAATTTGAGCACGCAACCGAGAGCAAGAACTATCGCATCGAGGAGCTTGAGCGGGAGTTACAGCAGTTGCGGCTTAGCAATGAAAGCCGTACTCGCAGCTCCACGATCAGCGCTCCAGCGCCTCACCATAAACCATCGAACTCTGCGGGATATATCGGGGCCGCAAACACTATCAACCATGCTCATCGACTGTCTGACCGCACAGTGGTCCCTAATGACTGGCAAGAGCAACCTCATGGTGAAGGTCAGTATCTGCCGTTTGGCTCGCACCACCGAGGAGCTTCGGACTCCTCCCGCCACCGTCTGGAGACCATGCATGAGTCCGATGGCCGCTCTGATGATGGCAATTCATTGTGGTGTGAGATTTGCGAAACCAGCGGTCACGATATCTTGAGCTGCACGAACATCCTTGGCGCCGAAACCAAGAACGAGCATGCTCTCCCTGTTGAGCAGTCACACCACGAGGGTTCTGTGGACGGCAAGTCGACCCCCGGGACTTCCATCGCCGGAGAATCCTTTCCTTCAAAGGACGAGGATAGTGCCACCCCTCAAAAGACAGGACGAGATGCCGTCCTGGAGGGATTGAAGGGTATCAGTGGAGGACTCACAGCTTCAATGGCTCCTGTTGCAGGAAAGGCCAGTGGAGTGATTGATGAAACGAAGTGGTGTGCCCTCTGTGAGAGGGACGGTCATGAAAGCATTGATTGCCCTTTTGATGACTGAGCAGCGGCCGTTGCGTCCGGATGCTGCTGATGGTGGCTCATGTTGGACGATCACCTATTTCTTCTGTCCTTGATGTCTGAGCGGGTATCTCCTATGGGCGCATGCCGAACCTATTAATACTTTTGCATACTTTCTATTCTGGCAACGCCATGCGCCTGTTGCCCTAGACTGCGGTTTTCGCACTTTTTATAGTCTCCTTCTTGGGGGCTCTCGCTGTCATGACCATATGAAGCCCAGCCTTGCCATTAGAGATTCAACCCCAAGGCGAGACCTTATTCAGCGCTTGTCTTAATACCTTCATCGCTCTTCGAGCCCTCACTCTTTCTGACTCGGCTGTTGCCAGCTCTTTCCTTTCATTTCACCCTCTTTTGTATTCTTATTGTACTTTTTCTCGGGCTTAATAGACCCTGTTCTTACAAACACCTCCCGCAGAATCGCAGAACCTCAACCCATCCTACTCATCTTTTATTCCCGCTATGCTTCGGCCAGAATTACATGATGCGTCCAGGCGAGTTGCGGTTTTCAGCTACTCCTCCAGTCAGCAGCGCATTTGGGCCAACGACCTGTGTCGGTCTCATCAAATCAATGTACAAATTGGAAATTGTCCGAATACAGCGCTTGAACAACTACATATAAGTACACTACTCATCGTCCGGTTTCCCCGGGCCCCGTTTTCGTCCCGCCTACAGGTTAGAAAGTAGAAACCCAATCACTCCAGAAACCTAGGTGGCTGTACAATCTCCCCTTCTTGATATCGCGTTTCCGCAATGGTCCCACATCTCTTGCAAGTCCGTTTCTTCTCATCAGCAGCAAATTCCTCGACCACCTCCTTCACCTGTGTCCCCAAATCGGTACACACAAACCGCTTCTCCCAGACAACCTCCCCACACTTCTTGCAGAACCACAGCATCGTATCAACTGCGTCTTTGGGCCGAGGCTGCTCCATCACCACACCGACTGTGTCCTTGAACCGCACAGGGCAGTGCGGGGTGTTGGCGGGCAGTAGGAAGATCGACCCTTCATGGATGGGGATATCCTGGAAGACGGGAGGAGAGACGGATGTATCAGCTGTCTTTAGAAGCATGGAGCCTCGATACTGATAGAAAAATTCTGGGGTCGTGTTGATGTGATAGTCCGTGCGGGCATTTGGGCCCCCAACGATCATGACCGTGTATCCCGCTGTCGCGGGGGAGGAGGGGTGATAGACGCAGTAATTATTCACTGGTGGTTGAAGGAGATGTGAGTTTTCTTCGAGCCTGTAGCCTGGTCATTATCTGAGCTGTAAATGTACTTCATGGTTTCGTATCAGGAGATGCTCCCTGCGAAGCGGGGGAGGGGTATGCGGTTTCGGGTGGGACTTGGAGGTAGGAAATACCATTTTGGGATGTTCAGAGCCGGTGGTAGCATTGTCGCAGACTTTCTATTACTTTAGAGGCCTTTCTGATGCCGAACAGACTTCTAATCGACGAACTGTGAGATTTTATTCTCGCAGTCAATCATGAATGATTTTCAAGCAAAGACCAAAGCCGATGCGGTCATCCCATCAGGCGGAGATAGCCGGAGATAGATAAAGAGGACACCCGGAAAGGAAAATCGTCTGTCCGACAGATTTTCTCTTTTTATCAGAAATTATCCACACTTTGACATTGAGAGAATCAGCTTCTGATATCGACGACAGGGTATCGGAAGATCTCCAATCCAGCAACTATGGCCACTACATCTCAGCCTCCCCTTCGGTTCACCGGCCACAAGAATTTTGTGAACCGACTGGTCTTTTCAACCTTAACCGGCCGTGCAGTCCATATCTCCCAGATCCGTCCTTCGTCTCCCACGAATCCCGGTCTTGCTCCCCACGAAATCTCGTTTCTGCGTCTCTTAGAGGCGGTCACAAATGGTTCCCAGATGGAAATTTCATACACGGGAACTATCGTTATCTACAAGCCTGGTCTGATCACTGGAGGCGTTGTGGGTAACGGGGTCACCACCGGAGGTGTTATCCGGCATGAACTCCCAGCAGGATGCACTCGAGGCGTCAGCTACTTCTTAATACCTCTTTGTCTCCTCGCGCCATTCTCTAAAGCCCGATCAAGGTACTCTTCACTGGACCTGGCGTTATTACTTCCGCCACACCCAATGGGGACATGTCCGTGGACAGCGTCCGCACTGCAATCCTTCCGCTTTATAACCAGTTCGGCATCTTCAACAACATTGAGCTTCGCGTTCTGCGCAGGTCTAATCCTGGACCGAATGGCAGGGGAGGCGGTGGAGAAGTTCAGTTGGTTTTCGGCCACCAAGTACGCCTTCCGAAAACACTGCACCTGATGAACCCAGGCAGAGTCAAGAAGGTTCGTGGCGTCGCGTATTCGGTGGGTGTTTCAGCCTCCAACAATGCGAGAATGATCGATGTGGCGCGTGGCATCCTCAATCCTCTCGTTCCCGACACCTACATTTTCTCCGACGTGTCGTCTGCGCCGCTGGTCCCTGACAGAAACAACCCATCCGCAAAGAAGAAGCTCGGTCTTGGCTTTGGTTTATCCCTGGTTGCGGAGTCTTCGACTGGCTGCTTGTACTCCGCTGACGTCGCCTCTCCACCTGCGGGTGGCCAGGCACCGGAGGATATTGGAAAACAATGTGCCTACCAGCTTCTGGAAACTATCTCGAAAGGCGGATGCGTTGCCCCGGCTGCAGCTTCAACCATGCTGGGCCTGATGACTATGGGATCAGAGGACGTTGGTCGACTTCAGTTTGGACGGGAAGTGATTGCCGATGAGAGTATCATTCAGCTGGCTAGAGATTTGGCCAAGTTCGGTGCCCCTGGTTGGGGTCTAAGAGATGCTACCGGCGAGAATGAGCAAGGGGATGTAATCGTGAGCGTGGTTGGTCGAGGTATTGGCAACGTTGGTCGGAAGGTTGCTTGATCACGGCAAAACATGAATTGGCGGCATATGATATCTGCTACATATGCTCGCTCATGCGGTTATCAACACGAGGCTCAACCACCATTTGGAGGCTTCTCTGCACATCCGAACCAGTGTAGCGGCTCCGCGCACACATGATACTCTTGTTCCGATCATTCTCCGGTAACAAGCCACCGGATCTGTTTGGGAGATGCTCTACCCAGGTGTGCATCAAAGTCGAGTGAACGAGTGAACTACCTCGACTCTAACGAAAACGTCATCACTCGCCTGGTTCTGTTATGTGTGGTTGGGATCCGGCACGAGGTTACTTGTACTTCGGACAGCCAAGGTTCTCAGCAGGACGACCGATATTCTGAGGTGTTTGGCGGGGGGAACAAAAGTTTTGAAAGGTTGTTCACCTTTTGCGTCGCACTATACCCATGTTTCGATTACCGAGGTTGTTCCTGGACACCTGGCCAGGGCAAATTGAACTGATATTCAAAGAAGAGGCGTTTCTGGTGTTCCGGGAAACAATTATTATGGCGCACTTATGCCTGTATATAGTACTATCATGCATGCAGATCCTGCACAGCTAAACATTTGATATCAACGACAAAAGCCTTCGTCACATTTGTATTCGTGTTCTTCATTTTACAGTTCCTCGATTCTACTAGAATATGTATGCTGATACGGAAGTGTCTACTGCCCCAGTGACGCAAGCAAATGCTCGTCCCAACTGGAGGCTGGACCCAAGCTCAAGATTCTTGAAGCTGGAGGGAGTGTTGAAGAACTCTGTATGTACCCTGTCCTTTCTGTCACAGCAGGACCGGACGATCAACGGCTCATTATGACCTTATTTTGCGCACCTCTTTCGCTCTGGCATATCTTTTTCGTCACGATGTTAGGCAACAATCTGCTGAACCAGTTCCCAACGCAGAGATCTTTCCTAGATTGGGGAGCATGACGGTATTCAGTGCCATAGTTTGATCGTACTTTCCTTATTTGCAGCGGTTGCCTTGGGGGTCCTGGCCCGCCACCAGCGCGGTACAAAAAGACAGCTGCTCCCCTCTTCCTCCTCTTGCGTTCTTTCCTTCCCTTCCCCTTGCCCCTGCCCTTGAGAGTCTATCATTTCTTTTCTTCTCCTGCGCCGTTCTTCCTCTTGTACTTGTTTCTCGGCATGAACCATATTTTTTTCTTTCTCTCTCCAGATATTGATCTTCGCCGTGCTTCACGTGCCTTCCTTCTGCATATCTCCCATGTCCCACTATAGTGGCCCCTGTAAGTTGCCTTGCAGCGAGTTTCAAACTTTCTCGTTTCAACCAGAAGCTGATCCTTTCAGATTGCGCGTCATGAAGGCTTTGTACAGGGGCTTTTGTCAACATCGCGGACTGATTCCTGTCTTGAGGTACGAACGGGTAAGATGAACAAACACACTTCTACTATAGATTGCTCTAATATCCTACATCTAGGCATCTTAAGATAGTACCACAATCTAGCAAAAGGACCAAATAACAAGAAAACATGATAGACTCCAAAAGCAGACTTCCATACAATAAACATAAATGAGGAAGCATTGGTGCTGAACAGAAAATCGACCATGACAGAATGAGACTGGCTTGTGCACCCCAACGCCTTTTGGAATGCAGCATACGCCGATTGAAGTTTTGAAAGCGAAACAGTGAAGGATTCCACCGAATGAAAAACGGAAGAGAGAGCAGAGGTGAGGTAAACGGGGAGTTCTTTCGAACAGGATGAAAGAAACAACGCTAGAAAGTATATCAAAAAAAAAGAGAATTTGCGAGATTGTAGCAGTTGAAGGTCATTGACAGAGTGATTGTTTGCGGGTGGCCTTTACTCTACCACGTCCTCATCCTTGCCGGGGTACATGATGTCTTGTCTGATGACGGCACGAATGTGGTAGACGAAAACGAAGACCCACATGCAGACAATACCGACTGACATTGCCGAGCCAACGCCCAAGACGCCAGGGCTACCCAATGCCCTCCCCAGGGTAATGGTGGCCAAGGTGAAACCGGTGTTAGGGAAGACCAGGGCCCACCAGCTCAGATGGAACGCAGTAGGCCGGGCCAGGACGACGGCAACAAGGGCAATGAGGAAGAACCAGAGACTCAGGGCCCAGAGGAACACGCCGACGATGATTGCCATTAGCTCGAGGATCCGGGCGTCCTCGATGGCGTGTGCGTCGTTGAGAACCTTGAATTCCTCGGGCAGGCCCTTGGCCATCCCTACTAGAGCTAGCGCGGTGAAAGCCGGAGGCCCCACGCAGATGAACATGGCCGGTCTGTGTTCGCGGCAGGGAAGCCCTGACTGCATGAGCCGGCCGATGTAGTGGGCGTACATCATGAAGCTGATGGAGAAGCCGAGGCCCTGGAATGTAACGCCGGCGGTGATGACGGGGATGGCGGATCGCGCGGGCTGGGATTCGCCGATGACGGAGGCAATGGTTCCGCTGAGCATGATTGGGAAGGCTGGTAGGATCCAGGAGGGCATCATTGTCTGGAGGCCGTAGGAGTGGGCAGCGAAGAGAAATGAGTACTGGATCACGGCTGTGGCAAGGGTGCAACTGCAGTAGACCCAGAAGAGGACTTCGAGTGCGATGAGGTACGACTCTAGGTCGTTGGAGCCGAAGTAACGATGCAAGCCGGTGATGATCGTTGCAATGGATAGCCAGAAGGTAGGAAAGAAGAGACCCTCGCGAGGGTGGCGCAGGCTGTCAAGGAAACCGCCATGCAGAATGAATCTCAGCGCCATCAGAGAACACACAAGAGCGAATAACAGAAGATTGATAATATAAACGACCATCCCAATGCCCTTCATTCCCTTGAAGGTATAGGGCTGACTAGCAATCAGAAGAGCCAGTCCACCGGTGCTCATCGTCAAGGTGTACCAGGCCCAGGTGAAGTGCCGTAGGCGCCCACGAAGGCTTAGTCGAGGAGATTTCTTCATCTCTTGTTCAAAAAAGCCAGAATCTGACTGTGACGATGTCGGCGGAACATGATCATGATCGTTGAACATCGTGATTGCGAGTTGCTCGGTCCTGATACGGACACGGAAAGAGTATGGAAAGGCAAACAAGGAAATTTATGTTAAGCTTAGTGAAGATGTGGTAGAACGACAGACACGAGCCAGGATCCTCTCCGGATGAGAGAGTGTGTGTAGATGATCTGTCAATGCCCTGGCTCCAATACAAAACCCCACAGACAGGGCAAAGATGAATCTATCGGAGCAGAGATGGTAAAGATCAGCCTATGTGCACTTGAAAGAATGGATCTACTATGCAGTGCCTGCACAAGGAAAGAAGAGAGAGAGATTTTGGAATAGAGAATGTAATTGTCCGACTGAAACTACGAGATATCGTTGGAGCCATAGATATTTTATAACAGACGGCAGACCCGCCATGCACATGTGAACGACCACTATAAAACAGTGAGGGCTTCGGCTTGACAACCATTGCCATTCCATCTGACGTGAAGGCTGTCTGGGCCAAGAGTCCAAGAAAATAGGAATGCAGGACGCATCAACAGTGGGTTGGCTTAGCAGGTATCGTGGAGGACATCCTATAAACTCATTGCTCCAGATTGGATCAGTAGTGTCCACCAGGAATCGGGGAGGTTAGGAAGGAAATTCAATCAGGCGCATATTTAGATAGGGCCATAGGGGGCGTAGCTGCAACTCACCTTCTTGCAAAGGAGAGAAGGTTCACTGTGGAGAGTCTAGACAAGGGGAGGGGGAAGGTAAAGCCTGATGCCTAGGGGGATGAGCCATGATCTTCACAAATAGTGGCAAATTAACGAGACTTCGCCAAGAGAATGTCTGGTATCAGAGTGTGCCTGAAGGAAGAAGATCAAGTAAGTTATGCACTCTGCAGACCACAAATGCAACGTTCTCGCCATGCAGATCCAAGATGACGCGTTTCTGGCGATAGCATGGGTACAGGTCAGAGTGAAAATAGGAGTGGCTTGTCACATCGACTAAAAGAGGAAGAGAGATAAGGCTTATTTCCTATTTTGTCAGCTTTCTGGCTTCTTTTGCTTCTTACGGTATCGGGTTCACTCCTTTGGCCGGCTTTTCCTGTTTAATCTTCGAAACTGATTGCCAAACTTGTCATGATCCGAATCTTGAGACTTTTCCAGTCTCGACGGCGCGATCTCAAAATTAGAAGCCGGGAATGAATCATGGAATGGAGACAGCACCTCGTCGGGTCGCCCGATTGCAGGCTTTCGGGCCGAAGCAGTGGAATTTTCACAAGTGGAAAGGGGCCGCTACGCCCAGTACGTAGTAGAAACGTAGATCATCGATAGGGAAGGCAACAGCTTTGAAGCCGATTAGACGGGTCTGTGTTCTTGTAAATTCTGTGGGTCCTGATGGCCAGGACCCGAGTAAATCATAGGTGGAGGAAGTTCTGGGCAACATTCGAATGCAGCGGACTACAGAAAACAGTACCCGAATGAATCTCAACGTGCGCCGAGGCCTTCAATTTGGTTTGCCCAGGAGCCCAGGCAAGCGGCCCAAGAGAGGGATCGACGACGCATCATCGACGGGGAGACCCGCTGCCAAGCTCAGTGGTGGCTGTGGGAAAGAAAGCAAGTTAGCGAGTGAGACACAAGGAAAGGGGGATGGAAAGTGAAACCATTACTTGAAGGGACTAGGTTTGCGTGTTGTGTATTTGCTTTTTCGAACTGCCCCTGAAGGGATGTTATGAGTGGATGTATGGCATTTCCACCACAATCTGATATCTAGATCATGACCCTGAAGAGATCTTGGGTCCAGAAGGATGCAGTCACCTGTGAGCTTAATGGAATCAAGAGAGATGGATTCAGAGGAGCGGTCGATGGAGTCGATGGAGATGCTGGAGCGCGAGGAGAGTCCAGTTCCAGATGTCGTTGCTGGGAAGACGCATCAATGCTTCTCTTGGCATTGGGAGAATCGACATTAGGGAGGTAGCAACAACCATTTCTAAGAATAACAATCAGCGCTGAAGTTCAGAAAGCTAGTTTTCTGTGAGATGATGATGCATGGTTTATCGGCGTTATTGTCCAGTCTTTCATGTTGCACATACAAAGCCAAGAATGGCTGTGATGGCAGATCTACATGAATCCAGTGCATGGCCACATAGTTCAGCGGATCTCTGGTGTGTATGAATATCTCCCTGGTTATACAATTCTAATGCACACTATTCATGATCTACAGAGTCGTTGACCCACTGCTTGGGTCTCTATTCCACCGTAACATCAGCGTGATACATGGCAACTGCTACCACAGCCATTAGACAGATCAAAGGCCCACTGTAGCCACCTCAACTCCCTCATTATCCAGTTCATATCAGGGTATGGTATGAAAATATCAACTACGCCAAGCGTGAATATCCACATATCAGTCTGAAATATGAATCAAGGCCAAGAAACGGGAAGATGGTCCGTCTCCACACACCTTCCGAGTCTCTACGAAGCGAATCCACCTCGATGCCCACAAGGTAGATCTCTCAAACTTATCTGTTATCCAGTAGACAGGCCCGACGACGATGTACAGAAGGTGTGACTGATTTGTAGATTGCAGCAGTGGAGGTTTGGCATGATGCTCTAGCCGTACAGACGTGCTGAATCTAGGACGTGGTTGTACCGTAGCCACGGAGATTACTTGCTACATCCATATAAAATGGTACACTTGTTCTGGCTGCGTATTGAAAACAACATACATTGACGAGATGAGTTAGGAGTGGACAGTTCATCATACTGATCATCATCCAGTCTAGGTCATTATCCAACTCTTCGGTCATGACAAGGTACACAAGGCGTTGAAAGCAATTGGTAGAAAGCGAAGTCGTAGAACAGGATGCACCAAAAATGCTAGTGGAATGGTGATCATCATTTTTGTGGTCAATTTGGACGAAGTGATGCCCCCATGAGACTGTGACAAGACACAAAAAGGGTATGCTCGAATAACAGAAGTCATATTCCATTGCTCGTCGTTCCATACTCCCCTTCCATGCATAGATACGTACTTCAAGCAAGAATACAAGTAGATATACGACTTGATGTAAAGGCCAAGGCCAAATTGAACAAGCCCCAACACGGGACACAAACAAGACGCCTAATAGGATGGACAAAAGACAATTGAGGTGCAAATGAAGCGCAAGTGAAACTTGAATTCACATCATGCGGAAGACCAAGTCCGAGGCTAGTTCGGTTGTCGAATCCAAGAGCGCGCGGAAACCACGGCTGGAAGGTCGATCCGCCATTCGTGGCCTTTTGTCCACTGGTGAAGGGAATGGCGAGCTTACCATACTTTCCATTGGAGGGCAGTATTCTGCAAGCTCTCTCACCTTGCAGGCTGCGTAGTGCACAACGAGTTTGCGAAGCTCGTTGTCGCGAAGCTGGGTGGCCGAGGTTGGCGAAATTGGCTCCAGACGGGTCGTCTTGGTGAAGGTGAAGTGGAGAAGGTCAAGGACCATTCTGGCCTTGGTTGCGGTCAAAGCAGCTCGCTCTTCCTTCCCTTCGCCGTCTTTCGGACCAGGAAAAGCCAGACGCAGCAGATCCGCGTGAAGCTTTCGGAGACACAACTGCGCCAGAGCGGGAATCAAGTATCGTACAGCGAAAACGTACAGCTTGGCGTGGAAGATAAGATACGGGAGATCTGACTTGCTTGGATCCGAGTGTGTCGCCGTTGGGGTGAGAGGCCTTGTCCCATAGGTCGAGGGATGATCAAAATAGTCCAAGCTCACAAACTCATCCCAGAGACCAACTCCAGTTGGGCGGCGCGAAAGATATAGCTGCTTGGCGAAAGAGGTGTCAATGAACGATTTCATCTGGCTTCGGGGAGACACAACCTCTTCGTTGACTTTGTCTTGCTTTTGACTGTCGTGATCAAGTGCCAGCTCCTCATTGAGGGTGTCCTTGACATTGGGAGGCACAGAGGTTGCTTGATCCCAACTCTCAGTATCCGAGGCCAGTACAGCAGCATCAGGGGACTGGTCCGCTCCAGTGGGCTCAGGAACTTCCACAACCTCCGCTACGTCATCTACTTTAGTAGGTTCGGTTACTTGGATCGGATCATCCAGCATTGCAGTAGTCTCGACTGTGAGTTCGTTATCAATCTGGTCATTCGGGTTTCCAGGAGGAGGGGTCGTTGGAGGAGTTAGGTTAGACATTGGTTCCTCTGCCGTGGCACCACCTTGCTGTTTCTTCTTGCCCTTCTTTGGCTTCTTCACTTTCTTGCCCTTCGAGGGCGTGGCGTCCTCGTCGAGCCCCCAGAGAAACCCCTCTTCGGCAGCAGAGGTAGCCAGAGGCTGCTCACTTGGCTCATCGCAGGTTGATGTCAGGTCCTGGGGCGGATCATCTGGTGCCGCAACATCCTCTCCCACGTCGTCGTTGGCATCCTTCACGCTCTCGCCCTCCTTCTGTGGCTGCACCAACTCCTCAGTTGTCCCCTCCCTTTGTGGCTGCGCCGACTCCTCAGTTGTCTCGGCAGACTTCGGGTCCCCACGATCTGGCACGTCCAGGTTCCTGACCGAAAGCTTGGCAGACGGGGGAGGAGATGGTGCCGGGGGAGGAACGGCCGAGGCGAAGGGATTGGGATTCGAGAACATCTCATTGAACGCCGGGTCATTGCTGGCTTCCTCCTTCCCACCTTCGAGAGATCCCGGTGTAGGCACGCTGTAATCGCCCGTATAGGCATACTCGCAAAAGGCCACAAAGGTCTCGACATCCTCGTCCTCTAGAACGGCAATATGATGCTTGGACTCCCTGGTGAGGCCATTGTTCATGAGATGATCGAGTGGTTGGGAGACATGGCGGGCAAGACCCGATTGGATTGTCAATTTGTCATGATTAGGCCCAACAAGGAACGTGAATGGTGATGAATGGACGATGCTGTACCCAGGAGAGTGATTCGAAGAGTCAGTGGCAGCGCTGTCATGGTTGGCATGATGACTTGAATGCTCGTAGCTTTTTTGATCATCGTCTTGTATATATAGGAAGAAATCAAAGTAAAGACCGCAGCACAAGCAGGATGCTGAAAACAGAGATATCCCCTCCAAGTTGACTGATGAAGATGCTCGACTCACCTGCTCCAGTCTGGAGACGACTCCATTGAGGATACTATCCCGGAAACTCCCTCCGCTTTTTCTTGCAACAAATGGACAATGCGATCTCACCAAGACAAAGGTGCGAGTAAGAACAGAGCAAACGCAATTGTCCGCAATGCCCCTCGCTCTGAATGCACAGCAATAAATACTAACAGCCCGAAACAGTCATCGTTGACTCTTCAAAATTCGAAGCAGAGTCCACGCGAGCTGTGAAGTTTCTGACCCTGCGCCCTCCTATCCTTGCCCTCTGCAGCCTCATTTTCGTCTATCTAAACTAAAAAGAGAGGCTACAAGCGCGGAAACCGACCCAGATGGGTCAAGTTAGTCTGCTACGTGTGCATTCACGACGGGATTTAGGGCGGTTTGACCGCCAACTTCTATTCTCCAACGGTGCCAGCAGCAACAACTCCCTCATAAACTATTCACCCTTATCAGGGCAGCTGGCCGATGGGCCACTGCCAGATACCATGAACCGCTCTGTCTTGGAGCCATACCTTGCCATTGATAAACATTGACATGGCGAAATTCGCGGGGATAGCTCAACATCCGCGACCCGTTTCAGACGCTGTGCAGGTAGGCTAGCTGTTCGTCTCACCCCATTCTCGAGAACGACTATTAGTGCTACTGGACAACGCAGCGGGTACCATGCCAAACTACGGATGGAGACTGTAACACGCGCAAGTCACGCGGGCAATAGATAGTTGCAGGCTTGCAGCGCTTTTCTTCCTTTTGATCCTAGAGGGGGGTGGAAGTGACCAAGCAACATCGTTTGAGAGTGCTTTGAGTAGCATTAGTCTGGTCAGTTAGCGGTGACTCCTGCGTCGGGGCTGCCAATGCCAATTTCCTCCAATGGGTTAGGTTGTTGCCCGATGAGTGCTGTAATTGCTGTTCGTCCCAGGGAATTGATGACCCAATTGCGGGTCGTTTCGTGGACGGAGTTAGTTTGATACGTCATAGAATCATGAGCAAGAGAAGGAAATTATTGACTGTTATGGTAGTATATGCTAGAAGTGCTGTGAAGTTCCCAAACTGGCTGGGTGCGTTCTCATCTGGCGGTGAGATTGGTGAACTTCGATTACCGCTTCAGATCGTCAGAATATGGCTGGGTTTGCTACGAGCCTCGGTCTGATTAGTCTCGAGTCTGGTGGGGAATACTTGATCGACTAGACAGTGCAGCTCGTTGAAAGATATTCAAAGTCAGACCCTGTTCTCAGATCAACATGAGAAAACAAGGTGCATTGACAACAAGCCGTGTATGTCTTGCAATTGGGTGGCATGTCTCAGTCATGCTACATATCAAATTAATATAGTTTTTGCTCCATATGTAGTCTTAAGCTTTGGATCTAAGATCAAGAGACAGAGGCATAATGCACTTCCAGAATCCGTAATCAATGAATCAGGCGAATCTCCGTCGTGCCCGGCTCCCACTCCCGTAAGCCTTCACCGACACTGTACCAGAACCGCAACCGCACACACTCCTGACGCGCAGCCTCGATATCCCGCCGTTCAAAGGCTTGCGCCAAGCTCTTCACACACGCCGCCACCCGCGTGTCATTCTCCTTCTTCAGCGCAGCAATGGTTCCCTCAGCCTCCGGCCCTGCACCGACTTCCTCAATCGTCTCCTGAACCTCCATGACCTCCATCAGTGTCTCCGGGTCGAGCGCATGCTGGGTCGCTCCGTCCTCCGCCGTCACATCAATGCCATGCATCTCGCGCAGAAGATACTGCGCCCGTTGCAGAGGGTCCGCTAGAGTCCGATACGCTTCGTTAATCCGGGCGGACAGCGCCTCCGCCCGCTGCTTCGCCGGCCCTGGCGGGAACTTGTCCGGGTGTATCACATTCTGCAGGCGGAGGAATTCGCGTTTCAAATCGCTCAGAGGGATATCAAATGATGAAGCGGGAGGTGGCCCTGCCGGTAAGGTCTCGCGGAAAATGGTATAGTGGTTTGTAAGGTCTGGGAGGTTGCTATCCTGATTGCTCGTCTCGGTAGCTGTTGTAGTTGAAGAGGTAGAGGCAAGTCGACGGATTGGCAACGTCAGACCGGGACATCGCGCAGTTTGAGCAGCCCAGGCTCTCGGTCTTAGTTGGCAGAAAATACAGGCACCTGTTGAGAATAGCGAGCGCCGGGCCTCCGTTCGTGACGGGGGAACTGCGGAGAGCAGCGATCGCTGTGCCAGCCGCTGCATGCGAAATGATGTCGCCATCTTTTCCTTGAGAAGGTACGTCTGTTGCGCAGCCTATGCTTAGATCAAGAATGGTAGAACAGGTTTTCCTCTTCCATCTGGGGATTTGTTCCGCTGGCTTTCTCGGCCAAGCAATAAATAATGATGATAACCAACCACGTGCCGCTTAGTCAACAATCGGCGATTGATCGCCCATTACGTCATTCATATTGAAAACGCATTGTAAGGCTTCATAATCGATGCACATTCTCTACGGAGTAGTATCCAATCCGATGTATACTTTCTGAGGATGTACGTACAGGGGGAAGCCAAAGTCGGTCGACGCATAAGCTGGAACAATTAGATATCCAAGTCTGTGGAAATGGTAATAGCCTATTCTTCGAGTAACCGGAATCTCCAGATGGAGCATTAGCTTCTAATTGAGCCAGCTCCGACACAGACCCTACTAGGCAGCGTAAGGATTTATTGTAGGTATATGAGTCCGCAAGCGTAAATATGGCCACACTGTCGATTGTACTCATTTAGTCTTGATAAGTGCTATATTCACTCTATGCCCCAGAGCTTCACAGTCCGATCGTGCCCGCAACTGGCAATCCACTGGGCATCATCACTAATGTCTGTACTGAGGACATTGCCTGCATGACCGCTTAAGGACTTGACCAAAGACCAATCATCCGCGCTGAAGATATTGACGTTCTTGTCGAATCCACTGCTCACAAAGAATGTGCCTGACTTCTTTGGTTGAACGGGGGTTGCTGGCGTTGACTGTTCACTCGTCGTGAGCGTCGGTTTGCTGTCAATGTCCATTCGCCCGTTGCTTTCAGTGGACGGCAGATAAGATGCAGCCGACTCAGTGCCCTTGTACCACCGTACATCCGACACGACACTCTTATGTGCGCCGATCCCACCAATATTGCGCACTTGTCGGAGGTCCCAACACTTGATCCAGCCATCACCCGAACCTGACAAGACACGGTATCCGTCTACACCCCAGTCGAGACCGTAAATTTCTCGGACATGTCCCTCAAGGATCATCACCGTGCGGCCCGTCCGCAGATCCCAGATTCGACCAATGCTGTCCAGACCGCCGCTAGCCAGCAGAGAACCGTCATTGTTAAATGCCACTGTATAAACCTCTCGTGAATGACCCTCCTGAAGAAGGAGTTCGACTGTTGTCTCGACGTCCCACAAGCGCCACGTCGTGTCGAATGAAGCGGAGGCGACGTACCGCCCCGAAGGATGAAATTCTGTCCGGCATACACGGCCGATGTGGCCTGACAGTGTAGCTAGTGGTGTATCTTTATCCAGTGACCACAGCGCCACGTTGCCCTCGCCGCCGCCGGAGACAAGGTTGACACTCGACTCGGACACATTCGACGAGGGAAGCGTTGCACCGGGGAACCACGCCAATCCACCGACACGATCAGTATGTCCATTGAGATTTGACTTCTCCTCCAGATTCGGTACGGTGAGTAAGCGGATACCACCACCCCAATTGCCCGCAGCGATCGTCTTTCCGTCTGGCGCAAAGCGGCAAATGCTCACAGGGCGATCGCCCGCAATCTGCGACCCGTAGAGGTCAAACCCTTGCAACTTCTCTTTGATCGCTTTGCGGTGTTTGATATGTGTTCTCAATGGGATTGTAGATTCCTCTCGTAAGCGCTCTACTCGTGCTTTCGCTCGGGGTAGGGAATAGCGGGCGATTGCTTTTCGGGCGTTGAGTAGCTCCTGCGAACCTTCTGTGTAGAATTCTTCCTGTTGTTCTGCTTCCTCTTCCGCCTCTTCAGCTTCCTCGGTCGTACCTCGCATCGATATATCGCCTTCCGCCGCCGCCGCTTCCTGCCTCTCGGCCAGATCGGTCAGAAGCTCACGCAGTCGGTCTCTCCGGTCAACGGGGCCTTCTCCGAAAAGAGTGATCGGTTCTCCGAGCTCTCGCAGTCGTGCGCGCACACGGTTATCATCTGTCGGAACCGCCATGGCGGCTGCTCGTCGCTTGCGCTCGAATTGGGAGAGAATGGCAGATGCTCGTTCAGCGGGTATGCCCGCTGCAGCAGAGGGAATATCATAGTCGCGGTCGACGGCTGCGATTGACATGGAAGAGTCAGCTAAAGAACTGAATACTTGGGTCGCAATCCAAAGTCAAATCGAGGGAAGCTATTACTTACGAATATTTGCCAGATCAACGCCCATTTCCGTATCCTAGTCAACCCAAAGATCATTGGTCGTCAGTGGAAGGATTTCTGAAGAGAGCCTTTTGACTTCATAATGTGAACATAGGTAGATCAATCTGCATGCAGAACCCTATATGGATCGAGCAGATGAGGGCCAGAGAAAGAGAGAAATCTTCGTACCTCGGACTCCTCCACGTACGCCTGTCTTGAAGGGTGCATCATCTTGGGGACTGGAGCTTGAGACAAAACTGGATTCAGAAGGATGACTCGGTTATTAGGTCGTCGTTTCGCCTAGAATATAATCGCCGAGACTAGCAAAGATTTTCTGATGGATATCTATCAGTCTGAAGAGGCACCAGTTGCTCTTATGGTGACACCGCAGTACTAGTGGAGGCCAGGAAGAAAACGCGGAGGAGACGTTATCCAGGATATTTTCCACAGTCCGTATAAGGGCGGATTGACTGTTCTGTCACCACCACAGGTCGTTCTTCCTGGAGAATCTTTCTACAGTACTCGGCTTCACTTGTGCATTCTATGCTTGCAAAAAGCTCAGTTCTTCATTATTATTCTGCAAAGTTCCTCTCCTAAGCTGAGCCAGTTCATCGAGAATGAGCCACATCCAGGTCGCTACGTGTATGTCGAATTTCTCCTGCACCGACTATCTAATTCCCCTCTCATTAATCAGTTGCTGTAAGCTAACAGCTACGTCTGCAAGTGTCCGTACCGAAGTCATCTCACCAAAGGCCATCTCGGCGTCAAAATCCCTTATCTTTTTTCCCATGAGGCGGTCGATGACGCCAGGCGGTCGGCGATCCCGTCTTATTGTTTCCATCAGTCATGGAAGGGAAATTTCAGCAAGAATGATTATCCACGATCTTCTCATAACCTCTGGCTGATCCAGTGATCGGCCCAGTGGCTTTCTATCCAGCGAAAAGTCTCCAATTGCATGGACAAAGCGTAGAGCACTTCATTGTTGCTCCCTCAGTTACCTCCTACCGTTTACTACTGTCAGTCCGGATCAAAGCGGTTGATCCGTGACGGTCGGCAGCTTGTTTGGTATCATCGCCAAGCGTTTTTCACCGTTCATCAAATGGTCCAGCAGACAATATCGTTGTACAGAAGTATTTTGCTGGAGGGTCTTGGTATTCTGAGGGACAGGGCCCTCCGGTGACGATCCTGCTCTTTGCCGATGATCCCGCTGGCTTCCTCCGGTAGAGCCTGCAGTTTAGCCTGCAGTAGCCTACAACCCGTCGCAAGAGGCAGATCGCTCTCTTTTGCGACATCTAGCACAATATGGTCTCGATACTTACCGGACTATCTCTCCTCCCTTAGAAGCCAGCGACTATCTCCATCCTACCTCCCACGATCTTCGCGAAGGACTTTTCATGCAACGTCATCGTTCAGTCTCGATGCTTCGCGCATCTCCTACCGTGTGGCGGCCTCGTCCTCTCCCAAGAACCGCCGTTTCCACCCTCCCACCAATTTCCACAATTTCCGACCCGAGCTTCACGATGCCATCGGCGTTGTCACAGAAGAAATTGACGCAGTCACCAGGCGCAAGAGGAGGCCAGATAGTGGGGAAGATGCTTTCTTTGTGAGCAGAGTTGGAAGTCAAGACTCCGGGGCCATCGCCTTCGCAGTCGCGGACGGAGTTGGAGGCTGGGTGGAGTCAAAGGTCGACCCAGCGAACTTCTCTCACGCTCTGTGCCGCTATATGGCGCTAGAGGCGCTATCTTGGGACTCGTCGACCGACAAATTGCGGGCTAAGAACCTGCTTCAGTCAGGATACGACCAGCTGGTGGCGGACAAGTCGGTTCGGGCTGGTGGGAGTACTGCATCGGTCGGGGTGGGCTTAGAAGACGGTCAGGTCGAGTTGGCCAATCTAGGTGACTCGGGCTCGATGCTCCTCCGTCTTGCGGCTGTGCATCATTATTCGGTCCCACAGACTCACGGCTTCAACACACCGTATCAACTGAGCATTATCCCCCGAGAATGCGTGCTCAGGCCTCCATATTCGGCGGCTCTTTCTTGGAGGACTCACCGCGCGATGCAGCCGTCACAAACCTTCATATGCAGCACGGCGATGTGCTCATGCTAGCGACCGATGGGGTCTATGATAACCTGAACAATCAAGACATCCTGAAGCTCATCACAAGCCGGATGATTCTGACCGGGGCATGGACCGCCACGCCCGATTTGGGAATCAAGGTATCGGATGATCTCGGAGCCCTGACGGGCCCTGACGGCCTCGCTTCTCTACTTCCCTGGCCATCCTCGTCTTCCAAGCCGTCAGCGGCCGACCCTTCCACATCGGGCAATGTCGCGCCATCCAGCCAAATCCTTCACCACCATACGCTACAGTCTCTACTCGCCTCCACAGTCGCCGGCGAAGCCAAACGGGCCAGCATGGATTCCCGACGGGACGGCCCATTCGCCAAAGAAGCCCAGCGCTATTATCCCGGCGACTGGTACAGGGGCGGAAAGGTGGACGACATCTGCGTTTTGATCATTGTGGCTGTTGAAGAGGGTCGAGGTCATGAATCTCGCTAGACTTCCGAGTTTGATCTGCGTTTTGGCGCTGTAGTTATGTATAGACCCTGCTGAGTCTACCAGAGCCGGAAATGGGTGTCACTTGTGCAGATAGTTTCGGAAGGGCTGTATCATATGATGTTATCTGCCCATACAGCATCTAGTATAATAGAATAGGATACCATATATTATCACGTTATCAATCTAGACACAATGCTCGATGTGAATTTCATACGAATAACTTTGTATTGTGCAAGGACTAAATCTCAACCCAAAACAAGAAGCTCGCGAAACTAAATTAACATTCTGAGAGACGTAATCAAAGGAAAGAGACCCGACAAACCCCAGTCGCATCGAAAGCATTGCAGAAAACTTCCAAGATACAGAGAAGCTGCGAGGCCTGCTTATTCTCTTCCTCATCTTGTTTAAATGCACTTGATACCCTTTCACGGTTCTGTCATCGTGCCACACAGCATTGCTTTCAATCCATAGTATCCGGTTCCATTTGCAGACTTGCCACCGTCACTGACCTGTGAAATATGAAAGATAGACATGGGATAGACAGACACAATAATAAGGGACAAGACACCCTTCGTAAGAAAAAGAGTTCAAAGGCTTTTGAGTAGTCAAATCTCCACTCATCGATCGGCGGCGGAAAAGGGACATGGGAGATATCAGTGGGAATTCCAGCCAGACAGAAAATGAGCAGGAATGCCAAAACTGAAGTAACGGGCGCATTATTGTAAGCGTAAGAGGTACAAGAGAAGAGAGAAATCAGTGAACGCATACGGACAACCATGTGTGCCTATGTTCACGCTGCTGCTTCAACAGCTTTCTCTTCTGCCTTCTCTTCCGCCGGTTTCTCCTCGGTCGTCTTCTCCTCGGTCACATCGGCACTTGTGGCCTCTTCAGTCTTGGGAGCTTCTTTCTCGGAAGCTTCCTTGGCTGGTTCAGGAGCTTCTGCCTTCTCCAAAGCAGCGTCAGCATCAGCCATTGACTCATCCTGTGGTTCCACTGAATCTTGCTTGGCTGCCTTGATCTCTTCTTCCTCCTTCTCGCCTTCAGTTTCAGTCTTTGCCGGCGTTTCAACGCTGTCCTCCTTGTGAGCTCCATTAGCCTTTGGCTCGGCCGGTGTCGTCGTGGTGTCGGCATCGAGCACATTCTTCCACTTGGACAAGATGTTGATAGCACGGCGACGGAACTGGAACTCCTCATCTCGAGGGATAGAGTTGAGCTTCACAATCATTTTGAGAACCTTGTTGATTTTGGTCGCACGGATGATCGAGACCTCAAGATCATCAGCCACCCTCTCAAGTCTAGTAAAGTAGCTAGACATGGTAGTCATCTCCTCCTCCTTGGGGGTTGATCACGCGAAATGAAGCCCTTCTGGAGTCTGTGGCGAACAAACAGGACTGTCTTCAAGTTAGTCTGGGGTCATGACGGATCTTCGGATAGGTCGACCGTACCTTCTTTCTGTTTTCTTTCCTTGGCTTCCCCTTGGTCGACTTGCTTTTCTGGCTCCTTCGGCGCAGCGCCAGCGTCCTCCTCACCCTCGTCACTGACGGCACCTTTGCCAGCCTTCTTGCTGCTGGCTGTCTGTTTAGCCTTGCTGGCGCCAGTGGCCTTCTTCTCAGCCTCGTTTGTTGGGGTCTTGGGGGTTGTCAACTTCAACTTGGTGGCAGTCTTGGGTGTTTTAGCAGGCTAGAACACAAGAAAAGGCATGTTAGTCCGGCGACCGTGTAAAAGTGACAATGAGTATTGGGAAGTCATAATTCACCTTTTCGGCTTCGCCATCAGTTTCTGCGTCCTTCTTACGCTTCTTCGAGCTCTTCGCCTTCTTGGGCTCGTCCGCATCTTCCATGTCAATATCCTCCAGGTCATCAACAATGTCCATGCTCTTCCGCTTGTTCTTCTTGGCTTCCCTTTCAGCCTTGGCCGCTTCCTTGGCGGCCTGCTGGGCTTCCTGCTCTTCCAACTCCTGCTGCAATGCGCGCTGATGATCAGCCAGCAGCTCCTTAAAGTATTGCAAGTCGTGACCTTCCGCGGCTACGGCATAAGCAGCAAGGAGTTGTTTCGATTTGCCCTTCTCTGGTACGTCTTTGCAGGAGGCGGGATCGAGCGGAGTCAGGTCTGTGTTGGGAATCCACGCGCTGATTTCTCCATTAGCCGCCAACTCCATGGGGATAGACAAGTTCAACATGGCACTTACAATTCGTTTGTTTCGAGGAACATCACAGGGAAAGTTCTCTCATGAGCTCTCTTGCCTCCGTCTGCATAGTCTTCTCTATAGGTGCCATCGGCCCGCATAGCGGTCACTGGACGCGTGCTCAGTAGAGTTTGAGGAAGAATTTCCTCATCACAGATGATAGACGGCCAGGGAGGGAAGCTCCGCAGGCGCGCGAGATAGTACTCGCCAGGCTTCGCGTGCAAATTTGTCATGCGAGCTTGCGACTTCTTCCGGCTGAGCTTGGATTTATGTTCGGGGACACCGCTAGTGGACTTGCGCCTCGAGCCTCCAGACTTCTTGGAAGATGTAGCTCCTTGAGCCTCGGACTCTGCAGGCGCCGCGGCGGTCGCTTCCGGTTCCTTCGCGTCAGCAGCCTCTCCAGGTGCCTTGGACTCTTCAGCCGGAGCATCAGTCGATTCTTTTTTCTCTTCAGATACGCTAGCATCGCCTGATAGACAGTAAAAGCATAATTAGCGATTCAAGTCTCAGATGAAAAGCGAAACTGAGGGACACCTTGCCCCTTCCCAGAAAAAGAAAAAAAAATCTGGGGGAAGAGTGCAGGTCACAACAATGGTACTGAGAAATTCTTACCGGATGGCTTTTCCTGGGTGCCATTGACCTTCTCTGTTTCTTGCTCCTTGGACGTCTCTGGGGCTGATTCCACGGGCGCAGTTTTGGCCTCAGCAGAAGGAGCGCGCTCGACAGGCGCCTCGCCAGCTTCGGTCCTGGAGACAGCAGGGGTGTCCTCGGCCATGGTGCGCGACAAAGCTCAATTAAATTCAGAGCAACAGTGAACTGCAATGCGGTTGAAGGAAGCCGAGGGTTTCAGTGAAGGAGGTGGTGGAAGGATGAAGATGGTTTGAGCTGGGAGATGTGGTGGAGAAGGTCGCGACGCCGGGAGGCGGGAAGGCCGAACAACGCGTGCGCTTGGGGGAAAAGGGAGTCTGCCAATCCACAAATGACGCAACGGAGGAGCTCAACACAACAACGGTCGAGATCAAAAGATCGAGTATAACAACAGCCTCCAGATAAGTTCTGGTCTGCTGTTCGTATTGTAGTATGTTAGAAAGTCGTAGGCTAGCCCACAGGACGAAATCTAACCAGACAGGCCACCAGGTTGCGTAATGACAAGCCCGACCGGGAGATACGAAATCAGCCTGGTGCGAATCTCTCCGTTATGGATGATTCGGGGACCTTCTCAGATCAATAGTCTGAGGTAGTTGATGGATGATCAGGACGCAAGAAAGAAACGACGCGGCTTGAACAACACTTTGACTGTTGATGATCGCCTAGCGTTTATCTCCGAAACACGGAGAAGCGTAGTAACTGATGGATCGCAGCAGAAGAACCACAAGAGCCTTCTGTCCAAATTGCGATGACACTCTCTCTGCGCGTAGTATCGATTGTCGCAAAGAAATGGGCAATAGCCGCATATGCCTCAAGGCAGATAAACGCTCCTCTCGCCGAAGTCAGCTGTGATTAGCTGAAGACAGGGCACGACGCGACCAAATGTATGATAGCGATAGTTTCAGCGCAGCTACAGTCGCCCAGCCGGTCGATATCGTTAGCAAGAGCAACTACTGCGCAGAAGAAGAGCATAATGACTGACCTTGTTGACGCTATAGACCCAAATTCGCTCAAGGCGCCAAGAGCCGAGTATACGGGGTTTGCGTGTGAAGCACGAAAACTTGAAAGTACAGAGACGCTTGGTTATTCACGGACCAAATACACTTCTATGATTCAAAAATCTCCTAGGTTTGCGAGTAGCAACAAGGAAATCAGTGAAGGGTAGTGCTGGGAGGAAAGGAATATCGATGATGGGGCACCTGAAGAGAGGCGGCTCGATGGAAAATGACGGCACCCCGCGAATCTTCACGCTGTTTCAAGTAACACTGGAAATGAATCAACATCATTTACTCCGTATTTGCTGATCTCTTCAGGCTCCTCTATTATGGCTCTACGGGCTTGCATAGAGATAATAAGGTTGAATAGCCTATTCATTTGGTCTTGTCATTTGCCTTCCTTAGACGTTGGTTCAACATCCAGTATTATTAACAAGCTGCGTAGCTCGCTGGTAGCCATTCATAGGTATACAATATTCAGCCATGCAATATCACGCTGTTGGTTTTTCCGGGCTTCCGTTGCCTTCCACTGGCATACAAGCAGCACCATTTCAGCTACCGTGCCAGATGGTTCGTATCGAGCTCGATTGATGATTAGGATATTATAAGTATGAAATGCCACTGTGCTGGGGCAGGAGCAGGGTATTCATAGGATGAGAAGTCCTAGTTCGCCTTCTATATGTACACATTTCATGTGATGTAATGATATCATGGAGAAAAGATACAGTCGTTATTAGTCCTTTCCCGAGTGTCATAAGTCGCGTTGTGATCATAGGTGAAAGGGCAGGCTTCGTGGAACAATAAACCAAAACGAGGTCTGTAGAACCCCACAGCAATAATAGATAAAGGATAGAGAAGGATATCTTAACGTTCGGTTCCAAAGTGGGCGTCCGACAGGACGCGTCAGAGAGCAGTTCATCGGTAAAGAGCAGGATAAGTCGGTACTTCGTCATCGTCCCAGTAGTCGACACGGTCCGTCGCTGTGGGCTCTGGTTTATGGATGCGAACTAGCCAGAGGAAATAGTCCTCCAACGGCAGAAGATTCAATAAGATGCCATTGAACCGCCATCCTAGGACGCAGACGACCGTCCCTGCAACAGCATCGAGAATGAAGTGGTTGGCCGTGGCGATGATTGCGACTAATATAATGAACGGATAGAGAAATCCGACCAACAAGCAGGCTAAACGGGCCATGACGGGAGCTGGAATCCCAGCGTGCGACCCAACAAGCGCGAGCGAACAGCAGGCCGGCGTTGGTGTGGCGGCAATGGGATAGTCATGATTGTAAGCCCAATCATCAGGGAATATCCAAAGTGCAACGAGGGCATGGCAGCTGTCGACAAGACTCCAGTTAACACCCGAAGAGAAGAACTTAAAAGCGCAATACAGAATGACCAATGCTTACCGTATTGATTACAGAACCGATTCTCAGTCCAGACGCTACCAGCACCATTAACACCATGCACAGTATCGACAAAGCCGTAGCTACGTCCTAGCTCTCCGTCGGGGCCTTTCACATTCTTGTCACTGAGGAGGCGAGGGGGCATGCAGGGCCAGAGGGTGAAGACCACGAAAGCGAGGAGATTGCAAACAGCGAGGGTACGGCGCCGGGCTTGATAAAGCAGCGGGCCAGCAGGGGATCCTTTCGCTGCACCCAAGGGCTTTCCAATCTGCGATTCATCGACTCGGTTTCGCGTCGTGGTGTAGTAGTAGAGCCAAACGAGGAAGGCGATAGTGCCTGGAATATGTATGAAGGAGTACACCCAGTTGATCACGGACATCAGCTGACTGTGCCGAAGGAAAAATCGCTGAATTGAGACCTCCCAGAAGATGCGCATGCTTTTCTCTATTTGGATGATCTGAAGAGCGTGCTTCCTTGCTACATCAACGGTTCCTTCTTGCAGGGTGACCGCGGTGAATGCACGGCCCAGTTGATATGTCTAGAGTTTGACGTGTAAGCATATTGTTTTCTTTTTTTTTATCCCTTCTCAAGCAGAAAAGAGATTTGTTGACAATATAGAGAACCAGGACATACCCAGTAAACTAAGGCCCAATACCAGCACTCAACCAGAAACGGGAACTTCCGGAGCAAGCGACTGAGAAGACGGTCTTGAAAGACGGCAGTATCTGGTGATTTGACCTCAAAAGTGTATGAGAGGATCCGAATCTGGCGTTTGCGCCATCGAGCGTCGTCGAGTGGTACCAGTGTTGGTGACGGGGATCGCGAATTCAGCAGAGCATCCTTTGCCGTTGGCGACGATAAACCCGACTCCAGCGAGTCTGGAGAACAAGCACGTGTAGACGTGCTGGATCTACGAACTCTGCGCACAGAAGAGAAAGCTGCGGTAGACCGATTTATCCAAGTCCCTCCGAAGAGCAGGACAATTACGACCAGAGGCTCTAGGATAGCCCCAGCTCCCATGTTGACAAAGAGCCTTCGAGGCGAGACAGGAGATAGCCAGGGAGAAGAATAAGGGTACTCAAGGAAGGGGGAGGAGGATGTCGATACCAAGAAATGGAATCGCTAAAGATAAGAGTATGTATGTATGTAGGTAGGTAGGTCACACCCAGAAGAATCCAGGCACTGGGACACTAAATGCCACGGATTATAGGAAATTTGAGACTACTGTAGGACGGAATTGTGCGCTGGAAACTTGGAAAGGAACGACGACATCATTCACATAGGAAGAGCTAGACGGCTAGAGGCGCACGCGAGCATTAGCTAGGTAGATAGGCCAAGCAAGCGTGTTGAATACCTGGTTTCCTGGAGTTGACAAAGGAGACTAGTGAAACAATGAGTGAATAAGTACCCCGTAGTGAGACCTGAGAAAGGGAGATAAATGGTCACATCTTCTAGATGGTGAGCTGGGAGAGGGGAATCCAGGTGGTAAGGGATTTCCAAGCATCATGAATCAATGGATGAACTTGAATGCATGACAAAACAACCCATCCTCGCATTGGTAGCTTGGTCAATCAAGGTTGAGGAAGGCTCGGATGGGTCCAGCATAACACTTGCCCCTCTTGGTTATTCGCACGCGGGCACCTTCCGAAAGCTCCAGTTTCTTTCAGCCCAAGGCGGAAAATCGTAGATCATTTTTAATTCTGCTAAGGTGCATGCATGCTACAGGGTATAATACAGAATATATCATAGCAATCCAGAGTAATTGAGAGCATCTACTCTTTTTTTTTACCAGTTTTTCTTCCTCTTTGAGCCCCTTGAGACTTATTAGAGGGAGCCATGTACAAAGGATAGCTACCTAGGAACTATGGGAGGTCCCGTGTACCGTGTACCAAAGCAAGGAGTGGCAATGTACATCCGGAGCAACCGGGTATTAGGACCCATGCAACGTCAGGGAGCATTCATAATATTTGTGCGCTAAGGTCCTTCTCAGTATGCAATGATGATTTAGAATCTACCTTTCTAGTCTACACGAGGTCAACTAGGTGTCCCATGCTGTTTTAATTATCAGTCATTATATTCTACTACTTTGTGCTTTGCCATCATATGTATCTACTGTCCTATCTAGTTCAAAATTCGATGTTTGTCACAATGTCAGTTAAAGTTTACTTGCCAGACACGAAAATGCCAAGACAGTATGGAGGGCCAAGCGGAAACCATGGAAAGCCCAAGAACAGCCCTATCAGAATCTGGGCCTCGGAGTCCGGAACCCTTACTCATGGAGTCATGGTCTGATCGTGTTGTGGGTTCTGGAGAATTTTGAATATTCTCGAAAAATGAGTACCTCTCTTATTCAGTAAATCTTGCCCTTCGCCTGAAAAGTCTTTCTTTCCGGTTGTACCTGTGGCCTTTACCGCCAATCAGCTGTAGTAGTCCATACGGTCATACAAGTCTATTCCTACAAGGTAGCTTTGTCTTAGTAGATTCGGCACTTGTGCCACGTCACATGAGTCTACGTAGGTTACAGTAGGTAGCTACAGTAAACTTGGCCCGTGCGGCGAGGCTGCAACCAATGATAAGGTGCACATAAGGTTTATCCCTTCAGCTCGTCCATTATTAAGGCAATATTATTATTCAGGTATCCTATAGATAGATAAGTCAGGCAAGCCACAGAGATTTATGCACAACCATATGACTGGAGGTCAACCATGATCATCATCGCTGTTGTGTACTCCAGGCCTGCCATCCGGAAGAGGAAACCCAGTACAGGTCATACATGCGAGAAGAGTTTGGTATGCCTCTCTATCAGGATCAGTGATACCCCGCCTCTAGAATAAGAGAGAATTGGTCAAGAGACACTATCAAGGCACGAACTGTCCATACCTGTGTTTTCGTCATAACAAGAATTATTCATTAGCGGCTTCGGAAAACGAGCGTCACCGAGTCGGCGCATGAGATATCCGACTTCCGAAACTACGTAGAAATCTAAGACTCGCCCCTGGCTGGATGGAGCTCCTGGTATTGAATGAATCACTAGTCGATAGGTTGAGGAGGCACCCCTGTTGTCAACAAGAGTTTACCTGGAGGATAGCACGTCTGCGGATAACCAGGAGACCAACCAGTGTGGACGGCGGGCCGCAGGGCTTCGAAGTGTCCATGAAGCTTCTAAGTTCCAAACTATGTAGGTCAATCATATACTGAATTTTGTAACTCGACGGCCAATGTTGCCTGATTAACTCAGACTTGTGAGTTCAGCCTTCCACTAATCGATTGGATCTACCATTGTCAGTTATGATGGAGATCTGAGACTTGTTAGCGGGTCTTTTCTGCATTGTTTTTCTTTAATGTTCCTCTACCCTTTGGGTACGGCATACATCTTCTATTCAGATTATATTCTTTTTTGAGACTTGACGGAAAATAGGATCTGAGGGGTGTTAAATAGGTGATAAACTAACCTACAATACTATATCCCTGTTGCGTCATACTGAAGGGAATTTGGAGAAGCAAGCGGGGTATTAATTTATATCTCGAACTGCGGAGTATCAACGGAAGAGGGACTGAAGTGTTTCTCTCTCAAATGGACCATGTCCTCAAATGTAGCTTATGCGGTAAGGGGATAGTATGCTGCTTTTCCATACCATATATTCATTGCGCACATAAGTAAAACTGTTGCTATATTTCTTTAAATGGGCGCCAATGGTGACCATTCAGTTCCATGCTGGCGACAGGATATCAGATTAGATAAGTCACATCAACCCCCACGCTCATCTTGCTTCATGTGGCAAGGGACAGTGGAGGATGCACGCTATTATGGACAACAGCCAAGAATATGGGACCTCAAATCGCGCGTCGATCAAACTATAGGGGAGTCGAGCATAAAACCCCTTAGTCAAATACACCTATAAAATACACCTATTGTCTCTGATAGTTGGAGCCCTGTACTATCAGCATGGATGTTGTAACCTCCTGAGTAGGAGTGAGCTGAAACAATGTACATCCAAGCTGGCTATTGTCTTCAGGATAAATGACGTCACAGCCCTCAGGACTGTCGCCATCTTGACTTCATGGTGCTATGCGAGGAGACAGTCTGGACATTCCGCATTTGAGTTACATCTGTTTGACGTCAAACAACTCACCCCGCAGCAACGGGAACTGCTTAGGGCCATACTACCCTTAACGAGCAGCAGCTATCTCGATTCATATGCCATGTGAATACCAGAACCAAAGGAAGACTCGAGACGCCAAAGTATAACGTGAAATTTCAACATTGTCTCATTCAAATTAAGGCAGGGAAACGGAGATGATGCTGGCATCCACACCTCGCGTTGCTACGACCTCGAACTATATCGCTGGGCCTGTCCCGCGACAGAAAATCAGACTCGCGGCAACTGGGTTATCAAGATATTTTGCGACATCATATCAAGCACAAAAGCAACTGACATTGCTCCAAGACAAACACCATGGATTTGGGTTTGCACGATCAAACCCTAGGCCTCCCAAGCCTAGGAGCAAAGGGGTCACGGAGATCAGAGGTCCATACTATACGGTATGCGCTTTCGGGAACGCAGACAAACCGGAACGAGCATAGTGCAGTGCAAGAATTTCAGAGCTAATATAAGCGGTATCATTCTAGGTGATGGGAAAGCGGTACTTAGCCGATGTGTTAGAAACGTAAGCATCGAAAGAGCCGCCAAGGGATTCGCAACACAGGCATTGATGCTCTTTTTCAGAATGGGTACCCATGTAGATGGTCTGAAATTCGCAGGAGGTACGCATCACCGAAGTGTACCACCTTTTGAGCTCGACTGATTGAGATTCAGGCTCTTTCTCTCTCTTCCAGGAGAAGCCCTTGAGAGAACTGATAGACCTCGCCCACGACTACGGTGTTTATGTTTCAACTGTAGGTTTTGTCCAATCGCAGAAACCAGGAAATTAGCATCTAACCGGGGTCCACTGATCATAGGGGGGATGGGCCGAGCATCTTCTCACACATCCCGACGCCAATACTGTCTTTGATAAGTACCTCAAGAAATGCAAGGATCTCGGGTTCGTTTAAGCACGTCGAGGCTCTGCCTCTCGTACCATTTGCCCGATTCGAGACTAACGCATTGAAGATTCGATGTTATTGAACTCTCATCTGGCTTCTTATCTTTCCCAGAAGATGACTGGCTTCGCCTGGTTGACAAGGTCCACGCGTACAAGCTGAAGGCAAAGCCAGAGCTCGGCATTCAATTTGGTGCTGGTGGTGATACACCTGCTTCTGGCCTTGAGGCTATTGGGACTTCCGACCCGGGAAAGCTCGTTAACATGGGGCGTAAATTCCTCGACGCGGGTGTCGAACGCTTAATGATCGAGTCTGAAGGCATAACAGAAAACGTGCAGTCATGGCGGACTGATGTTGTGTCCACAATAATGAAGGAATTGCCGTCTGAGCGGGTCATGTTTGAGGCGGCAGATCCTAAGGTGTTTAACTGGTATATCAGGGAGTTCGGCATCGACGTCAACTTGTTCGTCGACCATAGTCAGATTGTCCAACTGTCATGCCTGCGACAGGGCATTTGGGGCACAGCTGACACTTGGGGTAAAGTGGTATCATTTCGGTCAGATTAAACGGGCGAGGATCATATGGAATACCAATATATATTCAAAAACCACGCCATGTACATTAGGCGTCTTCACACGGCGCATCTGAAAATAGACGGGGAGATCTGAAAGATCGCATTCCATACCTTATGGTAGCTATCATCTGTATAGCTGTAGTTCTTCGATGGAGGCCTGAAGAATACGCGATAGAATCGACATATAAGAGAAATATTTGTGTTTTTCAGACCTATATTTGAGGTCCAGAACCTTTCATTTATTGCCCAATTGAAAGGTCCGAGGCTTGGTGACTTTTGAGGAAAGGCTCGTGTAAGTGGCAGTTTAGTAAGCAGCTGTCTCCGCAGTGCCAATCCTGGGGGATCGGATCGTCCTATAACTTGACAGCTACAATTCTACTCTTCTTCTTCTCTCTCGGGGAAGCATTCTGACTGCCGCACTAATCATGGGTTTGCCCTCCGAGAAATGATTTCCTGAGCACTTGATAGCCAGTCTGGGTCCTGGCATTCCTTCCGCCTCGCAATCCACCATCTCAGCGAGACAGACCCCCGCGTCTTGGCACCGACGTTCCATGCATCCATGAATATTCCCGTGGCCCGACCACTTGCGCGAAGACGCTACAATTTCAAGCCATGCCTCGGGCTAGTACAGCTCCTGGCGCACGGCTCCGATGCCGGAGAGCTTGCGACAGCTGTAAACGGAGAAAGCAGAAATGTAACGGAGAACAGCCGTGTACGATTTGCATACAGCGTCGCAAGGAAGCGGAATGCAACTTCTCCGATAAACCGGCCCGCTTACTGAATGCTAATGCTCCCAAGGAGACTATGCTTCTTAGCGAGCACATGATACCGACTCCGCAGAGGCAAACGGCCATGGATCGCTTGCTGAACGCCCTAGAGGATCATAGCGCAGACTTGGAGCAACAAACAACGGATGACAAGGATGGGACGGCGCCTGTACCCAAGGTCGCCAGGCTCCTTCGTGATGGGCAAGGAAAATTCATGTACATTGGCGACTCTGCGAGCTTGTCGTTCCTGCAAAGTGTACGTCGTATCGTCTCTTTGTCAATCGGGCGATGCGAGTTCACAGAGGATACGTCACGGCACTCCATGCTTGAGGCTTTTCAGAGTAGTTCGGCTACCCAAACAGGACCGTTATCTGCGCCGCCGAGTAACGACGAGGCGCAACGACTCGCTCGTCAATATGTCCTTGCTACCAGTCCACTACTGGATCTATTCGATCTCGATGAGTTCTATCCGCGGCTCGCCAACTGGGTTGGTAATCCGACTGGCGACGAAGATACTGTCAGCTCGATCTTCTACCTTGTTCTCGCCATAGGAGTTCAGGTTTCGGAGATCAATCAGGATCTCGCCGAACAGTACTTCGTCAGTGGCCGCCAGCTAGCATTTTCCGCTTTCACCGAAACCCCCAGCCTCTACACGATCCAATCTTACGTCTTGATCTCAATGTATATGCTTGGTGCGTGTCGTCGCAATGGCGCGTTCATGAACTTGGGAATCGCCTTACGGGCCGCATATGCCGTTGGCATTCATCGAAGGGATGCGAATGCCCTATTCTGCACACGTGAGCGTCGGGCTCGGGAGCGGGTTTGGAAAAGCTTACGGATGATGGATCTGTTCCTCAGCGCTTCCTTAGGGCGTCCTCCGGCGACCTCGGATTTTGATTATGATATACGTGATCAGGCGACGATTGCAGGGGAGCAACAGCGACCCGAACCAGAAGCGCAGCTATCCCTATGCGTGATTGCATTGTGCCGTATCTTTGATCGCATCCTAACGGAAGTCTACATGAGACAAGTCGTCTCGATCAATGTTGCGGAAACGATCTCAAATCAGCACCGCGCTTGGGTCCGGAACCTGCCCACCTTTCTCAGCGGCCAGACGGAGCGGTTGAGTTCAAAAAATCTTGAGAGTATGCTGGCTGCGGCTCATGTATTCGGCGCATATTACTGGTCAATCATCCTGTTAACTCGGCCGTTCTTCATATTTCGTGTGTCTCAATACGTCAGAAGTAAGAGTGATCCGGGTATCAGCTCCAACGATCCGAGAGCCGGTGCCTCTCGCATCGCTCTTTTCTCTGACGCTTGTGTTTACTCTGCTCTACGCTGTCTCAACATTGTGGACGATTTGTCTCGATTTGAAGCTCTGCCTCGGAGGCTACCTTTCCTGATCAATTCAGTATTCAACTCGGCCGTCGTGTTGGGAGCCGCGTTCTTTGCTGAGTATGACAATCTTCTCCCGCTCGAGGAAGGTTTCGACAAGTCCGAAAAGTTCCTGGGACTATTTGTACCGCATGATCCGCACGCCTGTCGTTTTTACCAGATCATCAAATACCTGCGAGGCGCGGTGGCCGAATATGTTCGCAGTCGAAACCGTCAGTGGATGGAACGCCGCAGCAAACAGGTCGACCAGCTGTTTGGTCAGGTAGGGCCTACAAGAGAACCATCAGCCTCCGACAACAATGTGGTTGTAAGTCGCAGTGGCGAGCAGTCAGCCTCGTCTCCCTTATCTCCCGAAAAGCTCGCCACAGGCTCGCTTTCTGCACAAGGGCCGGAACACATCACCTCCACAGGTCAATCGGAGAATGACATTTGGAATACCCTGTGTGGTCCTCAGGGAGCGGGTGCTCTGCCGTACGATAGTACTATATCTACTCTGACAACAACAGGAATACCCATTGGTTGTTCACCGGGAGGAACCCTCACAACCGCTCAGCCGGGAATGGGAACGGATGCTGGAGGGCAAACACCCTTGTCCGATGTGTTATTCTCAGAGAACGGCCTTCTCTACATGGCAGAAGATCTCTCCGTTTTTGGCCTCTGGGGAGAGACTTGATGATGCGCTGCACTTGGTCAGTCAATGCGAAGGTATCAAGCTCCAGTCCTTCGGACTTCACCTGCTATACGTTCTCCTGGCCACGCCGATGACTTGTCCATTTCTCAAGACTCTGTATGATACGAACATAGTTTGCGCATGCTTCACTGTACCTCTTCGTCCACGTGTTTCTTTCTCATTTCTCACCATATCTGGGAGGATATCTGTCTACTCTGAGAAATACCCTGGTTGCGTTGTTTGGCGTTTGAATGGAGTTCGGTCGACTATGTCTCTCATCATCGAAGCATTCTTTAGATAGGCATCTCTATGCTTTCGAATCCGCATTTATTGGTTACTGCCAGGTGGTAGCGAATCGTACGATTGTAATTATAAAGTATCAAGTACCTGGAGAATGGTATCACTTCCAAGATAGTCAAATAATATTTTACGCCCTAGTGGAAATCAAATATTGATTCCATTGTGTTCCTCTCTTTTCCTTCCTTCGCATCCCTGAATCGTTCGTCGGCTGATGACCTAAGAAGTCCTTATCCACGTGTCGATAAGGACAGAATGCGGATCTCCGCCGATAATACCAGATCAATGATGTTGTTTACAGCTGTCATGTTCTGCAGCTACAGCTTCTAATGACATACCTCTGCATCCCGAGATTTGATACCTATATGCTTCTATAATCATGAGAACAAATTGCCGGCTTTCGCTTCATTGACCCCGGCACCCCCACAGAAGGCAGTAACCTTACGAGCTTCCCACCAGAACTTCCAGCAGAGAGGGGACTCCTTGTCTGTCATCACGATCCATTGGTATCTAGTTACTGCTATCGGTCTAAAACACGAAGTCATGGTCCGACGTATACAGTCTCTTACCCCGTTGCTGGTTCTGGCTTGTGCCGGTTCCGGCGCATGGGCCAGCAAGAAGGCGTTCAACATACACGATGATCTACTTGCGTATCCTCAAGTATGCTGCAGTTGTTCCGCTTTTTTGGCTTCTGCATGAAACGAACGGGCAATTGTGCTAATGGTATCTGCTTGTAGTTCCAAGTCTTCTTCCCTGATGAATACATTCTTGATACGCGAGCAAGGGAGTTATTGCAGAATCAACAAGAGAGCTCTTCGACTTCCGCTGATAAGACATTCGCCGAAGGCAATGATGCGCAAGTATATCTGGGAGGCCGAAAAGATAAATCCGAAGACGATGATAAAGAGGCGCTAGAAGGACCTGGGTTCACATACGAGGAGATGCTCCTTGACGGACAGCGATATCTCTGTTCCATTCCGCAAGTCGACAACGAAGACAAAAACCAGACGAACGGAGCGGAAAGCACCAGTAAAGAGGACGAGCAGCGAGAAATTGCACGCGCAACGGACCGTGGCCTGGAGCTTCTGCGCGAGATGGAAGGCAAATGCATGTACTACATATCCGGATGGTGGTCATACTCATTCTGCTACAAGAAGCAAATCAAGCAGTTCCATGCACTACCGTCCGGCCCAGGCGTGCCCAACTACCCGCCGATAGAAGACTCTGCGACCCATGCTTTCGTGCTGGGCAGGTTTCCCAATAGCGGCGACGAGGATTTGGAGGGGGATGCGGAGCACAAAAAGACCACTACAGATGTCGCCGAGCTGCAGACTAAAGGCGGGTCGCGGTACCTAGTGCAGCGGCTGGGGGCGGAACCAAGTGCGACTTGACAGGCAAAGACCGGAAGATCGAAGTGCAGTTCCACTGCCATCCGCAATCCACAGATCGGATCGGTTGGATCAAGGAGCTTACTACTTGCTCATATCTGATGGTGATCTACACTCCGCGCCTGTGCAATGATGTCGCATTTCTGCCGCCTCAGCAGGACGAGGCGCACGCAATCGAATGCCGGGAGATTCTTTCCGAGGAGGAGGTCCCCGATTGGGAAGCAAGTCGGGAATATCAATTGGCTCAACAACTCGTCGAATCTGCGATTACATCCGAGTTTCCTGTTGTCGGGGATATCGAGGTCGGGGCGCACAAATGGGTGGGATCGGAGGGCAAGCAGATTGAGAAGGGTCGAGTGGCATCCATTGGAGAAGAGAAGATCGAGGTGGTTGCCAAGCGCCAAAACGGAAAGATCACTAGGTTGTCCAAGGAGGAGTTGAAGAAATATGGCCTTGATCCTGAGAAGATTGAGACGCTGAAAAGCCGCCTAGAGGAGGCTGCCAAGGGCAAGGACTGGACACTAGAGATTGTCGAGTCTAACGGCGAGCGTGGCTTAGTCGGAACTATCGACCCCGACGACGGTGAGAAAAAAGATCAGGCTGCACAGGGGTCTACATCGCAGCCGGCACAGGAAACTACGGCTGACAAGGCGGAATCAAATGCAGAGACAGGGGAGGAAAAGAAGAAGGCAGACGAGAAAATAGACCATCAGGAGCCAGAAGAATCAGGGCCGACCACTAATGATGCCGACGACGGCAGCGAGGAAATCTTCTTCAAGGATGAGCTTTAGCGGGGTTGGTTGATATATAATTCTGTCTTGAACTTGTACATTTCGTTAGTATTATCAAGCCTCAGCTACAATTTGAGATACCATTTCCTCACGTTTCTGAAATATTTTGCTGGATTCAGTTTGAGGATCAGGGGCCTGCGTATAATTGGAGCGGCAACTGGCTCAAGACACTCCGACATAGAGATAGTTAAGAAATGACGTAGGGGTCCTTCCTGTCCTCAGACAAATAAGCACGAGGGGATTCATCCGTTTTGACCTGATCATCGCTTGTGGTTGACGCCAGGAACGGCTGCCCAAAGCCCCAGCGTGAAAGCGTCTAGCACAGTAGACTAGTACACTCGAAGGCGGGACCATTTCCTCCACATCGTAGACAGGGTGGAGTGAGGTGACAGGTGAAATTGCAGGTATATTTAGGTACCTGAATTCTTTCTGGCTGTTGCAATCATTCAGGAGTTTTACTCTACATCAAATCGCAGAGTTGACTGTAATGTTAGAGATAGCAAGGTACAGTACGGAGTAGCCACAGTTCCAAGCACCCGGGGCCACAAACCAGGCACTAAGTAACCGTACTCCGTCCGGAGAACTACTAACTACGTACGTACCTTCACCCACTCTACTCACTACTAAGTTACTAGCTTCTGGCTGACAACCTCATCCTCTCTCTCTTCCTGAACCTCCCCTCTCCGTCTCTACCCCGTCATCTCTATTTTTCTTACTCTTCTCCTCGATCACTTTCATTAATTTGCGTAATCGAAACGGTCGCCTTCCCCCGAACCGTCTTCATCGCATAATTAGCCCCTTTACCCTGATCTGGCCAGAACTCGGGAGAGGGGATACCCAATCGCCAAGGCTGCCGGTTCCCCCCAATCCACCGACCATCAACCGGCCTTCGCCTATCTAGACTACCCTTTAGAGCTTGACAATCCCTACGGACCGCCGGCTCGCCCTGACTGTTGATACACAAACTCGGCGTCACTTCACGCCCTCGCCAAATCGTCGGAACCGCTGGAAAACAACCATCCTGTCCTCCTCGAGTTAGACGGCGCTCACCCGGGGGCTTGAATCCAAAATGGGGTTCCTCGGGGTATACAAAGCGGTCTATGACTACCAGCCTCAAGGCGAAGGTGAACTCGAACTTCGCGAGGGTGATTTGCTTTACATACTCGAGAAAAGCGTCGAAGACGATTGGTGGAAAGCAAAGAAGAAGGCCGAACGGGATGACGAGGATGAACCGGAGGGTCTTGTACCGAATAACTATGTCGAGGAGGTAAGCTATACTGTCATGGGACAACCCGTCTGTCTGAGAGCCTCGGGGTCGCGCTTGGGGTGCTTCATGCCAATCGTGGCTACCGCGGACACTTCTTTCTTAACGATGAGATGATGGATGTGCTAACATGGCACTCATTCAAATTGTGTAGGCTCCCGCGACCAGCCATGCAAAGGCACTGTACGACTATACGCGCCAGACCGACGAAGAAGTCTCATTCTCCGAGGATGCGCAACTGGTGGTGTACGATACTTCCGATCCAGATTGGACGTTAGTTGGTGTCAATGGGGATTTCGGCTTCGCCCCTGCAAACTACATCGAGATTCAAGAGGGCGATACTCCCGGCGCCCCTCCTTCTCTCCCTTCTCCTGCTCCTGTCGAGTCGTCCGCTCCGGCCCTTCCGCAACGCCCGGTTGAGGTACCGGCGGAGGAACCGGTCGCGCCCGCGTCTACTAGCTCTCCGATTGACACGATACAGAACCCAGCGGCAGCAGCAATAGCGGATATCATTCATAAACAGCATGCATCACCCGTGGAATCCGAACCCTCCAGGGATATCCCGCCGCCGCAGCCCCAGCGACCGTCTTATCAACCAGAAGGCAGCTATCAGAGGGAACCCTCGCCGCCGCCTCCAACATTACCGCAGCGACCACCGTCGCAACAGCTCTCTCCTCCAGTGGACCGGTACTCTCCGCCAGAACCCTCTCCTCCGCCACGCCCTCAGTATGCCGCGGTGAGGGAGCAGGATGGCCAGGGCCACGTGCGGGAGTCTCCCCCATATAATCGAATCGGACAGTCGACACCTCGTTCCCCTTCTGGCTATCATCTGTACAATATCAATGAAATGGTTGAAGTTATGGGCAAGAGGAAGAAGATGCCAACTACATTGGGAGTCAACATCGCGACTGGAACGATCTTTATCTCACCAGAAGGGGACGGCGACATGCAAGAATGGACTGCGGATAGACTCACCCATTACTCTATTGAAGGCAAGCATGTCTTCCTCGACCTAGTTCGGCCCAGCAAAAGCATTGATTTTCACGCTGGAGCCAAGGACACCGCTCGAGAGATTGTTTCCGCGCTCGGTGAAATTTCTGGAGCCTACCGTGCCGAGGGCCTGAAGGAAGTCATTGCGGCTGGCGCAGGAGGCGGAGGCAAGAAGAAGGGTCAAATTCTGTATGATTTCATGGCGCAGGGAGATGACGAAGTTACTGTGGCTGCCGGCGATGAGGTCGTCGTTCTGGACGACACCAAATCCGAGGAATGGTGGATGGTGCGACGCATGAAGAATGGCAAAGAGGGTGTAGTACCAAGCAGCTACATCGAGATCACTGGCTTCGTTTCCAGTCAACCCACTGGCGTCGAGTCGGGCCTGTCAACGGTGGAAAGGAATCGACTCGAAGAGACGCGCCTAGCCAAGGAAGCGATGCGGAAATCGAGGACTGACTCGATAGATTCGCGGACCTCTGAGGTAAGCTGCGCTGTTAAGCCACCCTTATCAAACGACGGTGACCCTGATAAGAGAGAAAACTAACAAATTCGAGCAGCACAAAAAACGCGACAGCAAGAGCGCCAACAAGCCGAGTAAGTCCTTTCCCCCACTTTGCCTAACCCCTAAATTAAGGTCTCGATCTAAATGAGGTTACAGAACCGGATCCCACCAAGACAAGGCAGTGGACAGATCGTACCAAGTCTTTCACAGTCGAAGCGCAATTTATCGGCTTGCAAGATGGGAAGATCCACCTCCATAAGACCAACGGAGTCAAGATCGCTGTCCCCATTCCCAAGATGTCTATTGAGGATCTCGAATACGTGGAAAAACTTACTGGGGTGTCTTTGGACGAAGACAAGCCTCTGTCGGATATTCGCCGCCGAGCTCAGAAATCCGAGCCAAAGTCCGAGGCCGATCGCCCCGGTGCGTCAGTTGGGCCCGAGTACGATTGGTTTGATTTCTTCCTAAAAGCGGGAGTTGGACCTCATCAATGCGAGCGGTATGCTCAGAACTTTATCAAGGATTCCATGGATGAAGCAATTCTACCGGATATTACCTCTGAGACCCTGCGTACCCTTGGATTGAAGGAGGGTGACATTCTACGGGTTATGCGGCATCTGGACAATATGTTCGGCAGAACTGGGTCCAAGTCCAAGCTGCGCAATGTCAGCTTCGGTGGAGAAGAGGTCATCAGCAATGGGGAGGCTGGCTCTCCCGGCGGTCTTTTCTCCGGCCCAGGAGGGGTTCTACGCAACAACACCCGCAAGGGCAGGCCGGCACCCGCCGTCCAGACCGGTGATGTCGTCGATCCGAAGGCCTTCGAGCTGAAGGAGGATGCACCCAACCCGCAGGAACGCACGGAAACTCCACCCGCTTCTGCTGCAGTTGAGAAACCGGTACAACGTGGCTTCGATGACGATGCTTGGGAGGTGAAGCAACCTAAACAGCCCGCGTCTTCGGTGCCGCCCTCTTCATCGCCACCACCGGCCACAGCACCGCCCGCTACAACCCAAGCTCCAGTGCAAAAACAACTCACTGGGGCAATGGCTGACCTATCTCTACTGCAAGCACCTCTGCAGCCAACTCCCGCAGAGCCGGCGCCCGCACCTACTTCTCAGGCCTCTCAAGCTCCGTCAGCCCCCGCTGCTATCCAGCCACAGCCGACTGCAGTGCCTGCGCCCCAGATGCAGCCCCAACAGACAGGTGCCACTCCTGGCTTTTTCAACCAAGTGGCACAAATAGCACAGCAGCCCATGCAGACGGGGCCCCAGACATTCAGCCCCCAACAGACAGGCTTTCAGCAGGCATCGAGGCAGCGCCCACAACCCCCTCAGAATATGGCTCAGAGCTCGCTCCTCCCGCCTCCTCCACAGAGGCCGCTTTCCGCGCCACAGAACTTCCCTCAGCAGCCAAATACTTTTGGTCCACCTCCACTGCAACCACAACTGACCGGTCTTCCTCAACCCGGCCCACAGATCGCCCCGCCTGGCCAGAGTCTGTCCGAATTGAACCAGCAACGCTTCAATCCATCGCTCCAACCGCAGCCAACCGGTTTCTTGCCGCAAGGTCAGTTTGCAGGTGGTTTGGTGCCACAGCCCACTGGGTTTCAGCCACAGTCACAATTTGGCATTCAGCAGCTTCAGCAACAGCAGACTGGCTTCCAGGCCCTTGCACCGCAGCCGACAGGCTTCGGAGGCTACCAACCCCAGCCACAGCGGCCAATGCCGACAGGCATTAACTCGATCCTTCCTCCGGCTCTTCATCCCCAACCTACCGGCATGAACGGTGCGAGCAGTATGCCTTATACTGTAACCTCCCCGCCACCGGTACCCCTATTCCCCAACAGCCCACAGCCGCACCTTTGCAGCCACAGAAGACTGGACCACCTCCTCCCGTACGATTTGGGGTCAAGCATGATGCGCCCAAGAAGCTGACTCCCCAGCCAACCGGTTTGCGGGCTAACCTTGCACAAGCTAGTGAGTTCCCCATTGCTAAGACGAGCCAGCCTTCCACCATTTGCTCAAGGCCACTGACTATTCTCTCTTTCTAGCGCCCACGAATCCGTTTGGCTTCTAAAAAGAGCGCGGTGTATATAATCTGATTTGTCCTGCGGCACATGACCATTTCTCTGCTATACATTATTTTCTGCTATTTCTTGCCAGCCGGATTGAATGCACCTTACGGATGATGTCTCTTGTTTCTGCTGAGCGTGATGCTGGGACGCGTACAGCAACTGGTTCATGGCATGTTATTCGATTCGACTCAGCGAGCTCCGAAGCTATGCTTCGGTATACCTATTACAGCCTCCGCGAGCTAGACTATTTCGTTTTCTCGTTTCCTTTCGTCTCACCCGCCATTCAAGCCACTTGGGGCCCTGCGTAATCTTGGAAGAGAGATATCCTTCCGTCTTCTTCTTGTTACCATTTTCCATGCACAAGGACCCAGCTCTTCTCCTGCACAATTCGTCGTTGCGGCTGTTGTGTTCAGTCTTGATGCTGCTTGACACATACTTTGGTTGGGATTTTGCCTCTCGAGTTGTCTCTTTCGTTTATCCCATGTGCGCTGATCCTCTTTTTGTGACTTATCCTTCCACGGTCTCATGTGATTTCCTTTGTCGTTTGCCAATTTTAATATGTACGGTACATAGCCTTGGTCAGAGAAATGAGATGTTCACAAGTGTATGCTCTAGCAAGGTATATACCGCACCAGCACTGTATGGTTTTGAGTTTTCTCGTAAATACACTACAATGTGAATTAGAGAAGCAAAAATAGAATTCATTCCAGAACGTGGTTCTTATTGCGAAAAAAATTCCTCCCCGACAGGGAGTCGAACCCTGGTCTCCCGCGCTCGTTCTCATTGGAGTGACAAGCGGAAATCATGACCGTTAGACCATCGAGGATTTGTTGGAAGAATCCCGAAATCTTAGCTATATGAACAATTAGACCTTCCATGAAAAGTTGATTTGCAAAACTTCTAGAATGCTGACACAGAGCTGATAAATTCCCAGTTCCTGACAACTCAGGCTCCGAGGCCGAATATAGTGGGTGTCAATGTCCCAGAATAGCTTAGCGCGTGCTGACGGGGATATTGGTCATCACCTAATTAATTACCGATCAATGCACGTCACCCATGGGAATTGGTCGATTATCCGTCACTTCTGGCAAGTCGAAGAGAATGAAACCCACAGACCCAGGTGGAATCGCTCTGGTCAAGTGGATTGACCTTTCGCCTATCCGTATCCAAGATACGGAGTTATAAACTAATGACTGACTAACGCTGACAGTGCTGTAGTATTTCTCAGTGAAAAGCTTCCATCCTCGCTCCAGGCTGTTCTACAGCTTTCCTAATATTGTGCCCGTCAAGTATAAGTAGCTGCGGCTGTGATCGATGAAACTCCTTTTATCATTTTTAACTTGCATCGCAGCAGTCTTCCTCGCATATCAGTTCGCCTCTGATTCAGCTCACCTCGGAAGTCTAAGCGCTCCGCTCAAAGAACAACTTTCAACCACCTTGTCGCAGTACCTGCGAAAGAACAACATCGCCGCCTCCTCCGTTCCTCCCATCACGCACACCGAGCCAATCGTCCTCCCCCTCACCGATATGGCTGTCCCCCGCGCAATCCGTCAGGTCTTCCTGGCCATCGAACAAGCCGAAGGCGCCGGCGCCCGCGTCCGCCGGTCCATCGGCACCCCAAACTGCGCAACTTCAGCCCCTTCCTCATGCTGGATCACTTCAGCGTCGGCCACGGCGCAGGGTTCCCAGACCACCCCCATCGCGGCCAGGAGACCATCACCTACCTGCTCTCCGGCGGCGTCGACCACGAAGATTTCGCCGGGAACAAAGGCACCATCGGCCCCGGCGACCTGCAGTTCATGACCGCTGGCCGCGGCATCATGCACGCCGAGATGCCCCGCGAGAACTCCGACGGCAGCCTCAACGTCGGCATGCAGCTGTGGGTTGACCTGCCCAAGGAGCTGAAGATGTGCGAGCCGCGGTACCGCGATCTCCGCGCGAGCGAGATCCCCGTCGCGGAGGTCGACGACGGCCGCGTCACGATCAAGGTCATCTCGGGCCAGTCACATGGTGTCGACTCGGTGCGCGACCTGGCCTACACGCCTGTGTGGCTATTGGATGTGACGATCCGGCCGGGCGGCCGCATCTCCCAGCCGCTGCCCAAGGGCTGGAATGCGTTTGCGTATACGCTCGCCGGGACGACGATCTTCGGCTCGAATGACGCCACCCGCGTCGTCAAGGAATTCCATAATGTCGTCTTTGACCAGCCGGGTGATTATGTCGAGGCGTCGGTCCCGGATAATGCCGAGTCGGAGTCTCGCTTCATCCTCGTGGCGGGCCAGCCTCTGGATCAGAAGGTCGTGCAGTACGGGCCTTTTGTTCTCACGAGCCAGGAGGAGGTCTACCAGGCCATGCTTGACTACCAGACCGCGTCGAATGGATTCGAGCGAGTCCGTGGGTGGGAGAGCGAGATCGGCAAAAGAATGACCCACTAGGATGCAAAATAGCCTACCTATAGACTTGCTGATGTATTTCGGTGCTTTTTTTACTTTTGCATATATGATACTCCACGGATGGCGTTAAGAGTTTTGTATGCTCTGAAATATGAATTATGTCTCCTCATTTTGGTTGCTAGCTCGCACGCTACAGTAATGGTAGACAGTAAATGAAGCTTATTGCTAACGGATATCAAAATACATATATAGAAAGATGTAGACAGTATAGACTGGAAGGACGGAAAACAGAAGAGATTCCACGCTTGCACGTGGCTCGACCACGAAGATTATTTGAGACGAATGAGGAAAGGGCATCACTAACATCATCATCCACCATTCCACTTGTGACAGAAGCTCCTAGTGTGCAGTGACTGCACGGAAGCTCTCAGGGAATTGCTTCGCTGAGTATCAGTTTCGAAGGAGAAGAGGAACCTCAGGATGCACAAGATCACATCATACCCAACTGGACATCCTAGCCAACTGCCAGGCGACGGGCCGCCTAAAGGAAAGCTAATTATTTGGCGAAATGCAGGTCATAGCCCAGCCATTTCCGTGCATTGACGCCCGCAACATCCAAGCCAGGGGTACCGTATGTCAGGGGCGCAAAGAAGCAGAATCCCCAGATCGTCACACTAAGAATGACCAGGGTCGCAACCCATCCGGCAATGAGCGACTGGCTACCCATTCGTTCCTTCGCGGTGACAAAATGACCGGCGCTACCATGGGCCTTGGACTTGCCGGTTGAATCATCTTCCTTTACAGGTCTAGCAACCGAGATCGGCTGCAGGTTGAAAATAAATTCGATCAGAGCTCCCGCGACCATGCAAGACGCAACGTGGGCCGGAAGGTAATGGTGGAGGAAACGCTGGCGACCCATCAGCCAGAAGGGGAAGTAGTGGGCAGCCCAGCAAAGGAACAAGAATGCAGTGCTGTTGTACAGACGAGAACGAGCGCCACGGCCCCAAACTAGAAGACAAGGTTAGATCGCGAGTCGTCGTATGGACTGGAGGTTCCTTAACACTTACTTTCTTCAAGAGCGTCGACTCCGCGGCGAAGGGACAGCTGATCAGCGCTGATCACCCCAACAAAGACAGCCAACAGACTGCTGGCAATCCACCATCCGATAGGGTTACCCAGGAAGTAGATCTGCTCTCTGGTGTCATTCTTGGTCCAGAAGCTGACACCTCGGAGTAGGAAGGGCCACTGGAAGGGCTCGCTGGCGTACGGATGGCTGCTGGTCAGAGCATTGTTATGGAAGAACATGGCCCGTTGCAGCTCAAGGTACTTGCGCCAGAAGGGGAGATGTTTGACCTGGCGCTCTTGCTTCATGGCACGGGGGCTGTCTTCCTCCAGCGACTCGATGGTGTCCACGAACCAAAGATTGCTCGTCTGAAGGACATTTTTGTTACCGTTAATCTCGGCTTGCTTAAAGGCCCACTCAGGAAGGGGGTTGTATGGGTCCACATTGCGACGCGAGTCGGCACATGGATCAGCTTGAAATGACTTGAGAGAGACCGGAATTCCTGTTGAGGCTTGCCGTTCTCGATCTTGATCTCGAACAGCGTGTCGTTGTGTCGCTCGCCATTGGCCAATTCCTGAGAAACGGTGGTGAATTCCTGGTTGGTGGGATAGTAAGGAGACGCAACATCGTGCGTCAGCAGGACGGTGTCAGTGCCGACGTGACGGAGCTGGACGGTGTCGCCATTCTTGACGCTGTGGCCTTGCCTGTCGGTGTCAGGATAGGGAACAGAAGGCAGAATCTGCCAGTGATTGTTCGTATCGTTAAATGGGTATCCTGTGACCTGCTGGCCCTGGCTGGAAATACGGCCGTCATCATAGCGGAGGGGATACTTCTCCCAGTGGCTGTGAAGGAACACCTTGGTGTCCTTGTGTCTGATAGTGATTGTGTCATAGTACTGAATGCCGATCGACTGCGCCGACATGAGGTTGTCACTGAGGGTTTCCTGGAACTCCGGGGTCATGAAATCATCGCCTGGCCCGGAGCGGGTGAGAATTGCGAAATGGACCTGGAACCAGAACAGGTAGAAGAAGAAAGGCACAATGATGAGGGCAAATGCGCGGGCAGCAAAGTGCTTGCTCCAGTGGGCCATGCTGAGCGTTCCCGATGGGCGGTTGATATCCAACAAGTTCCACAGGTCAACCAAGACCGCAGCACCAATGGTGACAAATGTGAAGACACCGACATACTTCGTAGAGATAACGCAGCTGAGACTAACGCCCGTCAAGAGCAGCCACTTCCACCATTTACGGCCAAAGGGTTCATGGCGCAGCTTGTAAAAGCGAACGTAGCAGAGGATGCTTAGCGCCATGGCAAGTACCAAGGAGGCATCCAGCAGAATCAGTCTGTCCTCTCCGACGTGGGCATTGTCAAACAGTACGAGACCGGCAGCCAACACGCAGGCCGGCAACGAATATCCGGACTCCCACATGATGAGGAAGACCACTGGGATTGTCAGAGCCCCCAGAGTGGCCGGCATTGCGCGGAGAGCGACATATGGAACTTTGTTATCGATGTAGGAGTCGCCAATGTTGTCGAACAGAAAGTGGCCGTCATACCCAATCAGCCATCCCATGAAAGCGAAGAGCAATTTGCCAAATGGAGGGTGGACATCGAAGAAATAAGTTCTTTGTAAGTAGTAAGAAGCGAACTGAGAGAATGAAGCCCCATGTCAGATTGTTCAATCCACAAATCATGAGAGACAGCTTCACTCACCTTGCCAAAATGCACCTCGTCAAAGACCACTTCGTTAGGGTAGGATATCTTGTAGAACCGGGTAATGAAAGCCAGGATGGTGAGAACGACTAAGGCCAGCCTATAGTCCCATCCCGACTGGCTCTTGGGAGCTACGCTCGGCTTGGATGAAGACAAAGGAGAGGAGGTATCGTCCGAAGGCAATGGAGAATAAGCCTCCTTCCTCCCACCTCTCTTGCGAAGAGAGGACGAAGGAGATGAAGACATGACCAGAAGAAAAGTACAGAACAAGAAAAATGAGCTAAGAGAATGACAGTCGATCACCTAGACAAAGCTGAAATTGACAGATAAGATCAGCGAACCAGAACAGGACAATGAAGATAAGCTCCAGGATCAGAGGATCGCCATTGAGCAATAACTTACAATGATGATCACGGAAAGCACATGGTAGTACGGAGTACAATACAGTAGAACAGATGGTAGCGAGGCTTGGAAGAGGAGTGAGGGGAGGAAAATATACTGCCGGCTACCTATATTGACGGGGGTCGGTTGTCCGTAAGCGGGTTGCGTGTCATTATTCGGAGGACGCGCGGAACGGAACAAGACGTTGGTCCGAGCGTCAAATCTATATATGGGTTATTTACCTTACCTTATGAAGGTATGAGACCGACAACATGCTACCCTAGCAAATACGATGAATGATTTATGTTTATCATTGATGAGGTCTGTGCTAATTCCGATTAGCTATTGATTCCAATGTTGTGCTAGACCGCAAGCAATCTGTTGTCCTAAACAAACGGATATCCTGTGAGACAGTGATGCAACTCCCAACGCTCAAAAAAGGGCAGCAAGTAGGATGGTATAATGTACAAAACCAGCAATATCAATAAGAAGAGAATCATTTGTCGTAAACAGCCCATCAGTCAGCGGTTTCACCAGTTTTATTCCTCATCAGACAAATTCAACAACTCCAACTCCGTCTTGACCAGAGATTGGAATTCTGCACGCGAGATGCCCGTAATTTTCGCAAGCCGGAATAGGCTTTTGATATTTGAGCTGATATGTTGCTTCACGCCGACTTCACATGCAGATTGATGCTCCGCTTCTTGTTCCAACTTTGCGACTGCCGCCTCGGACGCAGTGGACGACGTGGAAGACGGCCGAGGATGATCTAGCGACATCGCGGTGGTCTCGTCGGCAATTGTTCCATTGGCGTAGCCTTTCGTTCGAGCCGATTCTTCCAAGCTTGAGTTATTCACCTGCTGCCGCAACAAACTCGCCAGCATGTCTCCGTTCAACGAAGTTGGACCAACCTCCGGTTGCTCCTCTGATGAGTCGTGGTTATCCATTGCCGGTTGCACATCAGCGTAGCGTGAGAAATACGACGCTTCAGACGTATCCTGGCGGTGGAGAGACGACAGTGGATTTGGGGCAGGGGTCTTGGCGGAAGGCGTTCGGCCAGGTGTAGCATCGTACTGGGCCCAATAGCCGTCGTCATTTTCCTCCTCATCGTCCTGCTCCTGCGTGTGTGGGGCGACCATTTGATCCTGCTCTGCCTCCCTAAGAGCATCCTCCACCAGTTGTTCCTTTGCCTGAGCATTTGCCTCCCCGATCGAGAATGACCAAAGCCCGTCGTTTTCGGCGCCGCCTTCATGGGGCATCAATTCAGCCAAACGCCATCCGGGCCCACCTCCGTCTTTATCACTGAGACACCAGAGATATATAGCTTTCAAGCTGTATTCCGATAACAGAATTCGCGAGTGCAATGTCTCCTCGTCCACCCGATTGTATGCAACATGAATTTCCTCCGGAAGTTCAATCTCCCCCGACACTGGGTGAGGCTCGAAGCTCGCGCCATCCACCAGCGCTTGAAGACGCTCAGCCTTTTCGGAATCCCAGCATAGTAACCGCAACCACGAATCGGTCGGGGATGTGGAGACAGAACTGAGGATCTGAACACGCTGTCGGAGAATAGGTGATAGGAGGGGTAGAAGCACTGGAGGAGGGCGGGTCGAGACAAACGCTGTGGGAAGGCAGGCTAAGAGAGGAGGTAGCAAAGTATGAGGATCGGGGGAAGAATCAGCTCAACCATGCTGCCCTTTGTAGGAATACCGACGTTATCCAACTAGAGATTAAGTATAATTTTTGTTGTTAGTGTGGAGGGCAACGAATTCAATAATAATAGCAGACTTTTGGTTGGCGGTGAAGACTACAATAGCGGGGGGAGGACATCAACCTAAGGAAGAAGCTGCGGAGAGGAATTCGGAGCTGGGAGAGAGGCGAAATGGCTACATATATGTACTATCTTTCGGAGAAAGCTGGACAGCCCAGAGTCTGGGGAGTCGAGCCACTCCCCATATGCCATTAATGGATACTTGTTATGATTATGCTCCATATAATGAGACAGCTCCGCAGCTCCCTTCGCCCGAGCTGCAGCAAAACGTGGGTCCTTTTTAAGGGGAAGCTGCGGGGGCGAAATCGGAGAAATGATAGTGGCATATCAAGATCGCTGAGTGACGGAGTAACTCGATTGTCAGTTACAATAATCGTTAGAACGTTAAGAAAAGAGGATTTGGCCACTGAGACACTCGGGATCCCCGGCGGAGGATCGGAGGATGCAGATTGTGATACAATACTGAGGGGACAGAGAGGGCCGGATTGATTGGAATGGTAGATATGAACGAGAGAAGGGTTGATTTAATAGTTAATTTAATAGAAGTCAGTACGGAATGATAGAGCTTGCAGTGAGAAGGAAACAATAATGATTAGGATGGCATCGGATTCGTGTATATCAGAAATATACAAAAAACAATGACCAGTGCCGGGCTCGATCCGGCGACCTTATCGGTGTTAACGATACGTGATAACCAACTACACCAACCGGCCAATTGTTGGATTGGGCGACTCTTTTTGGCTTTAAGAGCAAAGAACCTTTTGATGATGGACTGTCCAATGGCTAGGACAAAACCCTGAGAAGATCTTGCCCTATCTCTACCACCGACTAGAGTTACCCGCATGCTCATAAAGTTTGTCTGCATTCCGCCTAATAACCCGGACGTATCGTTTCTTTCATCACAGACCTCAGGAATTTCTCCGGTTTCACTTCAGCATAATTCGTACCGCATACAGGCCCGAGGGGACGGGAGTAGTCGGCACAATCTTCCGATGTCGACAGCTGCCTAAGACTTCAGCCTTCTTTCTGAGTGTAGTTCCTCTTCTTCGGCTCTTGACTCACTACTTCAGTCTCCTCATTAGCCAAAAGCATGTCTCTTTCCCTTTCCAACTCCTTGCGCTTAAGGTGCGAATTCTGTGACCATAATATCTCTGGCCTGCGAGGATAATCGATTGGTCGATACCAGCTTGCTTGAGATCTCTCCATCTCTTGCTCGGTGAAGCTTTTGACGTCTTCACCAGCTCCCTGAGCATGTGACAGGTGCATCTTGACCACAGGCGGGAGACGATCAAAGCTTGTTTGGCACTCAGGCTGAGTTTGGGCGTCTGTCCAATTCTGATAGTGTTCGAATCCCGGTTGTTGGTTGTTTTCTGGCTGGACTGGGCGGGGGAGGGGTCGTACGAAGGTGGGTGTATCTAGTGTAAACTCGGGTTGATTTCGGGACAAGGTGAGTTAGTGATTCAGTTATGTATCTTATGTATCGAATGGAATGGTGTTGTTTGTTGATGGAGAAGGAGAGGAGTGTGGAAGGTCGAAGTTGATGTAGTGGGGTTGATGTAGGGAGTTGAAGTAAGTCACCTGGTGCATCCTCAGGCACAACACCATCTACCCAACTGATAATACAACAATGTAAGATATACCCAAGATCCTATCATATCAGATCAAGAGACCTCCTCGATATGCAGCGTATTCTTCAACTCCCGCGCCTTCTCCGTGCCTGCAACGCCACCCACGACGATCGCACTCTCCCCTTCAAAATACATCGCAATTTCCTCCAATGGCGTGTTGCGCGTCTCGATGTAGAAGAACCACACCACCGTCAACTCCACGCCCAGCCACACGCAGTAGAAGATATAGTACTTCCACCCGAGGTTCTCTAGCGCAATCGGGTTAATGTACTGGTTGAAGAACACTGCGGATCGTCAGTACAGAACTCACATACGACGTCCAGGGCCACTTACAAGCAACATCAATGCAGAGCCACATCACCGTCATTCCCTTAGCTCGGATACTGTAAGGGAGAATCTCCACCGTGTATCCCACCAGAAGACCCGACCATGCGATATTGTAGAACACATAGTACATCATCGCAATCACGGCATTGGCCGCATTGTGATTCCCCGCGATGGCATACCGCGCCGAGCAGATCATCCAGACTACGAACGCCACCAACATGCCCGCTGTCGAGACCAGGAAGAGCTTGCGCCGTCCGATCTTGTCCACGAAGAAGACATTGTCAGCGCCACAATCATGTTCAAGATCTGGAGACAGCCATTGATCAGGTTCTGCTGAACGGAGCTGGTATATCCGATCGAGGTCAGAATCTTGGCAATATAATAAGACACCAGACCGTTGCCAGACCTACTGGAGCTGGGAAGTCTACCCTGATTGTGAGTTCAATTCATACACTGTAACTATCATGACTGGCTGACTTACCGGTCCCAAAGAAAACCATAATTAACTACGGTGTCAGAGCCAATACGCACGTGATTATGTAGAATGATTGGACTCACAAAGCGACTCCCATTCCGAGCATCAATGTGCTTGGTGGAAGACCAACGAGTTCCGACGTACACCTGTATTATGGCTTGGCTACTATCAACCCCGACCGACCGATTCTCCTCGCTGACAGTGAGGGCCTTTCTGGTGGGAATCAGATACTATTCGGTTCATTGATCGACGACGCTGCCAAATATGCCACGTACTATTCAAATCCTGCTCGCTGGAAGCTGGCCGCTCAATGGGTTCCTGGAACAAGAGTGGGTGGCGATGGCAGAATATCTAGTAGGCAGACAGGGGCTCATCTTGAGTCGAGATGCAAGACTGGTGACTGGACTACAGCGGCGAACCAAGTGCAGGTAAAGCAGCATTCCACTGAATATATTTGCTGTACTTACTGACCATCTTAGCAGCGGTATCACATTCATCCATGATGATGCCAGTCTTGAGCTAGGCATCCCTAGCTGGGAATAATGCCGCAATTGCGTTCGCCCTCTTGATCCTCTGGGTCTGACCCTTCTTATCCGTAGAATATTGATCACGAGCGCCGTACGCCAGCTCAATTAGTGAGCAGACTGCATTGCACATGCCGCGCCCAGTTATGGGTGAGACCTTGACAAAGAGACAGTCCCGCTGGGTTGCAAATGCCTCAGCTTCTGCATGCAACACAGGGGCTTTACCTTCACCTTCACACATAGCAGCAATCATTATTGCAAGAAATGGGTGCACCCCATCTTTACAGCGGCTGCGCATGCTCTCATATGCGGTGACTATTTCGTCCCATGATTCCCTTGATGAAGCATCATATGTGAAGATGAGGGGGATATGCTGATAGAGTGAGAGCATCGCTGAATAACGCGCCAGACCACTGGCCAAGGTGAAGTGGATATTGTAGAGGTATCCATTACAAACAAAATCTGTGCCAGAGTCATCCAATGTAATGTCGAACTCAGGCCAAAAATCCTTCTCTCTCCCCAGTAGCTAATGAACCACGCAGGGTAAGCTCAGCTGGGGGTTCTCAGAGCATATTACACTGGGCACATACTTCGTAAAGACGAGTGCCATCGGCTGCGCCTTTGGCATTCACGACAATAATTTCCATGTGCTGCTGACCGCGATGGTAGCGTTGCTTGGTGGCTGACCGCCTCCAGTCGCTGATATGGAGGGCGCGAGTGGGTGGGTCGTCAGTTTCACTCTCTGCTATTGCGGCCGGCGCTGATGGCGTGGGCTCGCTGCCACGGCTGCTGCCACTACCACAGAGCTTGCGGAAAATGATTCTGGCGCGAGACAGCATGGGTGACGGGTGGGTAAGGTGGGCAAGGTGAGTGGATACGAGCAATACTCGGAATATACCTGGAACAGAGGCAAAACTTGTCAGAATTGACTGACCCGAGATGCTCCGTGATAGTCAATATCAATGGTTGAAGGGGGCCAGGTCCTGCGTATCTGTGCCTTAGGCTTGCAACCCCCCACCCCACGGCTGGAGTAGGTGCATGGCTAAGGCACGGACATGCACGGCCCGACGGGCCGGCAGTCTATCAGTGATCTCCACTCATTAATGATCACGTGATACTTGGTGCCACAACCACAATCTAGTACCCGTCTAGTCCCTATGCGAGGAGGGGTGGGGGGGCGGCGGGGAGAAAGGCCAAGACCCTAAAACCGCCGCCTGGACTTCTGGACTTCTATTAGGCCCTATCTTGCCAAGGAACGGCGGACGCCACGCAGTGCTCGGCGGCAGCCATTGTTTGGCCTGAGATTGGGATCATTCGACCGTGTGCGAGGAGATCAGCGTTCAAGCATCCTGCTGGTCTCGGGTACGTCTCTCCGTCAGATTGAGGGATCCCTATTCGACAGTTATCCCGCCACTGCCATACATGGGGAAAGGGTGCAGTTTAAGAAAGTTGCTTGGGCGGGAGATAAGCGTTCAGGGACACAGCAGCCTTCACCGGGTTAAGAAAGAGGTGTCGGCAGCTGCACGCCTTAATACTTCGCATAGCGTTCATGTCCGCTTCTGTGTCCATATCCGTGGGTATCGCCTCGGCTGCTAAACGAGGCTTCTTCGATCGCTCTTTTTTCTTCTTGACCATGCTGTCTAAGTCATCCCCGGAGCTGGCAAGCGCAAGGATGCTACTCCTCCCAGTGTTAGCTCTTTTACGGCCCATTCTGCGGTCATTGCGGAAGGCAGGTTGGCTCTCATCGGCCCGAATTTCCTCTCGAGACTCCTGTGCCATCTCCTCCAGCAGGATCCCCATGGCGGTCAAAGCCGTCTCATCCATGCTCTGATAGTGATCTTAACCCCTATTCCCATGTCGCATCATCGTAGAAACCAGTCGAGTAGGCGTGGATTACTTCCAGAAGATCGGAACTGGGGAGAGGACCGCCGGATGTAAGAGCCTCATGTGCGAAGTACAAGTCGTTTCCTTCGTAGCGAATTGGAGCGTTCTGTCGGCGGAAAAAAGACTTCTTCTGGACGCGCAGGGCAAAGGTTCGAAGACGCCATTATTTCGGTACTTGGAAGCATACAACGGCGACAGTAAGAAACCACGGGCGTTGACCCGACATGGCATCCGTCAGTTCGGTGCGGGAGAACACACCGATCATAACCAACCAGCCACGGTATCGTAAACGTTCGCCTGTTGTTTCTGTCTTCGGGAGGATGTATCATCGACCAGAGCCTGGTCCTTCGTCCCGTTGGGGGCCCGAATAAAATTACCCTGGCGCAATGAGAGAGATGTGCCGTGGGACATAGTGAGTCCGACACGTCAGGAGACAGTGCCCTGAAAGCATTAAGGTGTGTTCCAATCATACAAATGGCATACTGCAGGAATGAGTTGCATTCATCAGATCTCCAAAAGCCGGATATCAGATCGTGAGTTGATCTACGAACCTTTTTGAACAGGAAGTAAGTGGCTCTCCGTTATCTTGCTTGCGTCTGCACCCCGGTCCACCGCTTTCCTTTTCTGTTACCATAGGCTGGATATCCCGGATTTTGAGCAATACCCTTGATTTAAGATGAAAAGAAGAAGCAAAAAATGAAAGAAAAAATGACCAGTGCCGGGCTCGATCCGGCGACCTTATCGGTGTTAACGATACGTGATAACCAACTACACCAACCGGCCAATTGATAGAAAAATTTCATTTTAATAATATAGTTGGTATCCAGAAATTCAGGTCTGTTACCCTGTTAGATAACGATATTAACCGCACAACTCCGTGCTATGGGTGTGCATAGATTGGTCCAGTAGTTTATCATTAGGATATAATTCACTCCTCGCTTTGAGAATGCTCCCACTGAATCAGTTACTTGGTTATTCGGAGATAAATACCAAAGGTTTTAGTAATAAGCCAGCTAGCCGCCTGCACTCTGATATCACCGCAAGTCCATATACCTGGGGCCTTTACATACAGAAGACAGGATCACTTATAACAGTAATATCCTAATTACTATAGCACAGTGGTGTCTATACCGTAACTTAACTAGGCGCAGATACAGTAGTTCCTGTGTTTCCCCGCCCTACACTTCGGCCTGCGATAACATGTTAGTCGTTAACGACCGTACAGATGCTAATCTTTCATATACTCTTGGTCTTAATGGGGCCTCTCCTCAGATATCAGAAGATTTCAGGGGCAGCAGGTCCAGGGCCCACTGAAGCATCGTGCTTGAGGTGTCAATTGCTATGATAGCCAGAGCGAACTTGATCAGCCTGTACTACACGTACACTCGCACGAGCGAGCAGGGCTCTGGGATCAGGGGCGTATCTATGACGGGGCAGGTACTGGGATGGGTGGTGAACACCTCTATCATCTTCTAGACAGACTGCAATCTGGGTACATTCTTCTTCTTTTGCGTGCGTCGTCCAGTGAGAGCCAGTACTGCTGCTTTTAACTGGCGGTCGAGGCTATACTGGGATATAAGGTACTCACTGGACTGTGGAAATATGGGTTTGTGTGATCCTGCATATCCGAATGCCCACTCTTTAAGCATCACAGCTGCAGCTGCCATCTCCCCACGTCTCCCGGCCCAGATATGTTCAATAGACCCTGGTATGTACCATAAGATTCCAATCACTGTCATTGGAAACAGCGGTAGAGCGTCCCTGGACGCAGAGAAGCTGCGCAATCTCTGTAATCAGATCACTGTTGAAAGGTTACTGAACTAGAATGAACCCTATAGGGTAACTTCAGTCATCCCACACATGGATTTGAAGGATGATCTTTTAGGTATCTTCTGAATTCACAGCGGATGAGGCCATCCAGATTCTGGTACGATGATCAGTACTCAGATGAAGGATCCAAAGGAGGGTATATCAGTACCTCGGGAAAGCGGTGCTCCAAGTTCAGGATATCAATTCCTCGCGCGAAATATGGAACTGTAATGGTGAACGATGACCAGGTCACAATCAGTTTCGGTTATTTGTCTGATACAGATATCGTCTACCGGCGCCTTGCGGAGGACGTAAGTGACTCTGAAGGTAGAGTCTTTTTCAAGCCTATTAAGAAGTCATTGCGGCACTAGAAGAAAGCTTTTTAATTCAATTTTGCCTCCAAGGCGGTTCACCGTGGAGGACAAGGGGGAAGGCAAAACCCTTCACATCCATGATGCCCTTCACATCCATGATGAGGGTTGACGACTCATTTAAGGGAGAGATCTGGGAAACATGCTAGTAATACTTCAACTGGTACAGTCTTCGATACTCCTTAGACTAATTAATAGCCAATCAAATGAGATACTGCTGGCTTGATTACACTAATCTGCTGCTTTGGCACTCGGGCGCTTAACACTTGACAGAGCACGCAGACAGTCAATGGCTGATTTGGCCGACTCTAGTATAAAGTATGCCTTGCTAGAATAAAAACCCTGACCTCGGGGTTACCCATACACTGCAGTATGAACTACAGTGATATGAAGAGATAACAAAAACAAATGAGGTAGCAATATAAAGGAGGGTTTAGTATTATTTAATCTGATACGACAGTGTCGGGTGAGATAAGAAGGATCTGTTATTTGTTCATATCCATCATATCCAACATGAGCGTGTCATCTTTTTCTCCTTCTTTTTCTCTTCCTGGTACGCCAGGATAATGCCCTTATCATTATATATAATCCATGCTAACCACTCTTATCGACCTATACATATAGAAGCACAAGTGCCTGGCACAAATGGGGTTGTAGTAATATAGGAGTAAGACCGCTCGAAACCCACAGGAACTTACTAGTAAACCATATGTGTAGTTTATTCGAGAAGGTAACCGAATTCTGCTTCAGTTGGCTTCGATCATAGAAGGTATATCATCAACCTTCATGCATATTCTTTCTGTATCTCCATTCAAATACAGACACCCTCCAACAGCACATTCGCTTGTTTCTATTAAGCGCATTATAAGGCTGGAGTATATAGCGCAGTCTCTGGGGGTGCTGTTGTCATGTAGCAAAACCTCCCACGCCCAAGTCAGTTGCAAAGCATAAATCACCAACAATCCCAGCTATGTCACTGTCATAGCTAATAGGGCAAGCGTCAACAAAAAATCCAGCCTAAATCAGAGAACCCCGCGTCATCTCTTCCTTGTCCCGACTACCAGGTAGAAGGGGCAACAACCCATCAATGCTCAACCAAGTTGCATCTCCCCTTATATTGTAATAAACAGCGTCGGACTACTATCAGTCTCTCTAACGAAGCCGCTAATAACATAAAACAGCAGTACAAGAATCACATTCCTCACAATATCTATGTGGCACTGCCGGTTTCAAATGAAATATAATAATAAAACAAAATAAACCGACTCTACTCATGGAGTGAGAAAAGCGAAAAAACAATGACCAGTGCCGGGCTCGATCCGGCGACCTTATCGGTGTTAACGATACGTGATAACCAACTACACCAACCGGCCGATTGTTGAGAAAGATTTGGGATTTTGACTATATGTACAATACAGGAGCTAAAATTCCCCCCTTTCGGCATTCGTGCACTATCAACTTTATCAGACAGAAGAGGAATTCAATGATATAACCTAAATAGATTTTCATACCTATGGTAGGGAGCTGCGTGATACAGTACTTACCCATATAGATATCATAGTATATGCTCAAAACGAAGCAAGGTCGACAAGTCATATAATCCACATGCTTTTACATGCCATGATGAACATAACCATCCAGCTCCAGTCCCGAGTCACTCGCATGGTCCAACCCGGTACTCTCCAAGTTCTGGAGAAAGCAATGACCCCAAAAGGCATCATAGGGTATATACCTAAGTGAGGACTGGCAAAAAAGAAAAACAAGTGACCAGTGCCGGGCTCGATCCGGCGACCTTATCGGTGTTAACGATACGTGATAACCAACTACACCAACCGGCCAATTATTGAAGATATCAGACCATTATTTGACTACAGAAACCCTCGACAAAGGCGACGAGACTTAAAACCTATACCATGAGCCCACAACCGCACCCGTTACTCTCCCAGAACTGCTTCATATCCAACCTCAGCCGTGAGCTCACCAAAATCTTGCCAAGAGCCGAGAAGCCTTTGGTAGTGTACTATTCCTCGTCAACACATGCCTACTCCAATGTAAGCTTGACTATCTAGAGTCAACGTACATTGCCATGAGCATCAACAATGCTCATGTGAGATACGTCAGACAAGCTCGCCTTACGGACCCTCAGATTTATGGCTATACGATACGACGTATGCTACCTAGGGGAGACGAGTGACGCAAACCAGAATGAAAAAAAAAAAAAAATGCAGAAGCCAGACACAGGTCCCAATCCCAACGGCGTGGGAATTCATGTAGGTCACATGACCTTATCTTAGTCCTAATGAGATAACTTACAATGTTGCACCACAGAGAAGGTGTCGGTTTACGGAGTTGACATGGTCCCATCCAGTTGTTTGAAGTCGAGTGAAATATATAAATGACTCAGACAATAATATTCTCTTAGGTGGACTTGTTCCAACTTTAGTGCACTTGAATGTTGTCACCCAGCGAAGATATCCAATGTACGTAAATAAATGGTCAGTCCGACCACGATGAGCATCAACGGAGATATATGTATCCACGTCGAGTCAACGACAAGACTCATTGATCGACATTGATACAGGAGCATCCTGTTGCAGAGACCAGTACAAAGGTCAAGGATTCTCTTTTTTTTGTTGGGTTTTACTCTTCACACCACTCGGTACATTTGTCTGTAAGCGCGGATTACCAGAATATTCGCCGACAGATAAAACAGACTATGATCTTAATAAAAGCTAGGATCTACTACCAAGCAAAGCAAGCTTTAGTTAAGATCAACACCTAATGGTTAAAAGCCGAGATCAGCAGAGTCGAGGCTGTAACCTAGTGATGGAGAACATCTTCGATGATCTTCGAGAAGCGGGGAGCATCACTCGGAGATTGATAATGCTTGAATCAGCACTTCAGCAGCATTCCAATAATGCACCCGCGTGTGAAATTCCCGGGCGATGCATGACTCACGAGTGCTACTGTCCAATCCTGCAGCGTTACATTCTATATCCAGGGCTCGGCAGTACAGAATATTGATAAGCACCGAGGTCCAGTCTCAGCTGCCAGAAAAAAATCAAATCAGATTCCATCCAATTGTCGAGGAGTGCATCTCACCTTTATTTTCCCATTGTACTCTTCCTATACCCGCTGCATCATGACGGTCTTTTGAGTAACTCAACAATTCCATTCAGAAAGCAACAGCCAATGTGCATGTGCACACAATGGCGCAAAAATGCCATTCAGTCAACGATGCCAGTTCCGAGAAGATGACACCCGCCCCCAATACAGCAAAAGAGGCGGCGCTTCTCGTTGCGTCAGAAGGACAGCCCATTATACAGAATGTCTCCGAGGAAGAATACACAGCATTGGAAAGACGCGTTCGACTCAAAGTAGACATACGTCTTTGTACCATCGCTGGGATCCTATGCAGCCTCAACCTACTTGACTCGGGCATTCTGTCATCGGCATCGGTCACAAGCATGTTCGAGGATCTTGACTTGCAAGGATCGCGGTATTCGGTCTCCATCTTCATCTTCACGATTGCAAGTGTCGTCGCTCAGCTGCCTTGCACCGTTGCCGTGCGCTTGATGGGTCCCCGCATCTGGTTCGCCCTGATCACCTTCTGCTTCGGTCTGATCACCCTCTGCACCGCATTCATCCAGAATTGGAAGCAGATGATTGCATTGCGTGTACTTCTGGGCTTCGCCATGTCTGGTATATATCCAGGATTGACGTATTTGATCAGTACCTGGTACACACGCAAAGAGCAGCAACTGCGCTTTGCGTTTCTGCAGTCCGGAGAGGTCCTTGTACTAGCCACGGGCACCATTGTCAACTACGCTCTGAACCGCTTGGACGGCAAAGCAGGGTTAAGAGGCTGGAGGTGGATGTTCCTTGTCCAAGGGCTCATCACCTGTGTCCTTGGCATCATCACCTACTGGTGGATGGTAGATTTTCCCGAGCAGTCGCACAAAAGCTTCTGCTTCTTGTCCAAGACGGAGGCCAAAGTGGCAGCGCAGCGTATCCAGACGGATCGGGACGATGTAGTTCCCGAACCATTCTCCTGGCGCAAAATCCTCGTCAACTTCCTTGACCCGAAACTATACGGTTTCGCTTGCTTGTTCTTCCTGCTCAACCTCGTCTCAACTTCGCTCAGTTACTTTCTCCCCATCATTCTCCAGTCGGGGATGGGGTTTTCAAGCAACCAATCGATTCTGCTCTCAACGCCGGTAAGTTTGACCTGTCACGAAGTCCACGACTATCCCGCCTAACCCTCTTCCAGCCATACTACTGGTCCGTCATCCCAGTCCTCCTCACCTCCCTGATAGGCGACACCTACCGTGTCCGCGGGCCGCTCATCACCTTCAACGCGCTGTGCGTGATAGTCGGGTTCTTGATGTTCGGCCTCCCATCCTCCACCGAGGTCACCGTCCGGTACATCGGCACGTTCCTCGCAACAGGCGCATACGTCTCCAACTGGGCTGCCCTTAACGCCTTCATGGCCAACAATGTCGTCGGGCAGTGGAAGCGGGCCACCACTGCGGCTGCCGTAGCTGCGTGCAATGGGCTGGGTGGCGTGGCGGGGAGTTATATCGTCCGGCAGCAGGAGGCGCCGCACTATACCACGGCCGTCTGGGTGTCTATCGGGTAGGGTCTTGTTAGCTGAGTTGGAAAGAAATGCGTTTGCTGATTTGTATTATCGTTGTATAGGTCGCATATCCTCATGATTGCCATCGTTGGTGTCTTTGCGATTTGCTTCTATCGATGCAACCAACAAGCAGCTCGGGGGCGGAGGGTTATTCAAAATAAGGTATGCTTCTTAGACCGGCTCGGTCGTAGGCCATACCTGGTCTTTCAGCGCTAACTACTCTGTCAGGTCGGATTTCGATATACTTATTGATGATACACATCTCGTCGATAATGTTATAGACGATAGACTGTTAGCTATCACACTTTACTTGAAATAGACCTCGAACCACTGCTGGATTATGTCCTCTCAAAGCAAATTGCTCCAATAATAGTTCTCCATACGATCCTCTGATTCTCCTGGCTTGAATACATGCATGCATACATCGACATGGTGTCCGTGGGGTATATGGTAAGTGAGCAAGGGCACCGTGCAAAGAAACCTGGTCCATATTAAATATCGCGTAGAAGTCAAAAAAAAAATGTAACCAGCCAAGTGAATAGTTCATTCAATTCACGCGATCTCTCTGCTCCAATTTCCCAACAAGCCGTTTCATTGCCGTCCATTCGTCCGCGGGCACGTCCTCAGGAGTACCACTCAGGCCCTTTCCTACCTCGAAGACTGTGATTACACCATCCAATCCACCGGTTGCAAGCCGCTTGCCCTCGCGTTCTTCCCATGCCACCTTGTTAAGGCTTCGCGTCAAGATACCGCCACGGCCCCGAGTCGGCGTGGTCCGCACAACGGGGACTTCGGTGTCCGAGCAGAGATCCCAGACCTCGAGATTACCAGCTCCATCGACGAGAGAGAAGACTCCGGGGCGGTGAGGCGACCACCGGGCGTCGTAAACCACATCCTCCCGGTTCAGATCGAGGATAGGTGAGACGACTTGCGTGGTCGCAATGGCAGCCGAGGTTGCCGGGGCGGTGGTGGCAGGTGGTCGCACACGCCACAGCTTGACGCTCCAGTCCAGGCTAGAGCTTAACATCAGATCTCCGAGATCAACCGGGCCCTTCGCGGGATGGAAGGCAGTCGACATGACCGGCGCTGCATGGCCACGGTACGCGAGACGTTGGTCAGTGCCAGCCTTGGCCCCGGCTCGATCGTAGCGATGACAAGGATAAATGCCTCCTTCTTCGGTACCGACGATGAAGAATGTTGGGTCCGATTGGGGGAACGACATGGTTGTGGGCGCCAGGTCCTCTGTTTTGGACGGTGGAGGTGTGGAGAGCTCGAGGTATTCTTGGGGCTGTGAAAGCATATCAACGGTCCATCCGCAGACAACGCCGTCTGTGGACGCGGTCAAGATATTGTGCGCGTTTTGTGTGCCTATGATTGAGATGCTGTACACGGGGTGCGTATGCCCTGAGCCAGTCAGGGGTGTCTTTTGTACAGGGGCACCACCACCGGCGCGGGACGATCGCGTATCCCAAAGCAAAACCTGCCCAGAGTACGATCCTCCGACGATGAGGTTGGGATGGAACGGGGAGAATTTGGCCGTCAAGATATCCGAAGTTGAATGGAACACATACTCAGGGCGAGAGTGCAAGTGTTGGTTCCAAACCTGGACTAGGCCATCCGGTTCATGAGGAGCAGAGGGATTCTTCGTGTACGCGGCCAGAACTAGTTCCGGAAACTGGAAAGTAAGTCAGCCCTGTAAAAATATCTTCATTGGATATGGGGCGACTGACCTTCGGAGAGAAACTCAAATCACTGATCATGCGTTTCTTGCTCCATCGCTCGTCCCAGAACTGGCAAACCTCCCTGATGCTCTTGCGCTTTCGTCCATGTTCGTCATCTTCTTCCAGATCGCCATCAACTCCGCCAAGCTCGTAGTCCGCGAGCACGTCGTACTCCTCATCTAGAGCACGCTCGATCACTTTCGCTGAACGTTCCACGAAGTCGAGGAAGTCCTCTGAAGAGGTGACGGCCTTCAGTTCGTCCTCGTCGAGTGTACGTAAAGGATAACGTAGTTTTGTAGCCTGGGCACCAGGCCCACCAGCAGCCTGCTGTTGGCTGGCCTGCAATTCCTCCTCAATTTCTCTGCGAAGCTTCCTTCGAATTTCCTCATCGTGTTCGCGGTCCCTCTTGCTTAGGCGTTTGCTTGATCCAGTACCATCGTCAAACTCTCCACTTTCTGACTCCGAGTCCAGCGAGTCTAATTGGCGTTGCTTTGAGTCATCTGTTTGCACTCCCTTGCTGTATGTAACGACTTCTCGTTTAGGTTCAGGGGCAGGCGCAGGTTCAGTAGAGGCAACAAAAGGGTCCGTCACATCAGTCTGAACGGCGATTGACTGCGAAAGCGGTCTCGTAGCAGAATTGAAAGCTTCAGCGTTATCTCCACTCAATTGGCTAGCGCTCAGTACTGAGTTCGGCCTGCTGCCTTTTCGTGAGGGGCCGTCTGCATGGCTGACAGAGGCCGATCCTGGGCGATCAACAAGGCGAGCGATCAGGTCATCGAGCTCAGCTCTGCTATCTGAGCGACTCGGCACAGGCGACACAATCTTTGCGGATGGTACTTCAGTATCTGGCTTTTGGTATTTCACGCTCGTGGCTAGGGTAGCATACCTCTGAAGCATCTCCTCCGGTGCTGGCCCGACTCTGCGAGAATTCCTTCTGTCGTAGCTCTCTCTGGCGCCTCAGCTCCGCCAGTTTAGCCCTTTTGGCCAAAATTTCAGCTTTACGTTGTTGCACAGATGACATGACGGATTGAGTGAGTGCAGAGGTCAAATTGGGGGAGTTCCATCCAGACCTACTACTAATTGGTTATTATTATTTACATGCGGCTTCGCGTTCCGCAGATACTCCGTATTCTGCGGTGACGGCGAATTACTGCATCCGGTATAGCGCTCCTAATCGGGGAAAGCGCTTCTCTGTCGCTTGGCATCGTGGGGTGTGGTCTATAAGGTATAGATAGCTTCCTCACCCGCCTGCCTCTCCTCGTTGCTTTCCCATCCTTTGACGCCGTGTCGACTCAGACCAACTTGAGCCATTCTTGCCATTGGGCCGGTCTCTCCGTGTTCTGCACCTCGCCACCCCCTTTTACTGCAGTGAGTCCGGATGATCTCGCATCATTCCTTGAGCTGTCCTCTGATTGATCTTTTCTACTTTTAGCTGAACAGAAAAACGCAGCAGAATTCGACGCGATCGCGAAATTGCGCAGGAGGCTTACTCGGAGAATTCACACCACAGTTATGATGAGCGCCCTGAGTTATTGGCTGAAACCGTGGCCTCACGATAGTATATGAAGGAACCTGCAAGGTCCGTCAGCGTTGTCAATTGACACACGTTTCTCTCATCAGCGTTGAGTCTGTAACGATGGTCCAATGCGAGCACACTTTCTGGCTAGAACTTAGCCATGAAATGGCTGCGGCTCAGGTCTTTTATGGATCAAGACTTTCTCGATTGGTGAACGAGCTCTGGGCTCGGTCAGATACTACATGTTTGACGAGGTGTGGAGCTTGCTCGGGGACACTGGTGTAGGTTTTCATTGTCGAACTCTCTGTCAAAATATACCGCCTGGGACCGGTGCGCGGATTGTGACCTCGACGTCGAGGATACTTCCTGCAATGGGGCGCTTTTGCCTCCGTGACAGTGACACGCGCATTGATATCACTGCCATGGAAAGGCCTCGGCATGTCGTTGTGTCCTCGTTCGAGATGCAGGAGGGGGAACAACGCCTTGATACCCTCGCCCGCCTGATCGCTCCGATGCTATCCCAGAAGAAGACCATAATCTTCACTAACAGGCTCGACGAGGCCGGAGCTGTGCAAGAGTCCCTCTCCGCGAGGTTCCCTGGTTGTGCAATCGGGCTGTTGGCGAAAAGTATCGGCACACATAACAGAGAAATCCTTCTTGACGCCTTCCAGGGTGGGCAGTACCACGCAGTTGTTACGTGCCGTCTTTTCTACGCAGGAGTCGACCTCAACAGCGAGATTCAGTGCGTGGTTTTCTACACCCCTCCTCCAACCATAACCACACCATCACGGGTCGCCTCCGGCTAACCGCAGCGGGCGGCGAGATGATTACCATCCTGGACCCAGAGGCAAAGGAGGAAACGGAGCGGATGGAGAACATCAGGCGAGAGTTACGCGATCTTCAACGCTCCCACGCGTCCGTCTTCGACAATACCACGAGTCTACGGCCTTCTCTCAACAGCTCGACAGCGGCCAGCTCTAAACTCATTATTCGCGGGCTAGCAAACGAGGTGAATGTCCAAGACTTGATGGGTGCGTTGCAGCGATTCCAGCCAGTGCGCGCTGAAGTTGAGCCGGCTAAGCTTGACAACCTGAGGAGTGCCACGTAAGTCCCGTCTTTCCTAACAAGAAAGACCACCTACTAACCATAGGTGTATATGCAGAACGGCCTTCGTCTGGTTCCCCACGGAGCCCCTCGCCACGCTTTGCCTGAGGGAGATAGACGGGGCCCGCCTTTGCGGGACCATGGTGATGGTTGGGTACGCGCTGGAGAAGAAAAGAAAGAGATGAATTGCGGTTGTGGTGGGCGGGTACACCTAGGCAGAGGGCCCATCACGCGTTAATAGGGCCTACTGCTTAGTGTGTGAATTCTCTGTTGTTTGTTTTTCCTTCTTTCTTTCCTTCTTTCTTTCTTTGTTTTCGAGATGCACAAGTTAGGTATCTTCTGGTACAGCACTGCAGCCCCCTCGCCAGGTTGGTCAGCGGTTGGAAGCAGTGCGGAGAATAGATCCCTTCTAGAAGTAAACACTTGATGACGCATGGGAAGAATGATGAAACTCCTTCGTAGAGATTGACTCATACTTTACATAGCTTGGTTGCAGTCGCATCATAGTGTAATGAAGACATCACCTTCCTCCTGATGCTCTGTGGAATTCTATACCATTGTCAACCCCATTCACTTCTCCCACTTACCTTCCCGAGGCTCTCTTCACAATATTATACGCAGGCTTTCCTTCCTTGCAATATTCTTTCCATTTGGGCACGCGCGCTCAGAAGGCGACACCATACCATCGCAGCGACACCTTCCCAAGACGGTCTCAGCCTGCCTTCTTAGAGCTGTTCCAGCGTGCCTTCCCAAGGATTACCCGTTCATTCGTATCTGAGTGTCGGTAAGTGCCCGCGAAGGCCAACTCTTTCAGAGTACCTAGTCTTTTCCCACCCGACCCGCGTCTTGCCTCAACCGAACTGCGTGTTTTCCACCATGCCACTGAAGAAAAAATTCGAAGAAGGCTGCTGACGTGAACATTTATACCGATGCCGGTGCTAGGTCTACCGCTGTGCTCGCAGCCAAGACCGTCATAGCCTCAGAGTCTGACATGATTGCCGGTGCGAAAAGGTCACTGGCTGAATGCCTTGATACCGACGAACTCCATTCGGAAGTCCTGTACGATAACATGTATACCGGCAACGACGAAGGTCTTGGAATAGTCAGGGAACATGCAAGAATACCTGCACTAGAGACCAAGGTCGAAGTGTTGGAGAGACAGCTCAACGAGTCGAAGAAGGAGATGATGGACCGTTTCAGCGAACTCCACAACACATTCAATCGGCTAGCGCAAGAGACAGACGTGAGGTTCTCTCTTCGTTCTGCCAATATCAGGAGCAGGTTTCTCAAAAGGTCGTCGACCAGGGAAATGTCGCCGCTCACCACGGATTCTTTATGGCGGACGCTATGCTATACGATCCAGAGGGCTTTATGGACGAAAATGGCCAGCAATTCCCACCACGAACTGACCGGGATACCTTCAAGCTTCTTTATGGTGTTGACCCTAGCCTTGCTGAGAAAATCAGTAAGCGTCACATTGGCCAGATCTTTATTAGTTTTGCTCAAAGGCTGACGCTACCTGTGTCCAGATTACACGCCGACAGTTCAGGTACTGGAGAGGCATGCCACGGTCCGCGCTTCGTCTAGATTTCGAATGACCTCCCTGTTCGAGGAGAAATTTCAAGCATTCATACGCGCTTTGAAAGCCACAGACTACGCTGGTGATTACCTGAATTTCCAATCAGATCAGGTTGCAGAGCTTCTGTTCGCATACCAAGAGTTCTGGAAGGCTAGTAGACAGTGCCAGCCACTACGGTGATTCTAGGAGGCTGCTTCCACATGTACTATTCGGCAGTCCTACGCCACACAAGTCATACATCTGGACCACGCGGGCGATATTTAGTGGCGATCCAAAGCCTACGCCCGCGTCGGCGATAAGCGGAATCCGAGGATTAAGGTTCGTGATTATCTGGGCGTTTTGCGTAAAGTTGTCTAGCGAGCGACGCAAATGCAAGATCTGCTCGTCCCAGGCGTGCGGCTGTAGTCATCGAGCCGCCTTGGTACTGTTCTTGATCAGCTGTGCGCGATAAAATAGGGAAATAGTGGGAGATGTACCATGACGTTGAAGCCTTGCTCGATGGCGAGGCGCGCGCAAATGCCATCATATACTCCTGGTGCCTGAATGCAGACGCCTGGCTGGGAGAGTAACTTTCGCAGCCGCGTTGCAGGCTTCATGTACTGTCCTGTGTCAATCAATCAATCAATCAATCAATCAAGATTCTATTAACATGATGTAGCCTATCTATTGAAGCGATTAGCTACGCAGGCGCTTCGCCGAATGAAGCAGGAATCTAGTATCCGAACGCCTATCCATAAAGCCCAGAAATGCAGAGAAGACATAAGAAATTGGCGTAGAGCCACATCAAAAGCAGATAAACAATTAAAGCAGCCTGCCGCCGGGCTGCGTGCCTCCCCTGCGCCATCTTATTGCATTAAACACCTATCCCACTCCATTCTGTGTGGTGCTCCAAGCGTAGTGTAGTTCCGCACCTAGGAAGACCGCTCCTAGGCAGCCGTTTAGTCCATCTAACCATCATCTTCCATATCTATTCCAGAGCCTCGTAAGGCTTCCACGTTCCTGGTTCTGCTTGCCCGTCGTTTCTATATGGCGGAACTGGCTGAGCAGGCCTGTTTAATGCATGAATCTAGCGATGTAGCAGATCGCCTGCGGGTTGGATATGAGTGTTGTAGTCTGATAGCTTCCCCTGGGTTCCCTCTACATCATGTAGCTTAGCAATTATCTTCCTGTGGGTTTCTACGTGCAACGAACACTGCAGGAGAATATGCTTAGGGGTCTGGGGGACCCCTCTCCACAGCTGCACCGGTCCGTATTATAGGCCTTCATCTTAAAAAGGAAGTGTTGCAGACCAATCCGCACGGTCTGCATTTGGATGATGATTGATGTACACAGCTTTGGTAGGCCCTTATAGAGTCCTGGATTCTTCTTATGAGGGGCCTTAATCAGCTGCTGTGTCAGCTTGGCCCCTTTCTCCATCTCCCACTGTTTCCTCCAGTGGTGTTGGATTCGCTGGCGGACGGCCCGTTTGGCCGCTGTGGTGAGCTGGATAATTAGTTGATCCGACTGCCCCGCTGAGCTTAATTTAACCTTACCACCTTGTGTAGATGACTAATTGGTCATTGTCTTTGCATATTTCATTGTACATCATTAGTGCGGCTTTGTGGTCCTTAATCATGTAATGGAGGGGTGGCTCCCATGGGGGGAGTATATACACTTTCTGTGTTTCCCATCCCTCCAGGCATCTTAGGGTAGGGGCTAGTGGGCCACCTCTCTTCCTAAGTGCCTCCGGTGGAGTGAGGCCACCCCACTGTATCTCTCTGGTTAGTTGTGGCTTTCCTGTGAGTCCTTGGGGGCAGGCAAACCTTGGCCCTGTCTGGATTTGAATAGCAGTTTCCTTGATGATCTGCTGCATCTGCAGGCCTATTGGTAGTAGGTATAGTTCCATATTAAGTGCAGCTGCAGTGGTTCCCTGAAAGGCTCTGCTGATCAGTATAGCCGCGTGCTTTTGGATCTTGGTGAATTCATTCATGATTCTAGCATATTTCCCTGCTGGAATCAGCCTGCTAGCAGGGGTAAACTATGCCATGACTCTATATAGGAGCTGTGGGATGACCACACCATAATAGATTACATGCATGGCCTCCAGCAAAGCACCCCAAGTTGATCCAATAATGCTCTGCAGTGCTTCCAGGCTGTTGTTTGCATGGTTCAGCGCCTTGGTGTGGTGTGTGGCCACTTCTGCTGCTACTCCTGCTTCCTCCTCTGCTTCATCGCCCACTTCCTCGCCTGCTGCTTCTTTCTCTTCATTATTTAGCAGGATTCCTGACTGTGTTTCTGGCAATATCATTGCCCTGAGATCTACCCACATTCCTTCGATGGTGAGTCCAGTGACAGTGATAACTGTAACCCAAATGGTTAGCTGCACTGGGACTGTTAATCCAGCATCAGTTAGATGTTCGACCTCCACGTCTAACCTCACGTCAGAAGGAAATTGGTCAACAGTTGCTTCCCTTGGTGCAAGCTTGTTTACTTTACTTGCTATGGTTATGATGTTATAGATTCCAGCAAGCTCCTTCCCACAATGCTTGTCTTCTAAATCTATCATTCTTGGATCGGATTTTCCCTGTTTAATAGTCTTTCTCCATAGTCAATTAAACAGACTGCAAAGTACACAGCTACCCAGCCAGCGCAGGTTAAGGAACTCAGGCATGTAGATAGACAAGGCCTAAAGTAGCCTGCAATGCACTAGAGCTAACTGGTATCAGAAGAATCAACTAGCAATTTAATAATCATGCTTTGAGAGTGGTTTTACTAAGCTTATTGAAGGAATCTGACAACAAACCTAATAAAACTATCTATACATCAAAGGGTGATATTATGCTCTTTACTTTAGTGAAGCTTATACCTGGGAAGTGAATATAGAACCACATCACAACCAGGGTAGTTGCATTTCCAACCCTCTGGAAAGTTTTGCCGCAGCTTGTGGGTTGCAAAGTGCCTCTGCAGTGTATCTTTATGGGCATATATCTATGCTTTTGCCCCAGGATGGATACCAGGGCGACTAAGGTATACTAGGCATTTAAGTCTGCTTTTACTCTTTAGGGGAGACAGATTTTCAGTAACTAAATTAGTAGAAGTTTCATTAAAATAGATTATTTTCTGCAAAACTCTTGGCATGTTGAGGTTATAGAGAGCTAGGTGTATCTCCAGGGATTAGATCTGGTCCTCTACTAGCTCTGTGTTATTAACTTTGTCTATATCTCTGCTCTTAAACTTAAGGTCCACAAGGGCTCTTCTTTCTAGGACTACATTTAAGGTGTCTAGCTTAAAGTAACTAGCTAGCCATGATAGTTACCTTTAATGATGTGATTTCTGATGCCTTTAAAAAATTCTTTATATTGTTGCTCCCTGGTGGCTTTACATAATGTCTTTCTTTTTTCTCTAACTTTGTGCTGGGCCTTTCAGAACTCTATGTATAGATCTGTGCCATAAGCTTTGCTTAGCTGATGGTGTAGTATAATTAACTCAGCCTAAAGCATGTTGCACTTATGCAGCATGCTTTAGACTAGTAAGACCAGGATTCTTCTCTAGTTCTTACTTTTGCTAATCGCTCAGATCTTACAGTACAGATGTATTGCAAGTTAAACTTGAATTAGTAGTAAGCTTGATTAAAGAAGTCCTTGCAGAGGTTTCCATGAAGGCAGATTAGGTATAGGGTTGTTATTTTTGCGGGTTGGGCCGGGTTATGCCATCTTTTGAACCCAACCCGGCGGGTTTGGGTTGTAGATTTCTAGGGCCTAAACCCAGCCCATAACCCGGCGGGTTGACTATCTAGAACCCGCTGGGTTCTATTCTGCCAAGGATGTTATTCTCCGCCTACTAAATCCAGTTAGTATGGGCTGGGTTGGGCCCGCGAACCCGCCAAGTAATATTTAACATGTAAAACCATACCAATATTTAATAAACATAAACATACAAATGAGTATTATATTGATTGAGCTAAACCTCTATTATAAAGCATCAATGAAGTAGTATAATATATATAAGGTATAGAAGTCTAACCTAAGTTAGATTTTCATGCAGGTTTCCAGAGGGGAACCTTATCTACAATGAATACATTAGAATTGCTGGTTCTTTATAGTGAATATCAAGTATATATTTCTCAAACTTGAAGACTCCAAGTTAAACAAAGAACACACCACTACCCATAAATTATTCACTTCTATTCACTTCAAGCCTTGAATAAGCTATAGTTATAGAACAATAGGCAAGCATGTACATATAATAATATCTTATAATTCTTTATACTTAATTAAACTCTCCTTCTTATTTATTTTTATTCATGTACAGACCCCCCATTTGCTGCACAAACCACCCACTTTGTGTACAGACACCTCCTATTGTGTACAGAGCCTCACCATCTTCCCTTTTTCTGTGTGCACAGAACACTATGATTAGCCTTAATCAATTTAATCAAATCTAACTTAGGTTAGATTTGATCTCCCAGACAGTGTATAGTGTTCCCTCATTTCTTTGACTACATCCATCTACAATCTAACTTGAGTTAGATTCCACAATGCCCAAATCTGGCAAGTCTAAGAGGAAAAACCTTGATACTGTCACGTCAGTGGTTAATGATTAATTATCCCACAAGATCAGAGATGCCTTGCTGGGGATGCTAATCATTAATGTCCGCCTCCTAAACCCTGCATGGCCTAATAGGAAGAACTAAGAACTTAATACTGCCCACCTTGAAAATCTCCGCCAGAGCATGGCCTTGGGAGTTTGCTGGCTCGACATAGAGACCTGTATAAAGGTGTATATGAGCTAGACAGACTTTGATTAACTCCTTAAGCATCTGGTTGCTTAGTACTCAACTACAAATTCAAGTCCTATCCCATCATACAAAGGAAAGCAAGTGAAGAAGTGGAGCATATAGACACTCTAGGAGATCATTCAGAATTCCACAGTTAACCCCTCTCCTGCCAGAGATGTTGTTATTTTTAATTGGCTAGATAAAATTCCTTATATAATCCTTGACGCTGGCCAGCATTGAAAGGCTGCACTTGAATCTCTGTTATTAGACCAAGCAGCTGCAGCTGCTAAACCACCAGCACCTGCTACTAATAATGGCACCCCACCTCCTGCTATAATGATGCCCACGGATCAAGTAAGTAAAATCTAACCTAGGTTAGATTTTCAACTACTGACATATATATATAGGATTACCTTTGGGCGGTTGATGTCTACTGCAGTGATATATTTGATATGGAAATGTGGATGGTCCTATGGAGTAACTAGTGGGAAGTTAACAATCCTGATTCTAATAGAGTGTTCCTGGTTAGAATACTTAAGGTATTCAAGGGCAAGTCCCTTACAGACCAAAAAAGTCTTCTCTCATCTACTCATCTCAAAGAATGGCTCGTGCAAATACTAGGGATTAATCTCTTATGGGTTAATCACATTCTGCCCATCCTAAAGCATGCTGAGTTTAAGAAATATTTCAAGCAGTACTGCTCTACTCTATATAGGGCTCTCTATTTCCACTTTACTACTGCCGACAAAATTGCCTCATCTAAGCTTGATCAGGTATGTGATCTAATACTATACTTAACATAGAAATCTAACTTAAGTTAGATTTGGTTTGAGCATTTAGATGAGTTTTTTGACTTTAAGGCAACAATCTTTGGAGACCTATCATCAAAAGTTTCAGGGGCAGACTAGGCTACACTAATACTGCTCCCTACACCAAGAGAGTATAGCATTCTTTATCCATTATTTTTCCCTACCAGTGATGACTACACTAATAGCACACTTAATCAGAACCTACTCAGTCTTCCTAATGCATATACTAATGGAACCTTGAGTCTTCCTTTAATAACTCCCTTCTAGAAGAGTAGTGTGACATACAAGACCTAGAGACCTAACTTTTTTAAAGAGCTCTCAGATGTAGAATTCTGCCAGCTCTTTAAGAATCTATGGAACCACCTAGATCTGAAGTGCCTATCATGGCAGTTATAGAGCATAATTACCAGTAATATTTTAGAGCTAACTATGAAAGTTCTTAAGCACATGACATACTGGTTTAACCCTGAGTAGAAGTATCCTAAGGCGGCTAAGAAGGCCCTGCAATGCTTTAACTGGACTAAGGAGGTCTAAGAAGTGATCTTAGAGAAATCTACTCTTACTCCAGGAGGGGTCTGTGGCTTTGATAGCAGCGCAGATACATTTAAGATTGCTGACTCCTTAGTTCATGAAATTTGGGACTAAGTCTGAGATGAGCTGCTGTGGAAAGACAGTAAGCTAGTAAAAGCTGTAAGTAAGGAATCTAACTTAAGTTAGATTTAAACTAACTAATTATAGCTGAATACCCTGCCAAATGAGAAAATGAATATGGAGGCATCACCAGATTAGATCTTATACTCAGCTTAGTTTAAGTATAAACACTAGGCAAAAATAGTCAAGATTACTGTTAAGTATGCCGGCCCAGCTCTAGCTAGGAAGATGGCTATTTATAATGACCTCATAAGGCTGGTATGTAATACAACTTTAGCTAGACTTACCTACCTACTAACTAATAGCTTTAGGAAAATAACCTGGTGAACTGGACTGTGTGGGGACATCTATCTACCTAAGTTAATTAGAACTAAAACCCAATAATCCACTAGGTACGCGTTTTAAATAATAAGTCATTGAAGTAGAGTTTTGGCGCAGAGGCAAATATGCTTAGAGCTATTTTTACATACCATAACCTGAAGAGAATTATATTAGATATACTTAATAAAGGGTTCCCTTCATAAGCTACTCATTCCAAAAGTAGTGAATCATTGATTCTTAATGAGGTATGTAATTTCTAACTTAAGTTAGATTAGATTCTAATTATCTACAGAATGAATGGAGAATGTGCATGGACTATTTATATGAATATACTCTAATAATAGATGCTTATGGCTGGACCCCAAACCTTAATAATTAAAATAAGGATTTATCAGTCTTCTAAATGAATATTGAAAACCACTAGAACAGGGAGATTGAGCGCCGCCCTAGATTCATTAAGGCTCTTCCAAAAAGCACTAATACCCTTATGCCTAACAAGGGGAATCAGAAGCTTTTACAGAACTTTTAGAAACAGTTACTAAAGATCACTAGTGCTCCCCAGGGTGCTGTAGCCCAGATATCTACTATACCAACTCTAAGAGTAACTCCTACACTATCTCCTGCAGTGACTCCTGTAGCTGCAACTATGTCCAGAGAAGATACAGATAAGGAGAGTCAGGAGAGTGAGGATAGTGAGGATAGTGATTGTGATATAGATGCTACGCGTAAGAGACCAAGGAATAACAATGGTGGTGGTGGTGGTGGTGGCAAGAAGAGATAAAAATCTAACTCTGGTTAGATTCCTTATACCTGCTGGCGCAAGGAGGTTGACTTAGTGGTGTAATAAGGTTTGCCTGGAAAGATGTTACTAGTTAGCATAACCATGAGAGCCTGGAATTCTGTTATTAGCTGGCGCATTTATAGAGAGCTGGAATTTGGAATGTAAATAGAATCTAACTCTAGTTAGATTCCTCATATCTACTAGCGCAAGGAGTTTGACTTGGTGGTGTAATAAGGTTTACCTAGAAAAAATGTTACTAGTTAGCGCAATAATGGAGAGCTGGAATTTGGAATGTAATATAATCTAACTTAAGTTAGATTATAATTTCTATAGTAACTAAATTACTTTCTTTCTATGATAATAAAGCAGACCTAAAGAGTATTATGTTTACTTTTATAATGAAAAAGGTTATTTAAGCTTGGTAACTATTTAACTTAGGAGCAGTGAGTAGAGGTATCTTAAATCTATTTTAATAAGATGTCTCAGTCTTCATTCTCTATAGATTTAATGTTAGTTAATTCTCCTCTATCTACTACCAGCCTATCATCTACTATTAGTAGTTATATACCTTAATGCACTCCAGGTCCATCTACATCTGCCTTTTCTTTATTATAGTCAGATAATACCTTATGAACAAGTATTATATGGACTCCATGAATAAGTATTATACAGACAGCCCCTCATCCTGACCTCCAAATCCGCAATCAAAATGGAAAGAATAAGATTATATTATTTAGCAAGGACTGTGAACCTGCATTCTAGCTATGGTGGCAGGAAACAACAGGGGCTAAGGGTATGTAATCTCAGAGGCAAAAGGTGAGCTGGGGGAGAGCTCAGACATCTCTGGTATAGACAGACTTTGATGAAGGTGCATCCTTTCCTGATGGGAAACCTAAGGTCTGATGTAAATATTGTGGTTGTCTTCTCCTCTACCCTTATTATGGCAATGGTGTTATGACAATGATATAGTATATTAAAGCCTACTGCCCAGTGATTAAGAAAACACCTTCTTCCTAATAGAAGCTTAGCAGTCTCCTGAAAAACTAAGTAAGTATAATATCTAACTTAAGTTAGATTCCTATTACTAACTAACTAGCCTGCAATATCTTATACACCTGAGAACTTTAAGGATTAAATCCTTTAGTTTATTCTTGCGGCTCGCCTCCCATTTTGAACAGTTAAACACCCTTAATTTTGTAGATTACTTATAATGGCTGCTGGGGCACATACTCTTAATTTACTAAATTAGCATTTAATTAAGAGCTGTTTACTTAAGTAGTTATCTAAAACTTAAGCTAAGACCCTGTCCTTAATCCCTCCCCAGTCCAAGATCTCTCTTGTAGTTAATGCATGGACTAGTTCATCATAAAACTCCTTCCTTATAATTACTGGGTACTTTCTTAGCTCAGATTAGAAGTATCATGAGGTACTTCTAGGGTTTAAGCCAATGAATATTCATCATACAGGTGATAACCTTGTATAGAAGGTAGTATCAGTGCTTAAATCAGTCCAGCTTCAGCATTATGTTATAGCAGTTACAACAGATAATGCTGCAAATAATTTAATAATGATGGATGCTATTACTTATAAGCTTCAAAAGGATCTTCAATCTCCTTAGATTATAGAGATACTCTAGGATTCAGCTATTACTGATATTATTAACTTATAGGTTTATATTCCCTGTCTTACCCATGTCCTGTAACTTACTGTGAAGGAACTCTTTACTTTCCTTAAGGTTGAAGCTACAAATGATAAGATTGAGATGGTCTGGGATGCAAGTGACTGATATATCTATTTAGAGGGATTTACAGGTACACTTAAGAAGGTATATAAATCTAACTTAAGTTAGATTCTTTGCTAATAGTATCTCTTACTAGATTCAAAAATTCGCTTGGTTTATTAATGCAAGCCCTACCCAATGTGAAACCTTTCACTGCCTACCTTCTAATCCTAGATCACTTAGACTTCAATAGGACTGCAAAACTTGATAGAACTCAACATATCTGATGTTATAGTGAGCTATTAAGCTTCACTCTGCTCTAGCTGAGTTTTCAGAAAAGTGGGAGAAGGAAGACATTATATATCTTCTTCCTTCTTATGCAGAGTGGCGGTGGATTAAATACCTACTTCAGCTAACTCACCCTTTCTTTGCTTTTACTCTTGCCTTATTAGAGTTTAATGGACCTATAGTCTATAAGGCCTTCAACATCTATAACTCCTTATTTCAGTATTTAGAGGATGCTCAATGACAACTGGAATCAAAGTGCACAACTTAGAAGAGGGAACTACGGCATGCCTTATCTAAGGCTATTAATAAGCTGCGTCAGTATTATAGCAAGACATACTATGCACAAGGATATGTCTATGCTATTGCAACTATTCTAGCTCCTCAGTTTAAACTGAAAGTCTTTCAGGAAGATACATGGAGTGATGATGATGTTAACTAGCATGATAGGTATGCCAGTGCCCTTAAGGATATTTATGCTTACTATGCTGCAGTCTTTCCAGAGAAAGTAAAGATAAATCATACCTCTAACTATCTTTCTGAACTGGATTGAGTCATTACTATTACACGGAAGGGTAAAATATGTGTTCTAACCTAAACTGATAATGCCTTGAGTAAGATTGAGGATTATTTACAAGAAGGTACATTATATAATTCTAACTTAAGTTAGATTTACTAACTAATCATAGGTCTCATGCCCTCTGGTACGAATGTGCTTGAGTATTAGAAATAGTATGAGAATTATTTTCCTATTCTTGTAAGAATAGCACGAGACTTCTTAGCTGTGCCTATTAGTGGTGTGGGGGTTGAGTGTCTTTTCAATACATCTTAAGATGTCTGTCACTACCATCAAAGTCATCTTCTCCCAGGCACAATCCAAGCAATAATGATCCAGATGTGTGCTGAAAATTTCAAACTTCAATAAGAATTTACAGGCATTCAGGAGGATGATGAAGATAGAGGTACTATTAGAGATGAAGAAGATGATGCTAATCTAGTAGATGTGCCTGACTATATTAGTGAAGAGGAAGATATTGATGATATTGAGGAAGGTCAGGCATATCTACTGGATAATGTATAAGAAGATAATCTTCCTCCATCACTAACTCTACTTTAAACAACATCATGTCAGCCCTAGGTTCCGCGGCGACTAATTCATCGCTAGCATGAACATGGCAAATATCGGGCAATGCTTAATGGAAGACATTAAATTAGGATATTAAATTATTAATACAATATTTTTTCCTTATTAATACAATATTAATTTACTTATTAATACTCTTATAATACTGAATCTAACCTTAGTTAGATTTCATCTATGCTAACTTGCAGAGCACTTACCATACATACCTATATAATTAAAACTGTATTACAATAACACGGGTTCTAGAGAGCCTATAATAAGAACCCAACCCAACCCAACCCAGCCTGTTTTTCAACCTAAAACCCAAATGGGTTCTCATTCTCAGAACCCAACCAGCCTGCGGGTTAGAAATTCTAAACCCAGACCCAGCCCAAGGCGGGTTTAGGCCAGGTTGGGTTGGGGTTTCCGGGTTGGGTTTAACCAGTCTAATTAGGTATCATCTTAGACATGGATATAGTAGGCAAAGGTACTATTTCTCTTATAACCCATGATAATATTCTAAGAGTGCTCATCAAGATGTCCTACAGATATATCAGTGTGTGTAGATGGCAGTAAAGGCATTCTATACTTAAGTTAGCCGTGGCCCCCTTCCTGTACTTGTACAGTGAGCCAGGAGTCTTTAAGCCTGCTGACCTGCTAGTGGTGATCTCATATTCCTCTGCTTGATTGTATTGGTAAGCTAGTGTAGGATGAGTGATCTACCTTCCCTTGGAATCTTTCATAGAGTAATAAAATATTGGAATTTCCTTCATGCTCTCTTTGAAGTGGATCAGGGTGCTAAGTTAATGGGCTGGGATATGGGTATAGAGCCAGATATCTTAAGGCTTCTTGATATGCTCACTGGCAAAAGCATTATCAAAAAAAGTATATTCTAGTATATCTTGGATAACGTAAAAGGCCAAGGTTATCATTCTGCTTGGTGTATGTGTAGACCAGTCAACCATGTCCTTTTCGTCGTCACCCAGACTTTACTATCCCGCACCCAGAAGGAAGGCCGGGTAGGCGGATGACATAAGCGCAGAAGGGGCCGACGGTCCGGAAAAACTCGCGACAAGGACTTCGCCTTGACAAGCCTTTTGTATAGGTATCTCCGTCCGTTTGCCTGCCATTGACAGTCGATACCCTTTGAAACGGTTGCTCGGTATTCGGCCCGCTGTTCATTCTTTCATTTGAATCCTTTTGGTCGCCGCTTCGGGAGACAGGATCTTCTTAAAATGGCCTCACAAGGTGTTAACGTGAGTGTCCGCCAGCACCCATTATCGATTCCTCGCCCATCTATACTGACATGAGTCCGTTGTACTACAGGTTCTGCGCTACTCGGCTCTCGTTGCCGGTCTCATTTATGGCGTCTACCACCAGAACTCTATCACAGCTCAAGCCAAGCAAGCAGAGGCCGACCGTGAATATGCTCGAAAGGAACGCTTGATCCAGCAGGCCAAGGCAGAGTGGAAGAAGAAGACGGCGCCCAAGGACACCAAGGCAGAGAGTGGGGGTAAGTTCTGACAATCAACCGCTCAAAGACCCATCACGGTTATCTGGTCTTTGACTGGCAGCATCATGTGCGACGTCACGCTAACTGGGTTGCTACAGTCATTACGGACCCCGAAGACAGCCGGTTCGACCTGGAGGCCTTCCTGAAGATGAAAGCTGGGGAGCTATAGATTCGATCATTGAGGATACTGGAATATAGAATGATTGGCGATTTTTCCTCCTTGCGAAGACTGTACCTCCCTCTGGTACAAGAAAGATGGCTCGGGTCCGCCCGAATATGTATTATTGTTTGGTCTAATTCCCACTTTCGTGTTGCGAGCGAAAGGAATGATTTTCTGTTGTTCTTCTAACCAATAGACCTTCCTCCGAGACTTGTACATACCCTGGGGTGTCTGTGCATCTGTACACTACAGTTGGACCAGAAGAGCAAGAAATGTGTGGTTTCTCCGGTTTCGCCGCTCATCTCCTATCTCCGGGACGCTATCGACTACTCCGTGCAGGTTGTATGCGACGCCGCATCACACAGGGCATGTGTAGGAGCAGGAAGCCATCGAAATGGCTCTGTCAGGGTTGCCGGTGGCCACAATTACCGTCTTAGTTCCTTCTCGCGTTTTGAGCTACCATGGCTTCAAGCAAGAGCTGTAACGCTTGTTGGCCGCATCGACTTTTTCAGCCGGAATGAGATCCCATCAGCGCCATGACCTCGCTCAACCCGTTGGAGGAGTGTCCAATCTTTTCCCTAGGAGTGGTAATGGGTTGGGGATAGAGGAGCCTGTTTTGCTCATCCCATCTCCACCCGCAGGCTGTAAATTTTCTTATGATAGCTGGATCGCCCTGCTTTGCGGCGGTTGCATCAAGGCCAAGGTAGTTTGCAGCCGCATCAGGCCGAATCGCTTCGTAGGCTCGACTGACTTCCTTTAAGGTCTTTTCCTGAAAATGAACTAACAGCAGGAATAAGGATTCAGTCAGTCGTCGATATAGTACAGGATGGGGCACTGACGTTCGTATTTTCGTACTGTTGGCTCGAGCATCTCCGGCCATGGTAGGTCTCTCAGAACCTTGTATACGTACTCATACTTCCGTTGCCAGACAGCGCGCAATAACCTCAAACAGTTTTGAAGGGCAGCATCATTTTGCGCTAGATCCTGTGGCATACGCTTCGTCATGGCGCGGGCTTCGTAGCTATGCAAAATTGTGTTAGTAGTTAGTAGGCTGCGTGTCGGCAACTAGAAAATTCGTGAGACTCACATGTCATCAAGGAGAAGATGGCAGAAGAAGAAACTCGAATAAAACAAGCTCAAAAGTTCAGCTTCGTCGCTATTCGACGTTGAAAGAAAACAGGCAGGACCCTCATATTGTGATAATGTCTCGTAGAGGACAGAAGGCGAACGAGCAGTTGCGAGTACCGTGGACAGCTGCTCGCGAGAGAGGGGTGGTAGATCCATTATGGAAATAATCTCCTTACTGCTGTCTGTCAGACTATGATGGAAATGGCGGTCCTCTGTCAATCGTGTTGTTGTACCTCTCTGGATGAAATATTGCGTAGGTCAAGTAGCGATGCTGATGCGGGGACAACTCGGAGGTCCCCCAAGCTTCTCCGATAATCGACTTAGTTTAGATGCGGATACGGACAAACTATTACGTAGACTGACTTGCGTACCGTACCTGATGCCAAGCCTCCAGAAGAGACCACCTTGCGAAGCTCTCCCCCAAACAGTTTATTGGCGAGACTAAACGTCCAACTACCTCCCTCTCATCGGCTACAGAGCACGTCGAGAGAGATATACTCTCTTTTGTCTTTCTCAATTGATATTTCTTTTTCATTTCTCTGGCCATTATGGCCGAAACACCTGTTGATGTTCTCCTAAAGGGCAAGACTGGCAGAAACACTCGCGGCCTTCTGCGGATTATTATCCTATGCACCATTGCAGCAGCAGCAGTTGCCAGTCGACTCTTCAGCGTTATCCGTAAGTCATCGAGGGAATCGAAATTGCTAATTTGGTAAATCTATCAAATCGACTGATCAATTTCCTTCTACCAGGCTTCGAGAGTATCATCCACGAATGTATGTATAGGTCAATTGGATACTAACGGCCTTCGGCCTTCAATGAGCTTCGATTGAACGAATTGATACTGATGCTCCATGATATAGTTGACCCCTGGTTCAACTTCCGAGCAACAAAATACCTAGTACAGAATGGTTTCTATAGCTTTTGGGATTGGTTTGACGACCGTATGTGGTTCCCCACCGTACAAGAGTGCACGAAGCAACATGTCACTCTCGTGGAGTGCTTCTAGACTAATCGGAGTTCCAACATAGGGACATGGCATCCTCTGGGACGTGTCACCGGTGGCACATTATATCCCGGTCTCATGGTGACGAGCGGCGTGATCTACCATATCCTGCGATTCCTCACTATCCCCGTCGACATTCGCAACATCTGTGTCCTGCTGGCGCCAGGATTCTCCGGCCTGACTGCATTGGCAATGTACCTGCTGACATCCGAGATGTCTCATTCGCCTTCTGCAGGTCTTCTTGCAGCAGCTTTCATGGGAATTGCTCCTGGTTACATCTCCCGATCGGTTGCCGGAAGCTACGATAACGAAGCGATTGCCATCTTCCTGCTTGTGTTCACATTCTTCCTATGGATCAAAGCTGTCAAAAATGGGTCTATCATGTGGGGAGCGCTGACCGCGCTTTTCTACGGCTACATGGTGTCGGCATGGGGTGGATATGTCTTTATTACGAACCTGATTCCCCTGCACGTTTTTGTACTTCTGTGCATGGGTAGATACAGCACTCGCATCTACATCAGCTATACCACATGGTATGCGCTGGGCACTCTGGCTAGCATGCAGATTCCCTTCGTCGGATTCTTACCTATTCGAAACAGCGACCACATGTCCGCCTTGGGTAGGTCCACGCTTCGCAAGTCAAATGGACGTTCAGCAGCTGACATTTTGCAGGTGTCTTCGGCCTGCTTCAACTTGTGGCTTTCGCCGAGTTTGTCCGCAGCTTCGTCCCAAGCAAGCAGTTCCAGAGGCTTCTGACCGCCATGATTTTCATCACCTTCGGTCTCGGTTTCCTTGGGCTTGTTGCTCTGACTGTGACGGGAGTGATCGCTCCGTGGAGCGGCCGATTCTACTCCTTGTGGGATACTGGCTATGCCAAAATCCACATTCCCATCATTGCCTCGGTCTCGGAGCACCAGCCCACCGCTTGGCCAGCGTTCTTCTTCGATCTGAACTTCCTGATCTGGCTTTTCCCTGCAGGTGTCTACATGTGCTTCCGCGACCTCAAGGACGAGCATGTCTTCGTCATTATCTACTCGGTCCTTGCGAGCTACTTCGCCGGTGTCATGGTTCGACTGATGCTGACCTTGACCCCTATTGTGTGTGTTGCGGCTGCTCTGGCGCTATCGTCGATTCTCGACACCTATATGGCCACCACTTCCCCGACACCTGCGTCTGAAGCCAAAACAAATGAAGACCCGTCTTCAGAACCTCTTCGCTCAGTTCGGAAGCCCAATGTTGGAATCACCTCCCATGTTTCCAAGATTATAATGACGACGTCTGTTGTCGTCTACCTGCTCCTGTTTGTTGCACACTGCACCTGGGTTACTTCCAATGCATACTCGTCTCCTTCCGTTGTCTTGGCTAGCCGGATGCCTGACGGAAGCCAATACATCATTGACGATTACCGTGAAGCTTACTACTGGCTTCGTCAGAACACTCCCCAGAACGCCAAAATTATGTCATGGTGGGATTATGGCTACCAGATCGGTGGCATGGCGGACCGCCCAACCCTGGTCGACAACAATACCTGGAACAACACCCATATTGCCACGGTTGGTAAGGCGATGAGCTCACGCGAGGAGGTCAGCTACCCCATCCTCCGCCAGCATGATGTCGATTACGTGCTGGTGGTGTTCGGTGGTCTGCTAGGCTATTCTGGCGATGACATTAATAAATTCTTGTGGATGGTCCGTATCGCCGAAGGTATCTGGCCCGATGAGGTCAAAGAGCGGGACTTCTTTACTGCACGGGGTGAATATCGTGTGGACGATGGAGCAACCCCAACCATGCGCAACAGCTTGATGTATGGATTCCCTTTTCCCCTTCTTATCTACTGCTCTGCGTCATGCTAATTCGGAATCCAGGTACAAAATGTCTTATTACAATTTCAACTCTCTCTTCCCATCAGGCCAAGCTGTCGACCGCGTCCGTGGGTCAAAACTTCCCACAGAAGGTCCTCAGCTTTCTACACTCGAGGAAGCTTTCACGAGCGAAAACTGGATCATTCGTATCTATAAGGTCAAGGACCTTGACAACCTTGGCCGAGACCACAACCAGGCTGTTGCCTTCGACAAAGGTCTTAAGAAAAAGCGGAGTGCCAAGAGGAAGGGACCTCGGGTTCTGAGAACCGAATAGAGACAGGATTGAAGCTTTTCTTTTTGACTGATTTATAGCACGACACGAGTACAATCATACAAGTGACTGTCGAGCATTCTTTCTCATTTCCGTGTTGTAATCCAGAGATCCCATCCCCTGGGAAGTCCAACGGAGACGAAAGCTGGTCTAGATTCGATGACACTGGTTTAGCCCATATATAAATGATTCAGTAGATGGCAAGGCGCTTTAGACGCGATCCACGGCCGTGAGCAAGCTGAGGACCCGATTGAAAAGAATAGGCGAGATCTTCTGATAAAAATATAGCAGAAAAGAGGCGAGAAGAGATCGAAACAATTCCAATATAAGAACAGCGTAGACAATATACAGTGAAGATAATCAGTTTGTCACCTGGACTCCGTACCCCAATACACCATGGCTGATACAATGATCGAACAATTGGCAACGAGCGCCTTTGAAAAGTTTCCCAACTCGTAGTGAGCTAGGTAGAAGTAGACGGGATGGCTCATTGCTTCTGCTGCTGAGGTTTCGCGGGAGTGTCGGGGACCTTCACGTCAGAGAATTCGTCCTGACCAACTGCGCGGATGGTGTATGCATCTGGGAGATTTCCTTCAGTATGAGCAAACCATACTTCTCATCGTGCCTCTTCTCTGACACATCAAGAAGTGGGGATCGTGTGGAGTACGTACAGACACTGATTGTGAAAGCGACGAGGCCGAGTCCAGTAAGAGCATTCTTGAAGAGATACGGGCGACGAGCGCGAAGGAGAGCCGCACCGGCGCGGTAGTCCTTGCCGTAATATGTCGAGTTGAAACTAGACAGAGACGTTGGTCAGCTACTCGTTCGAAAGAGTATGGTGCGATTGGAATTGAGCCAGCTGCACGTAGTCGCTGCAGATTGTAGTGCGGTGGATGGAGTTAACGTACATTCCTGCAGGCATTGTGTGCAAGTAGAATCTGTATGTTTGAATGATAGAAAGGCAAAGACGACAGAAGCCGGAGTGATTTCTACGCCAATATGTATGATGACCCGGATAGTTGACGATGATTGGAACGCGGGCAGAGAGCAGTCTTCGACGTTTGTGGTGTGCTTTTTCTGCCGGCAGAACAAACGCGGACAGCCGCTGCTAGCGGTACTATGTAAAACGCTCTCCTGCTGCCAACTTCGGTCCTGACCATTTCTCTCAAATGGCATCTTCGTCAAATAGTTCTCTAAAAATCCACTGACTAAAGTCTCTAAGCTACTGTTTTTTCTCCATAAAGTAGCAGTGAGTGAGGTTTCTCACAGCACCCATACAAAGAGCTCTCGGGTCGGCCAAACTCGGCATCCGCTGGCGGACATCCAAGAAAAGCGCCAATCCTCGCCAGCTCCTCTTGTCTACTTCTACTTCTATTATCGTCATCACCATCATTGTCGTCTTCTTCAACACATCATCGCCAATTCAATCAAACGACAATTAGTAGACCCAGACTTATACGCTGCTCGAAACCTATTCACCCATATCACGGAGCATTTTGTTTTGCGGAAGGCTCGAGTCGACATCTACCGCTGTCCTTTGCGTATCCGGCTATTCTATACGCGTCCATGGGTTGTGTGTCGTGAACGCCGTGCTCTTCATCGGTCCTATGTCTTAGGCCGGTCTTCTTCATTTACAGTATTTGTTTGCTCTGAATTTATGCAGCGTAGACACTAGCAAGGCGGCCAATACCTCGACCATACCATATCTCGAAATATTCTCCCATCCGGGCCGTTTCATTTAGCGGTCGAGCGCAGTTATTATGTCTGATACTGCGGCAAACCACCTTGCCGACCAGGTCGCACAGCTCAATGCTGCTCGAAATCTCGTTCTCGGCGACGCCGCCTTCTATCCGCAGATCGTGAACGGGATCATTCCAATCATCGGTGCGCGCGCGCGATTGGAACTGCGACGATGGGGAGCGGAGTTTCTGGCGGAAACATTCGCCAGTCCCGCTCTGGCGACGGCGCAAAAGGAACAATTGGCGGGCAGGGTGTTACAAACGATACGAGAGATCTTAGAGTTGCCTGAGGGAGACACTCCGGTCTTGAAGCATATAGTGCAGATTGCGGCCAGCTTGTATCCGTTGGCTTTTAGACACATGTATGTGATCAATTCTTTTCGCTCGTCG